CTCAACTGATGGCAGCTGCACTATTTTCTCTGGGGGGGCAATTGCCCCGTTGCCCCCCCCCTGGATCCGCCACTGTACTACACTGGCCATTACCCTCTGGTTTAAAAGCCATTCAAAGGTTTATTGGTTTTGCCAACTATTACAGAAGATTCATCAAGGTATTTTCTTCTGTAATAGCCCCAATCACAAATATGACTCGCAAAGGGGTTAGTAGCACGGTATGGTCCAAAGAGGCTGTGAATGCTTTTGAGACTCTTAAACAAAGATTTGCCTTTGCGGACATACTAAAACATCCTGACACCAGTAAACCTTTTATATTGGAGGTTGATGCATCCGAGACAGGGGTAGGGGCTGTTCTCTCTCAGAGGGAAAGCCAGGGAACACCATTGCATCCTTGTGGCTACTTCTCCAGAAAGATGTCTCCTGCTGAGCGCAACTATGATATTGGCAATAGAGAACTGTTGGCCATTATTCTTGCCCTCAAGGAGTGGCGACATCTTTTGGAGGGTTCAAGGACCCCCTGTTGATCATAACCGACCACAAAAATCTGGCATATATAGGGGATGCCAAACGTTTGTCTTCCAGACAGGCTAGATGGTCACTGTTCCTTTCACGTTTTAATTTTCTCATTACTTATAGACCTGGTTCTAAAAATACCAAGGCTGATGCCTTGTCCAGGCAATTTGATAATGAGTCAGCTCCGGAACAGATGACATCTCCTATTATTCCAGCAGAGTGTATTATTGCTACTACTGTCCTCTCCACTGCTTGGCACCATACTGGAGGCCCAGCCTCAGGCGCCCAGTGGTAAACCATGTGATAAACTGTTCGTTCCCCTATGTGAAAGGGTTAATATCATGAAAGTGTTCCATGACAATATAACTGCTGGACACCGGGCATCAATAAGTCCACTGCCGCGATCACTAGATCATTTTGGTGGGATTCACTCAGGAAAGATGTAAAGGAGTATGTGCAGGCATGTTCTGTGTGTGCAGTTTCTAAGGTGACTCATACACTTCCTTGTGGCCTGTTGCAGCCTCTTCCTGTTCCTGAGATTCCATGGTCCCACCTATCCATGGACTTTATTGTTGAGCTTCCTAGCTCTGCTGGGTTCACTACTATTCTCATGGTTGTAGACCGATTTTCTAAGATGGCTCACTTCATTCCTCTCAAGAAGTTGCCATCTTTGCAAGATTTGGTCCTAATTTTCATACGTGAAATTGTCCGTTTGCATGGCATCCCCCACAATATTGTGTCTGATAGGGGCTCTCAGTTTGTGTCCAGGTTCTGGAGGGCGTTCAGTAAACAATTGGGGATTGATCTCTCCTTCTCCTCCTCCTACCATCCACAGACCAATGGTACAGCTGAGAGGGCTAACCAGTCATTAGAAGTTTATTTGCGTTGTTTTATTAATAGCACACAAGACAATTGGTCCGAACTACTCCCGTGGGCCGAGTTCGCTAGAAACAATGCTGTTCATGACTCCTCTGGGCACAGTCCATTTTTTGTCAATAATGGTAGGCATCCTACGGTTCTCCCTGCGGTATTTTCTGATACTGCCATTCCTGCTCTGGATGAGCATCTGGCCTCCATTCGGGATACCTGGGTTAAGGTTCAAACTGCTCTAGGGGCTGCTGCTGAACGCTTCAAACATTTTGCTGATAAGCGTAGGAGTGCCAACCCGGTGTACCAAGTGGGGGACCGGGTTTGGTTGTCATCTCGCAACATCAAGCTTAAGGTCCCTAGCATGAAGTTTGCCCCCAGATTCCTTGGTCCCTATAGAGTGCTTTGTAGGATCAATCCAGTGTCTTACTCTCTGGCTCTTCCTGCATCTTTAGGGATTCCCAACACTTTTCATGTGTCCTTACTCAAACCTCTTGTCTGCAATAGATATACTGTTCCTTGTGTTCCTCCCCCTCCGGTGGTGGTGGGTGGTCAGGAAGAGTATGAGGTATCTTCTATCGTGGATTCTAGGTTTTCTCGGGGCACTTCACAGTACTTGGTTGTTTGGAAAGGTCACGGTCCTGCTGATCGTTCTTGGGTTTCGGCTCCTGACCTGCATGCGGGCCGTAAGATCCGCGCTTTTCACGCTAAATTTCCTCTCAAGCCTGGTCCTGTCCGCCCGGTGGGCGTTCTTCAGGTGGGGGGTAATGTCACGTATTCATCCGCTTATAGAAATGTGGTTAATGACATTTACTGTCCACACAGGAAAAGTTGTGCCGAGCAGCAACCTAATCCACAGAAGGGTTAATGCTGAGCAGCAATTATGCAAATGAAACCTGGTAACTGACTTTGGGGGTCAAAGGCCGGTTACAGCCTATCAGAACTAAAGGAGGGGTATTTAGGCCCAGTTCTCAGCCTGCTCAGTGCCCTGTTGTGGTTTCCCTTGTGGTTGTCTGAGAGCGCGTTCCTGTTTATAGTTTTCTACCTGGTTTTTGACTTTGGCTTTGTTTATTGACTTCTCTATATTCTGGTATCCTGACTCCTGGCTTTCCTCATCGCTGTGTCCCTTTCTGTGTTCCCTGACCTCGGCTAGTATTTTTGACTATTCTTTGTACGTTAAATCCGGCCATTCTAAGGACCGGTAATACGTTACTTATTTGTCATCCGTGCTGTACAGTTCTACGTGCTGGATCAAACAGTAATCCTGACAGCCTGTTAGTGAGTGAACGTGTGTGTGTCTACTAGTGAGTGAGTTGTGTATGTGGCTGCTAGTGAGTGAGGTGTGTGTGTGTGTGCCTGATAGTGAGTAAACGTTTGTGTGTGTTTGTGGAGGGGGGTGATGTGAGAGAGAGGGTGACAGTGTAGTGGTGTTGACAGTGTGGGAAGGGGTGACAATGTGTGGGGAGGTGACAGTATTAAGGGATGCTAACAGTGTGTCTAGTGAGGCTGACAGTGTGTGGGAGTATAGTGACACGACATGGTTGTGGGTGACAGTGTGTGGGGGGCATGACAGTGTGTGGGGGGGATAATGTGTGTGGAAGCGGGGTGATTGTGTGTGAGCGGGGTGATTGTGTATGGGAGGGGAGTAAAACTGTGTGGGACAGTGGTGTGATACTGTGAGGGAGGGGGGTAATGGTGTGAGAGAGGGGGGTAATACTGTGAGGGAAAGGGTGATGGTGTGAGGGACTGGGGTGATGTTGAGAGGGATAGAGATGATGAGAGGGAGGGAGTGATGGTGTGAGGGAGGGGGGCTGATGGTGTGGGAGGGTGTTGGTGTGAGGAAGGGGGGTAATAATGTGTGGGAGGTTGGTGATGATGAGAGGGAGGGGGGTGATGGTGTGTGGGAGGTTGGTGATGGTGTGAGGAAGGTTGGTGATGGTGAAAAGGAGGGGTGTGATGATGTGAGGAGGGGGGTGATGATGTGGGGGGTGTTGGTGTGAGGGAGGGTAATAACATGTGGAAAGTGGGTGATGGTGAGAGGGAAGAGGGTGATGGTGGGGTAATAATGCAATATGTAACAAGTGTTATAATATAAACGCATCTCACTGAGTTTCTACAATGGGTATATTCTAGAGATACCCACTTATTGATGTCTTAAGCAGAGCAAATATAAGCATATATTTAATCATATATAAAGCAAATCAGTCTCTTTATCTTCTTTCAAGGAAACAGTATGAGGAGTTTTTTTCATTAAGTCCATGCGGTGATAAAGTAATCAGAGTATGTATCCAAAAGGCTTCACGCCTAAGGAGGAGAATGTTGTTCTGGGATGGCAAAATGTTTTCCCGGGTTGCAAATGTTTCTTGTTGATAGAGATGTTGAGGTTACTGGTGCCTGAATTGTATGGCATGTAACTCTATGCTACCCGGGAAAACATTTTGCCATCACAGAAAGTGCAAAATATACAAAATTAAATACAAGATTAGCTGTACCACCACTCACGTTGTATATCGGATCATATGCCCATGTGGCATGACCTACGTGGGGAAAATTCCAAACAACCTCAGAGAGTGGATGCGGGGACATAGGTCTGTGATTCGCATTGCTTTACAGAGTGGCACGGCTAGCACCCCTGTCGCTCACCATTTCTTAGAAGTGGGACATAACCTCTCCTCATTGCGATTCATGGGGATCGATCATGTACCTACCCCTCGGAGAGGTGGCAACCGGGACATTCTCCTCCTTAGGCGTGAAGCCTTTTGGGTACACACTCTGGATACTTTATTACCGCATAGACCTAATGAAAAAAATGCCTTATATTGTTTCCTTGAAAGAAGATAAAGAGACTATAATTTGCTTTATATATGAATAAATATATACTTATATTTGTTCTGCTTAAGACATCCCTAAGTGGGGATCTCTAGAATATGCCCATTGTAGAAACTCAGTGATATGCATTTATATTATACCACTTGTTACATATTGCTACACTGCATTACAATTACATTTCTTTGCAACTTTGTTTCTATTTTAGGGCTGTTCGATATCCATGGCTCTCTTCTACTGGTGTTGGGATTACAGATACTTGTTTAGTACCTGTAAAAAATGCTTACCTACAGCTCACATGGTTAATTCACTCTGTGTGACATATTTTGAATTCACTCACATCATCTATGACATCACTGGTCTCGTTCTCACAGACTTCGCCCTCCAATCATATACTAGGATACACATATATAACGGTTGTCTTGGCATTCGTTAACACTTTTTGATTGCTACGATAAAAGCATGATTAATTTACTCTACAAAGACTCCAGAGTGCTCTCTTCAAGGAAAATATATTGGGCTAGAGACTTGCATCGGAGCAATCTAAAGACATTGAGGGCTGGGATCTAGGATAGATATATATATATATATATCTATCTATCACAATACATGGCATAATGAATTGTGGGGCAGGGATAGATTTTTTTTATTTTTTCCAGGGCTGCTTTGTATCTCTAGATGCAAGCTCCAAAGACAGGGTAGACTCTCTTTGAACAATAATGGAAACTTGACACTGTATAAAATAAACCTGCAGGGGCAGGCGATCTAATCCTATAGACCTCTGAGTGCTTGGCGTGTTCCTTTAATACGAAAAGGACATCCCATTAAAACATGCATTAGCCCCTCCTCTGAGAAGAGGAAACATCCGTTTCTACTAAACTACACTCTCTGTATTGTCACCCCATCCATTTATTGAAACAATACATTTTTTAAAAAAATGGTACGAAAACTCAAATATCATGAACAGAAGTTACTGAAAAAGGTGGATTTTATCAATTGGGAGGTTGACAACAATATCCATGAAGTCAAGGTACTTCGAAAATACCGCGTGGACAAAAGAGAAGATTACACAAAGTAAGTATGTTCTATGTATTTGATTTTTTTTAATTTTATTTCTGACTTACATAGCTTATTAAAAAGCGTTTCTCTGAAAAGCACCTTTGGACGGTCGTTACGTTGCTTTATATTTCTTCTAAATACACAATGCTTTCACAGTGTCACATTTCGCCATTTGTCAAATTAGTATCGCTCATTACGAGCCCCCGTTAAAAAATATTGCCCCTTTGAACACGTGTGCTCTGGGCGCCGCCATGACACTTTCCACGGAATCCAGTCCGACATCTTCCGGGTGAATGATGCCTCTTTGAAGTTTGTACTCAAATGTCTATAAACATCCTTTGCTATAGCACTGCAAACCATGCCTAGCTTTTACTTGTGCAATGTATAATTTTACAAGCTGACTTCACCTGAAAGAATTATTTCCCTCAATAAATAAATAAGAAATAACGTTTAATAGGGTTTCTAATTGCTTTAGGTGTACTCTTTAAAGATAAAGCTGAAACCTTATAATGGGCAAGAGGGACAATCGCAAGTGAATCGCTAAGAGACCGTCTCAAATGAGTAGTATTTTTACCATTTATACCATTATTTATTTTTACCAGTTTTTATACATTTTCGGATTTGCACATTGCAACATTTGCCTTACATAAACTGAAATTGCTGACCATTTACTAATACCAATTTGGGTACCATTTCCCCTGTTCTTTGAATGTGTAGCTTTTGTTGGCTACATAGAAGAGAAATGACACCATATTTAAATGCACTATATATATATATAGACAAAATTTATCCTTTTTATAGTTTTCTCCAAATGCATTATTTAGTACCTGAGCATTGGTATGACTGCTGTTTTTTTTTTTTTAGTTTTTTTTTTTAAATGGAAGCCAATCCAGTCCCCATTCATTTGCTGATAGTGTCAGCTGACTTCTCTCAGCTAAATAATGGCACACTGTTTGCACAGATGTGACAGCCAGCCAGGGATCTCTTGTTTTGGGATGGCTAATGATGTCCCAATGATGCTGCTGAAGATTGTTACACCTCCAGCAAGAAAAAGTGTTAAACTTTTAATATTGTAAAGCGCTACGGAATATGCTGGTGCTATATAAATACCAATAATAATAACCATGTATGTACAGTATTGTATACTATATATAACACAACCCCGTTATTGACGGGGAATTAGGGGAAATAGTATCATGGGGTTTGGGTTGTACTGGTAGATGCTTGCAAAAAATCACACCAGTTCACATAGCGAGCATGCCTACCAACTCTACCCAGGTTACTGACTTACGGATACCCTCTCAATACCAGGATCTATAGGCAGTCTTTGATAAAGGGAAGGCTGACACCTTACCCCCCATAGGTCATTTGACTGTACTATTAAGCTTCTACCTGGCACGATGCCTCCTAGAGATACTGTGTATCCATTATCCACTAAGGAGAACCTGGTACTAGAAGAGTACATAAAGGAGAATTTGGAAAGGGGCTTTATTAGAAGGTCTTCATCACCAGCGGGGGCTGGATTTTTCTTTTTAGTTAAGAAGGATGGCACTCTGAGGCCTTGCATAGATTACCGGGGTCTAAATAAAATAACTATTAGGAATGCTTATCCTATTCCCCTGAGCGTTATTTGATAGACTTAAAGGCTCCAGAATTTTTACCAAATTGGACTTAAGAGGAGCTTATAACTTGGTAAGAATCCAGCAAGGAGACAAGTGGAAAACCGCATTCAATACTCATTACGGTCATTATGAATATACAGTAGTGCCATTCAGGCTATGTAATGCTCCAGCTATCTTTCAAGATTTAATCAATGAGGTTTTGAGGGAGTTTCAACAAGAATGCGTAATAGTATACCTGGACGATATACTAATACATTCCAGAGACAAAGAGATTCATCACAGACAAGTGAGAAGGGTGTTGTGTAAATTTTTGCAATATGGGTTGTACAGCAAATTGGAGAAATGTTGTTTTGCCCAATCTCAGATAAATTTTCTAGGTTATGTCCTCTCCGGAGGTGGATTTAAGATGGACCTGATTTAAACTTAGATCCATCATACACTGGCCTTTACCCAGGGGATTCAAAGCCATACAGAGGTTTATCGGATTCTCCAATTATTATAGGCGCTTCATTAAAGGATTCTCATCTATAATAGCATCCATAATTAATATGACGAAGAAGGGTGCTAACACCAGAATGTGGACTACGGAGGCTTTATCTGCCTTAAAGACTCTCAAGGAGATTTTTGCCTCTGCCCCAATATAGGTTCATCCAGACACTTCTTTGCCTTTTTTGCTTGAGGTAGATGCTTCTGAAATAGGGATAGGAGCAGTATTATCGCAAAGACAAGGGTTGGATAAACCATTGCATCCATGTGGATTCTTCTCTAAAAAATTATCTATAACGGAGAGAGGTTATGACATTGGAGACCGGGAACTGTTAGCAGTAATAATGGCTTTGAAGGAATGGAGGAATCTATTAGAGGGGACTTTACAACCAGTTACCATTTTGACAGACCATAAGAATTTATCTTGAATAGGAGAGGTCAAAAGATTATCCGCCAGACAGACTTGTTTGTCTTTGTTTCTTACCCATTTTAATTACGTACTTACCTATAGATCGGGCTCCAAGAACACTAACGCAGACGCCCTCTCACGTCAACATGAACCTGCTACATTTACTGAAATTCCTATGTCTTCCATCATTCCCAAGCAGAATATTATAGCCAATACCAGTGTGAAAGTACACTCACCTTTACTCTTCAATATTTAGAAAGAGTAATGTGTAGCGCCAGAACATACTCCTGAGGGAATGTATTATGTTCCTCCCCATCGCTTTCATAACAGTAAAGCTGCCGGCATACACAAGACTCAGGCATACACAAGACTTACTCTCTGATTTCCCAAAGCTTTTGGTGGTCTACCTTATGCAGGGATATAAGAGATTATGTCATGGCTTGTGAAATATGTGCCAAAAATAAACAACCTCACACCCTTCCATGTGTGTTGCTTCAACCTTTAGATATACCAAAGAAACCATGGTCCAGTTTAGCTATGGACTTTATTGTTGAATTACCAGTATCCAATAATCTAACAGTCATTCTCACAGTTATTGACAGATTTACTAAAATGGCTCATTTTATACCTTTACCTAAACTACCTTCTGCACCCGAATTGGCTGAAAATTTAGCGAAATAAATTTTTCGCCAACACAGTTTGTATCTCGTTTTTGGAAGTTACATTTCTCGTTGGCCTACCATCCCCAATCTAATGGTGCAGCCGAACGTACTAACCAAAAGATTGAACAATATTTGCGTTGTTTTGTGTCTGAAAACCAACATAGTTGGGTTGGTTTGATTCTTTGGGCGGAGTTTGCACACAACAATCTTGTTTGTGATTCTACTCGTAATAGCCCCTTGTTCATGAATTATGGCTTTCACCCTACCATTCTTCTGTCGGCGCCAATCTGAGGAAGTTATGGGATCAGATTAATCTTGTTCACACTTCCGCTTTATTTAAACGGCAAGCGGATAAACGCAGAAGGCCTGCCCCTGTTTTTTTACCAGGTGGATAAAGTATGGTTGAGTACCAGACACATCCGTTTAAAGGACCACTATAGGCACCCAGACCACTTCAGCTTAATGAAGTGGTCTGGGTGCCTGGTCCAGCTAGGGTTAACCCTTTTTTAAATTTATTTTTTTATAAACATAGCAGTTTCAGAGAAACTGTTATGTTTATAATAGGGTTAATCCAGCCTCTAGTGACTGTCTCATTGAGAGAAGACGAGAAGACGCCAGCGTCCATAGGAAAGCATTGTAAATGCTTTTCTATGAACTGGCTGAATGCGCGCACAGCTCCTGCCGCGCATGCGCATTCAGCCGATGACGTCGCTATGAAGGAGGAGAGGAGGAGGAGAGCTCCCCGCCCGGCGCTGTAGAAAGGTAAGATTTTAACCCCTTCCTCTCCCCAGAGCCCGGCGGGAGGGGGACCCTGGGGTTGGGGGCACTCTCAGGGCACTATAGTGCCAGGAAAATGAGTGTGTTTTCCTGGCACTATAGTGGTCCTTTAAGGGTTCCATCCATGAAGTTCGCATCTCGTTACATAGGACCTTACAAGGTCTTACGGAAGATCAACCCGGTTGCTTATCAGCTTGCTCTTCCTCCTGGCCTACGCATTCCTAATTCTTCATGTTTCGCTTATTGAAACCTCTCGTTTGTAATAAATACACCTCGGCATCGACTGCTCCCTCTTCTGTTCAGATTGAAGGTCAGGAGGAATATGAGGTCAAATTCATTCTCGACTCTCGTATTTCTCGTGGAAAGTTACAATATCTCGTTGACTGGAAAGGTTATGGTCCTGAAGAAAGGTCCTGGGTATCTCATGTGGATATCCACGCTCCTCACCTTCTCCGGGCATTCCATTTTCGCTTTCCGTCTCGTCCTGGATCCTTCCGCCCGCTGGACGTTCCTAAGAGGGGGGGTACTGTGTGGAAATTGGGCATCTTGAAGTCCAGTCTCAGGTGGGCACACAGGCACCCTTCTTCTCCAGCAATTTCGGCATTTTAGACGCCGGCCGCGATAGCACCGCCCCCTTTTATAACGCGGTGCAATTTCGCCGATGTCGTGACGTCGATGGCGTCACGGCCCGCCGAAAGTCAAACAAGGACGTTTTTGGGGAGTGGACATCAATTAAGGTGGCAGGGTATAAAGGGTACTCACTTACAGTGAATCATTGCCCTGTCGTGGTTTCAGCTTGTCTGTTCCCTCAGTGCGTTTTCTGTTATTGGTTTGTGGTTATTGACTTGGCTTGTATTCTGACTTTGCTTCTCTCTCCTACCTTTGGACTCTGCTTGGCTTCCGCTTACCTGTCTTTTCGTTCCCTCGACCTCGGCTCGTTCCTGACCATTCTTTGTTTGTGTGACGTTAGTCCGGCCACTCTAAGGTCCGGAATACATCTTTATAGATGTTAGTACTCTGCGTGTTGGATCCCTGTATCGATCCTGACATTCAGTGCTTGTAATATAAGCCCAACCCCATAAATAAACCCTAGTTGAGATCATCGCTAGTTTGCTAATCCTATGTTCGGGGAATTTTCTCCGAACATAGATTCGTGGGATTCCTTGAGCTGGTAAGCTAGTCTATGTTCAGAGGAATTCCCCCGAACGTAGACCTTCTTTCTTGTACATGCTCCTGAAAATAAGTCCTAGTGCGTTTTTTTTTTTTTAGTAAAAATTATAAGCCGCAGTCTTATTTTCGGGTGAAAACGGTATATGTGGTATATGCTGGCTAGATGGATGTAGTGTGTGTGTTGATTTTTGTAATGTGTGAAAACTGCTTACCCACAACATAACTTGTTTTAAGGTATGTAACGGAACCGCTGGCACCCCGACCGGGTACCTTCCGAGGACTCCAAGCACTCTGCCAGACACCATAACCACTGCAGACCCCACGAACCGCCGCAGCTTGGTTGGGATCTCGCCGTCTCCACCCACTCTGGACCCAGGACCAGGGTCCAGCTTCCAGCAGGTCGACCTCTCTCCGAATTCCAGAGAGCAGGAACAGGAACAAGCTCTTAGCAGAGCTTAGTGATTATACCCTGGGGAGTATAGTGATTATAGCAATCCCCAGAGTGTAGTTTCTCCAATCCTCCAAACTTGAGCCGAAACTTCATGAAGGTACAAGATGATCTGTTTATTGGCACACAAAGAACCTTCTTTTATGCAGGTCCCCACACAGTGGGACACAGTACAACCAATCACACAATGGTTACATCTCACACATCTCCTCCCCTTAGCCTGAGAGGTAACCCAATTATCCATACATTTTAAAACACACTTTTTACCCAACTTTCATAACTCTAAAACTATACATCACATTCACATAAAACTACATATTCACAATCAATCCATTCAGGGGAACAACATATTAAAAAATGGCCTGAATCAGACCAGGGGTTCAGAAGTTAGCACAAGTATATTTTGGGGCCTGGCTGGCAGCATGGCTATCTGGCCCAAACAGGTTTCAGAGTCTTCTATTCTGGAGATAATTGAGAAGTAATGCAATTATCTCCAAGGACAGAGGCAAAACTCCATTAGCCACATGTCAGACAAAGGACAACAAAAGACATAAAAATACATACTGTTACATTTATCACATAGAACCTACACATTTCCAATTTATCGAACACATAATAGCATATATAATATTGCAGACCGCCTGAATGCAATCTGCTACACAGTCTTAAAGGGACATTGTTCCTAAAAGTCATAATATGTCCAGGGATGGTTTTTAAAGGGCCAGCAGCAGCACCATACAAATCCAATATGCCCAAATATTGTACTTGAAGGGCCAAATAACCCAGGGCCATAGTCATGAGGCAAGAGGCTGGCAATCAGGCTCCTCCAACAGCCAGGGGAAAATCCGGTGACAAAAGGCGTTTCGTCACAAGGTAAATGACCAAAACACAAAAACAATAGTATAAAAACAAGGAAAACAGGATGATAAATAACTGCACAGCCTAAAATGTATAAGCTAATGTCCCAGAATGTAGCAATAGTTTATTGATCACATTAGATACTAATGTGACAAATGTTAGTCTCACTTGCACATCTATCTATTTCTAATGTTCTAAGTCAAGAAAGCACACAGGATGCGTTATTAAAGGGAAACTTTCATTCGTGCTCTGCTTGTCAATGCATACTGACCAATTGGGCATTATACTTTAGGTTCCCCATTTCCTAATCAATGCCATCCGTCTGTGATCTCTAAAATAAAATGAGCAAAAACATAATGCTTACTTATATAAAGATTTATTAAGCAAAAATAAAAATACTCTTACAGAATCCAAAGAGATGGGGGGATGGGAGGGGGAAGAGAGAGGGAAGGGGATGGGGGGGAAAGACATACAGAGGGCTGGAGAAGAGTAAAAAGAGACACACAGGGGCTGGGATGAAGTAAAAGATACAAAGGGATGTTGTAAGAAAGACAAGATACACTAAATGAGGTATAAAAAAAAAAAATCAAAAGAGGGTATAAGAAACACAAAAAACAGCAAGAGATTCAAAAGGGGGTTGCCTTTTTGCCTGTGCTGGCGCGACGCATTATTGGGCTGGTATATAATTTTTTCCAGGGCTGCTTTTAGTTCTCAGTCCGGCCCTGTTGATACCCTTTAGAATGGAAAGTCAGAGGGTCAGAACACAGATCTGCTCTGGAACACAGACTTAACCCCCAATGGTAAGAAAGTGCTAGGGACCTTCTGACACCATAACAACTTAATTTTAATTAAGTTATGGTGTCCAAACTGTTCCTTTAAATAGATATGTATCCCATTATACTAATAGCCTACCTAATGGTATTGAATCAGACTACTGAAAACTCCAGGGTTTGATTTATATTTTTGTGAAAGGATGTCCTTTGATTTTCTTTGGTTCCTTTGCCATGATTTGAACTTGAGTAAATAGTCCTGTGTTTGTGTGTGTGTGTGTGAATGTGTTAGTGTGTATGTATTTATATATTATATATATATATATATATATATATATATTTATTTATTTATTTTTCTATTGGATTAACATGTATATTAAAATGTATCTCTACTTTTAGGTATAATAAGCTCAGCAGGAATGTTAGAGAACTTGCACAAAAAATTCGAGACCTAGATGAAAAAGACACTTTTCGAATCCAGAGTACTTCCAAGCTTCTAGAGAAACTGTAAGTATAGAAGTTGGGTTCGTGGACTGTCTATTTGTGATCGTCATTTTACATTTTAGTGGTTTGTTTTAAATACAATTCTGCTCCCATCCTCTTAATGTATATTTTGTAAATTTTAAAATGACTAGCACTAAAATAAGTACACTGTGGTCTTGAATATTCAAAAAAAGGTTTAGTTTTAAGCAGATGTACTCAGCTTTTTTTAAGCATAGTCGTGGATTTATATAATGCTTAGTTTTCCTTGTGGCAATGTATTTACAGTTTTCAGATAATGCTACTTTTACTTTTTTTTTTTAATATATATTTTACTCAACTGGCACTATTTTTTCCCTTTTTTGTAATTTTTAAACAATTAAGTGGTTATTGTACTGAAGACTTGCAGGCAGGTTAATTATGTTTTTCAATCTCCAATGGTCATTAAGGATGGCTATAATTACAGACTTGATGTAAAGAACACTGCCATCATGGTATTTGCTCATTGTTAAATTAGTTGACAGTAATTTGTTAGAATTTAGCAATATCAGATGTTTCTTCCTCTTTCTGGAACAGATGAGATACACATTTCGAAGGCATGGCAGGTCATATTCAGCTATTTGCAAACAGATGGTTTTTGAGCCCAGCAATGCTACCTACTAGATGTAACAATTTCCATATTTATGGCAAACATAACTAAAAGTTACAATCGCCAAATTTATGGCAACTGTAACTCCTATTGCTTGTCTAGATTACTTTTCCAAGTTTTTGAGTATGTGGTAATAAAGACCTGTTTATAGCAATCACACCCATGTTTAATTATGGGGAAGTGGGAGATAATTTGGACATGTACAAAAAATATAAATGTCATGTGCAGTAATCTATTAACATTGATAAAGTTACATTCTTGAAAAAATATATTGCTCTCCTTTTAGAAATTGGTTAATGATTTGTTTAGTAATTAGTATTCTGTTGTTGGTGCATGTTTTTACTCTTAATGCACATTTTCTTATTGTTTACCGTTTGGGTCAATAGAAATCCATGATTTAAAGAAATAGAAAATCAGTTTTTTTTTGTTTTTTTTAAATGATTTATTTAAATTGGATTTATTTTAATACAATGCTTTTGGATGAAAAATCTGTCTAGAATAGCCTTCTATTTAAGGGCTATTACAAGGGTTAATTACATGATTTTTCTATTACATGACGTAAAGTCATGATTTTATTAAAGACACGGAGGCGAGTATTACATATCCCTTTCTTTACTGTCCACCAATAGCAGCAAAGAATACAAAACGGAATGAAAAAATAATGCATACATGGTAACATAGGCCACTCCCAGCCAAGTCCCAGTATAATGGTAGGCACCACACCCTCAGATCTCCCTCTTTATTAAAAAAGCGACACACCACAACAGAAGTCTGCAAAACCGTAAACAAGCAGACATAATTCTTCAGCAAACGAAACGTAGCAGGTCATCGTTGAGAACACAGGACCATTTAATCCACAACAGGAAACCAATTCGAAACTGTAACTGCACCCTCAGGCATAAAAGGGGTTAAAAGCAGTTTAGTAGATCTTCCCTTCCAGAGACACAGGCAAAGCTACTGCAGAACACCAAACTCCCGAACTGGATACAAGGGAATGCTCCAAACTCCTGAATTGGAACCATACGAATAGCTGCTACCAGACGAACAGGAAAAGCACCCAAGCGGCTTACACTCCTGGCAATCAGTCTCTAACAGCATACAGTAAATCCCCCCCCCAAAGACGAGACAAGGCTCCGTGTTGGGGGGTCAAGCAGTAGTCTGGTTTATTGAGGGCTACCTGCCCAGTATTTATGCAGGTCTCCCACCTGGTGGATACTCACCTAGGGGACCAGATGGAAGACTGTAACACAGACAGACATGTATCACATTCAGACACACAGAAGTAAAACATCCCCCCAATGCATCCTAATTTCCCTCCCTTTATCATGGAGATAATTGGGAAGTAATCCAATTATTTCCCAGGACAGAGGCAAATCGCCATTATACACGTGGGGACACAGTCAGTAAAATACATTAAAACATATAATATTACATTTATTACACAAAATCCATACATGTCACATATCCCCAGATAGCTTAGATCTGAGCGCATATAACTACCGAATAGCGCTCAGATCCCACACATAGTTCAATTGCCATGGAGCCAAAGTCTTTAATTACACGAATAGGCTCCATGGCATAGCTATCTGGGTTAAAACATTCACTTAAGTAAAGTCCCGATCAATCCAGCGTTCGTTTAAACAACCGAAATAGAAGCAGGGAAGGCTGGAGGCTCACCGGTGCCTGCACATAAAAGTATCCGCTTTTAGTGCACTGATTCCGGGCTGAGCACCGCTGGCCGTCCGGGGAGCTCCATAACACCGCCACCTAGCGGCTGCTAAGTGTAACCGCGGCCACCCAGTAAGTCAATTAAGCTGCGGTTAACTGCAGCTACTGGGTGGTCAATTGATGGCCCACGGCTCTGGGGAGGCTAATAGAAGGCTGTTTGTGCGGTAGACTAAATCTACCGAACGGCTGTGCAGAAAGGCATGAATAAACCTTTCTGCATAGTAAAATTAACTGTTTAACTGCCGTCCATAAAACAACGGCAGCAGGCAGGCAACCAGGCTCCTCCAATGCAATGTAGTGAGATTGGTCTCGTCACAGGAACATCCAAGGAACAGCGCCAACAAAATAATGCTCCTCCAAGGTAGATGAAAGAGAAACAGGACTGGATCATCCTGTGAAAACATAAAGAACAGGAGCCCAAGGGTTAAATCGGTACCATAGACCAACAACAAGGCCAGAATTATTATAGGCATTAATCTACCGTATATACTCGAGTATAAGCCGAGTTTTTCAGCACATTTTTTGTGCTGAAAAACCCCAACTCGGCTTATACTCGAGTCACTGTCTGTATTATGGCAACTTACATTGCCATAATACAGACTGGGGGCTGGCAGAGCTGTTACTTACCTCTCCTGCAGCTCCTGTCAGCTCTCTCCTCCTCCGCGCCGGTCCGGTCAGCACCTCGGTCAGCTCCCAGTGTAAGTCTCGCGAGAGCCGCGGGGTCATAGTGCGGCTCTCGCGAGACTTACAGTGTGAGCTGACAGAAGAGCTGCACGGACCGGCGCGGAGGAGGAGAGAGCTGACAGGAGCTGCAGGAGAGGTAAGTGCTTCCTGCCAGCCCCCTCCACTGAACAGTCAATGCCACTGGACCACCAGGGAAGGAGAGCCCCCCTCCCTGCCATGTATCAAGCAGGGAGGGGGGACGAAAAATAAATAAATTAAAAATATATAAATATAAATAAAAAAAATAAAATAAATATAACAAAAAAAATAAAATAATACATTTTTTTTATATAAAAATGCCCACCCCCCACCAAGGCTCTGCAACACACACACACTGCATCACACACACTGCATTCATACACACACACACTGCATTCATACACACACTGCATTCATACACACACTGCATTCATACACACTCTGCATTCATACACACTCTGCATTCATACACACACTGCATTCATACACACTCTGCATTCATACACACACTGCATTCATACACACTCTGCATTCATACACACACACTGCATTCATACACACACTCTGCACTCATACACACACTGCACTCATACACACACACTGCATTCATACACACACACTGCATTCATACACACACACTGCACTCATACACACACACTGCATTCATACACACACTGCATTCTTATACACACACTGCATTTATACACACACACTGCACTCATACACACACACTGCACTCATACACACACACTGCATTCATACACACACACTGCGCTCATACACACACACACTGTAAATAAATATTCAATTAATATTTTTTTAGGATCTAATTTTATTTAGAAATTTACCAGTAGCTGCTGCATTTCCCACCCTAGTCTTATACTCGAGTCAATACGTTTTCCCAGTTTTTTGGTTTAAAATTAGGGGCCTCGGCTTATATTCGGGTCGGCTTATACTCGAGTATATACGGTACATCCCAAAACTCTAAACCGGTATAATCAAAACCAAACATCATAAATACAATGCCCCACTTACCATACCAACTAATCCAATCACCTATAACAAACAATACGGGTGGGAAAAACAGAAAGCAAAACTGAGATATTACTTCATAACGGGTGGGACAATACTCTCCTCCGTGTCTCTAATAAAATCATGACTTTACGTCATGTAATGGGAAAAAACATGGAGTTTCATATTGCAAGTTTAAAGCTGCAGAAAACATATGAGTAATAGGCCGGAAATTTTTTTCCCGAAATGTAGATTCCCGCGACCGATTGGCCATTCTCATAAGGTCTTCCAAACGTGCGCCCGATGCCATAATTGATGAGGCAGAGGGTCCCCTAACAGAATGCGCTCCAAAAACAAATATCGATACCAGCTTGGTCCAGAATCCACTTCAACCATCATGACAACGTAGCGCTCGCAACTGGGGCAAAAGGGGGATGAAAAGACAAGAAAAGTTGAGGTGTAGATGCAGGACGATGCAGCCTGGTACGATAGAAGTCTTAGTACGTCTGAAAATATTGAAAGTTACACCCTCTGGAGTGTATGATCTGGCATCAAAATCCAAAGCATGTACATCCAACACCCTTTTGCAAGAAATGAAGCAAAAGAGACAAATCAATTTAGCCAACAACTGTAGTAATGAGAGATCCCGGTTAGAAGGCCAGGCAGAGAGAAAAAACAGAACAACCGAGGCATCCCAAGTGGATGAATAACGCGGCCTATGCGGATGGGAAAGACTGGAGCCGCGTAGGAGTCTACTAAAGGATACCAGCAAAACCATGGTGGGTATCCTTTACAGATTGATCGTTCCGTAAGCCCTGCCAGGGTAAAACAGAGAAGTCAGTCAGGAATTCCAGAATAGTTGTTACAGAGGCTGAAACGAGACTCGCGTCCCCAAGCTCGCCAAGCTGACCCATATGATGGTCTAGTTCCGGGAGCCCATGAGTCCGCCAAGAATCGTAGAGTAGTCTCCGAAATCCCCTGGATTTCCCAGGGTCCCCTGAAATCTGCCATGCCATGAGAAAGAGGGATCCATCCACCAACAGAGGGTGACAACCACCTGCCGGATCGCGAAGCACGCCTGGGAAAGACTGTAAAAGCCTGGGACAATCCACCGACATATACAGAAGTTGAGGGAACCATGACTGCATCCCCCAAAAAGGAGCCACAAGCACCAGTTCGGTTTGTTGGCGTTGAACCTGAAGGAGCGTGCGTGTAATCAAGGAGAAGGGGGAAACGTGTACAGGAGAACCCCTTGCCAGTCTTACAGGAAAGTGTTCACTGCCTCTGCCAATGGGTCTGGTCTCCAGCTGAAACACCATGGGAGCAATGTGTTGAGCCGTAAGGTGAAGAGGTCGATAACAAAATGACCCCAGAGAGACTATACAGTTGAGAACACCTCTGCGTCCAATTTCTAGTCACTGTTGTCCGGACTTCCAAGAGCTCTCCTCCATCCGAGGATCACACTGCGTCACTTGGCACAGCTTATCGGCCTGCTGGCCTTGTCTATTCAAGCGGTGTTCCTGGCCCCTTTCCATTACAGGGCACTACAATATAGCTCCTCTGCAAGAGGGAGCTTCTTACGCAAATTTGGTTACCCAGGATGGAGAAACGAGGGACAAACTGAAGTGGTGGATCATGAACCTGGCTGAATGGAACGGAAGGACGATTTTTGTTTCGCAACTGGAGTTCATCATAGACTCTGACGCGAGTTGGGGTGCCCACTGCGAAGGTGTGTCGACTGGAGGTCGTTGGTCAGATTCAGAATCCCGGCTCCACATCAACGAGTTGGAACTTCTGGCGGGTTCTTTCGCAATCCGGAGTTTCGCAAGGGACAAGGCACAGGCGTGAATTCGCCTCCGCATGGACAACATTTCGGCGGTGAGGTATGTCAACCACATCAGTGGCACCCAGTCTGCGGTCTTGGCCAGATTTGGCGAGATTTTGGGAGTTCTGTCTAGCTCTGAATTTGGTGGTCCAATCGGGATATCTACTGTGACGGTAGTAATCAGTATCACCGTCTAGTATTCCCTTTTTTCCCAGTAGCAGAATAATCACAATAATCCACAGGGTAAAATATCGCTGGAATCACCAAATAATCCACACATGAGTCAAAGGTTAATGCTGGAACAAGACTGATTACTGGAAGCAACAGGTATTCAATTTATACAGTAACAGACTCCTCCTCTGGGCCAGGCTAGACAATTGAGTTTCAGCAACATACTAAACTCAATTATCTGCTGGCCAGAAACATTACAATTTTCAAAATTTTTAGAAATATACTTTCTACATGACATATAAATATAAGAACTAGCTGAGGATACTGGGAGTCACATATCCAAATTGCACGAAAATCCGTTTGGTAGTTTCTGTGTCACATCGTGTGGAAGTTTGACCGGCTCGCCATGTGGTGGTATCCGATTTAGAGTTCCATGAACTCAGTAGTAAGAGCCGGTCTCCGTTCGTGCAGAATTACACAAAAACTACCATAGATATGTTGCAGCTGGTTACATTAGAGTGCTCCCCTCGCTCGGTAGATTAAAACTCCCGAACGCCGGTTTGATACTATGGGTGGAAATAGGTCAGACGGGACTTCCATAATGACCGGGCGTTCGTGTGATTGCCATGCCGAAAACAGTTCCAGGCAATCCACGAGTAAGTCCCGCTGGCCGCATTCGGGAGATTTGAGATGGCCGCTATCCTTTGTTCTCGCCACGTGTTCGTATGGCAAATGGCGGCCACCTAGGAGTACTCAATTAAGTTGCGGTTTCGTGTGGTTACTCGGTGTTCTAAGTTCTGATTGCTACCCAGGGTGGTCTCCGTTCGGTAGAACGAAGAAAATGTCCTGAACACAGAAATAACAATGAATACTTTACAGTCACTTAACTAGCAGGGAGATAAAATACCGAATACATGGATGGTGATTCTTCACGTCTACCAGGCCTACACAATGTCCGAAGTTCCTTGCGAATTCCTCCTCTGAATCCACAAGGAAACCTAGAAATTTCATGCGTCTGGATGGGTTCAGGCAGGATTTTTCCCAGTTGATGAACCCTAGACGACTGAGCAGGTTCACGGTCCATTACAGATGGAGCCATGATCAGGATGCCATCCAGGTAGACTATTAGGCAAACGCCTTGACTGCGGATCCAGGCCATCGCCAGGTGCAGCAGCTTCACGAAGCACCAGGGCGCCGAGGAGAGACCAAAAGGAAGACCTGTAAAGCACCAAACTCTGTCTTTCCAACGGAATCAAAGTAGATCTTGAAGTTTCGTTTACCGGCACCGTCAGGTACACGTCCTTCAAATCTAGTTTCGCCAGCCAATCTTCATGCAGAAGATTATAAATAATAAGCCCTGGGCGTCTCTACCAGCTTTAGGGAGGGTGAGATTGGCCATCTTGGGCTCTATTATAAACAGGATGGCTTTACGCCGTTCCATGGACAGGGAGGCATTGACACTTCCGGCGATGCAAATCGCTCTCTGGACCCAACCACGGAGTTCCTCCGGGTCTACCATCCGGTTTTCGTCTCTGGCATCCTCCGCCAAGTCAAACAATTTTTGACCAAAGACCAAGACCAAACACATCAAGGTGTTTGTCGTGGCACGATCTAAGTGCCGAAGCCAGTCCTCTGCGTGGGTTCCAACCCAATTTATCCAGAAACTGGGTCATCCTAGGGTCTACCTCCGAGGTGTCACATACTTTGTTGGGCACTACAGGCCTGGGACACTCTGCCCTAAGTTTGTTGTGGGCCACCTTACTGAGTGGGCACTGTAACGGATCACCTGGCACCCCGACTGGGTACCTCCGTTGAAGGATGCTCCTAGCGCTTCCTGAGGGCTCCAAGCACTCTAGCAGACACCACAACAGGTCAAACCTCTCTTCAATCAGAGCTAAGCAGGAACAAGCTCTTAAAAGAGCTTAGGAGTGATTATAGCAAGGGAATATGCAGAGCATAGCAATCCCTTGTAGCAGATCCCCCAATAAGAGACAAGACTCCAAACTGAGGGTGAAGTAGAACTGACAGAACTGTGGGTTTATTGTTCTTATATACACATTCTTACACACTAGTACCACCCACAGGGTTTTGTAAAACAACCAATAAACATGTACAATACACTCACACTCCCACACAAAATCCTCCCCTCTGCCTGTGATACAATTATCACAGGCAGGAAATTACACAGTTATACACAATATTCATAACTTTAAAAGTATGCATCACATTCACGTAAAACTTACGTTTTCAGCATACTCAAAATACCAACATACGTCAAAATCATACAAATTGGTCCAGTGGGTCAAAAGATAGATCGACGTCCTTTGTGACCAAATGAAGCATGGCTTTTCTGCCCAAAACCAGTTCCACAGAGTCTTCTATCCTGGAGATAATTGGGAAGTAATCCAATTATCTCCAAGGACAGAGGCAAAACTCCATTGAACACATGGTAGCAAAAGACCATAAAATACATACACATATATAACTCTGCAGCTATTGCATAATACAGGTACATTACTGAATGGTGCTCAGATCACATACATACAGTTCAATTGCCATGGAGCCAAAGTCTTTCACATAGTCTTTCGTTATACGAATGGGCTCCATGGCATAGCTATCTGGGGTAACACTGCTCACATAGGGAAGCTCATGGGGTATCAATCTCCCAAGTGGTAGGTGAACAGGCAGGCACCCTATGTTTAGGCATGATACAATGATCCACACAAAAGAGATATAAATACATAGTTACATAGCTGAAAAGAGACTTGCGTCCATCAAGTTCAGCCTACCTCACATTTGTTTTTTGCTGTTGATACAAAAGAAGGCAAAAAAAAACAGTTTGAAGCACAATTTTGCAACAAGCTAGGAAAAAAATTCCTTATTGACCCCAGAATGGCATTCAGATTTATCCTTGGATCAAGCAGTTATTACCCTACATTGAAAGATTGTATCCTTGAATATTCTGTTCTTGCAAGTATGCATCTAGTAGCCGTTTGAACATCTGTATGGACTCTGATAAAACCACTTTTTCAGGCAGAGAATTCCACATCCTGATTGTTCTTACAGTAAAAAAACCTTTCCTTTGCCTTAGACGAAATCTTCTTTCTTCCAGTCTAAACGCATGGCCTCGTTTCCTATGTAAAGTCCGGTTTGTGAATAGATTTCCACACAATGGTTTGTATTGGCCCCGAATATATTTGTATAATGTTGTTATATCCCCTCTCAGGTGACGTTTTTCTAAACTAAATAGGTTTAAATTAGTTAACCTTTCTTCCATTCCTTTCTTCATAGCCGATATGTTCCATTCCTTTTATTAATTTTGTAGCCCACCTCTGCACTTTTTCTAGTGCCATAATATCCTTCTTTAGAACAGGTGCCCAAAATTGCACAGCATATTCAATATGGGGTCTTACCAGTGATTTATAAAGAGGCAAAATGATATTCTCGTCCCGAGAATGAATGCCCTTTTCATGCATGACAATACCTTACTGGCCTTGGCCACTGCTGATTGACATTGCACATTGTTGCATAGTTTGTTGTCTATAACAATTCCCAAGTCCTTTTTGTGTGTTGTTATCCCTAATTCGCTTCCATTAAGGGTATACGTTGCATGTGTATTCTTTACGCCGAAGTGCATAATTTTGCATTTTTCAACATTAAATTTCATCTGCAATTTGAGTGTTCAGTCCCCCAGTCTATCTAAATCCCTCTGCAGCAAAGTAATATCTTGCTCACATTGTATTGTTTTACAAAGTTTTGTGTCATCTGCAAACACTGAAACATGACTTTCAATGCGGTCTTCAAGATAATTTATAAACATGTTAAATAGAAGGGGTCCCAGAACAGACCCCTGAGGGACACCACTTGCCACCTCTGTCCAGCTTGAGAATTTACCATTAATGACAACTCTTTGTACTCTGTTTTTAAGCCAATGTTCTACCCAAGAACAAGCATTTTCATCTAGACCGATTTCCTTGAGTTTGAACACTAATCTATTGTGTGGAACTCTATCAAATGCCTTGGCAAAATCCAAATAGATCACATCCACGGCAACACCCTGATCTATACTTCTACTTACTTCTTCGTAGAACGCAATCAAGTTAGTTTGACATGACCTGTGCTTCATAAAACCATGCTGATTTTTGCTGATAGCCATGTTCTTCTCAAGGAATTCTTGAATATTATCCCTTAATAACCTTTCAAATATTTTCCCAGCCACAGAAGTTAAGCTCACAGGTCTATAATTTCCAGTCAAGGATTTTGAACCCTTTTGAATATAGGAACCACATCTGCCTTCCTCCAATCCTCCGGAACACTTCCTGAAAGAAAAGAATCTTGAAAGATTAAAAACAGAGGTTCACTTATTTCTACACTTCCTTAAGTACACGTGGATGGATACCGTCAGGCCCTGGAGCTTTGTTTATATTAACTTTCTTTAGTTGCTGCAGCACCTTGTCTTGAGTTAACCAATTACAATTATTCTGCAAGTTTTTAGTAGCAATCATTTGCACATCTCTTGCCATGGGTTCTTCCTTAATATATACGGAGGAGAAATAGTTATTTAAAATTCCTGCCTTTTCCTGGTCTTCATTAACTAACACCCCCGTTTCAGTTTTTAGTGTACCTACACTTTCATTTTGTTGTTTTGTTTTTTTTTTAGAATTTATGTACTTAAAAATGCTTTGGGTTTGCTCTCTTTAGCTATCATTATTTCATTTTGAAGTTTAGCAAGTCTAATTGCCCTTTTTCCACGCATTATTTGCTTCCTTAAATCTTTTATAAGATGCATCTGATTTGTCCGATTTTAAATGCTTTAAATGCCCTTTTCTTAGTTGTAATCTCTTGTTTTACTTCTCTACTAAGCCACATTGGTTTTAATTTGTTTCTTTTATATTTATTTCCCAACGGTACATACTGAGAAATGTACCTTTTTAATATTTGTTGGAAGATGATCCATTTATCCTCAGTGTTCTTTTCAGTCAATAGATTGTAAAGCTTCCCTTAACTTATTGAAATTGGCCTTTTTAAAATTATATGTTTTAGTATTCCCCATGTGCTTTTGTTTTTTTGAGTTTATTTCAAAGGACACTATATTGTGATCACTATTTCCCAAGTGCTCACCTACTTGAATGTTGGTCAAAAGATCAACGTTGTTTGTTAAAACCAGGTCCAGACAAGCGTCCATTCTAGTTGCTGCTTGTACAAGTTGTGACATGAAGGTGTCATTTAACAAGTTTAAAAACCTAATTCCCTTTGCTGAGGCACTAGTCCCTCTGTCCCAATTTATATCCGGGTAATTAAAATCTCCAATAATTAAAGTGTTACCCAGATTTGCAGCTTTCTCAATTTGCTCAAACAGCTGTTGTTCCTCGTCAATATTAACATTAGGTGGTTTATAACATATCCCAACCAATAGTTGGTTTTCCCCCAAGCAGATATTTACCCATAAAGCTTCCACATTATCCTCCTCGCATTCCATTTCCTAAACATTTGGCTTTAAATCATGGTTGACATACAAACATACCCCACCACCCTTCTTGTTTTTCCTATCCTTCCTAAATAACATGTACCCATTTAAGTTAGCTGCCCAGTCACGTGTCTCATCCCACCATGGGACTCCGAATCTACCATAAACATAGCAAATACAAACTGAAATACATGTAATATAACAGCAAATACTAACAAATGACCAAATAGCAAAACGAACCCACAGATCAGGGTCAATTAGGTACTCCTCTGACTAGGGAGCAGCAAAGAAAGAGGAGGATCTGAGGGTGTGGTGCCTACTATTATACTTGGACTTGGCTGGGAGTGGCCTATGTTACTATGTATGCATTATTTTGTCATTCTGCTTTGTATTCTTTGCTGCTATTGGTGGACAGTAAAGAAAGGAATATGCATTTTAAATATATATTAACTGACACTCCAACAGCTGTAAAGTAATCAGTACAGTAAGGGTTAATCACCCATACTATGCAAATCAGGGAAAAGGTCAATCGAGATCTCACCAGGGCCCAGGCCAGCAATAAATACACGAGGCAGGGAAGGTAAAACGAAGGAGGGGGACGAGAGACAAAACCGGAAGGAAATACACTCCCAAAAACTGGTGAGACATGCGGGCAGCTAAAAACTATTACTGAACAGGCGCTATTTGCTCGCGAAGGGTTGAACGCATCCAGTATGTAGAAAACCCGTGAACGGGTAAAAACAGCCCAGCGTACGGTTACAAGTCCGCGAACGTGAAATAGCACTCGCGAACCGAACATTGCCGCGAAACAAGCAGTTCAGGTGTTCGATCAGGCAAACAGCCAAACGCCAGCCCCACACAGGGCGAACGGGGTCAAAAAGGGCGCCAAAACAGTACGGGACTCCAGGGAGCTCCAGAGACAGAGGGAAAACACAGGGGCACCAAGAGAAAACAGAGCAAGACAAGACAAAGGCAGAAAAAAATTCAGACTGCAGGTACCAAAAACTGAAAAACCGCAAGTATAGATGAAAGAAAAATAGAAAAGTGAGAAAGGATAGGGGTACAACAAATGACCACCGGAAAAAAAAAAAAGCCTTCAGCTGGTATGGGACTCCGAATCTACCATAAACATAGCAAATACAAACTGACGTACATGTAATATAACAGCAAATACTAACAAATGACCAAATAGCAAAACGAACCCACAGATCAGGGTCAATTAGGTACTCCTCTGACTAGGGAGCAGCAAAGAAAGAGGAGGATCTGAGGGTGTGGTGCCTACTATTATACTTGGACTTGGCTGGGAGTGGCCTATGTTACTATGTATGCATTATTTTGTCATTCTGCTTTGTATTCTTTGCTGCTATTGGTGGACAGTAAAGAAAGGAATATGCATTATGAGCCTCCGTGTCTTGTAACAAAATCAGCATGAAATAAAGATTAGTTGTATAGCATGATGCTGTAAATTTATGCTCAACATTTTTGGTACATTAAATCCATTAACCAAAGTTAATTGAACTTGTCTTCAAACATTCACTTTGTCAAAGCAAAAATGAATAAATTTCAGAAAATTACCTAAATCGCATTATCTGCAAATCTATGTATACAGAATGAACAGCTTAAGGGTTGTTCCAAGAACCATAACCACTGGAACAAGTTCCCGGGTATCTGTCAATTCTATGTATATTCTTTGCACAGTGGGTTGTTCAGCTTGACGCTCAGTAAGGACCCAAGTAAGAGGGCAAACCATTGCAGTGAAAGGTTTTTTTTTTTTTTTTTTTATTATTTTTAAGATATTTGTTTAACCACTTCATTTAACAAACATTGATGTTTATTTAACCCCTTAATGGTGGAGGCAATTGTACACGTTCTGATCAAAACAAAATGTAAACAGAACTTTGAATTTCTGCTATGTCTGCTTAGTGCCTCCAAACTTTTATATATAATTTTGTTTAGAAGAAGCAGGGCTTTTATTTCACATCAAATATTTTATATTAAACATATGTTAACATGAATTAAATATAAAAAAGTTTGAGAAATCCAAAAAATATTTTACAAGTTCTGCATTTTAACTGTGAATGTCATAATACTGTTGGTTTTTACTACAATAAAATACACATTTTTGTGTTCGGCGATGTTTCACAAGTACAAAAGTACCCCCAATGTAGAGGTTTTAATGGGGGTTTGAAAGTTACAGGGTCAAATAAAGAGCTTGCATCATTTCAGTTTATACACATGGAAATTTTCCAAATTGGTTGTTATCTGAGACTATATGGCAGCCCAGGAATGAAAATTAACCCCATCGTGCCATACCATTTGCAAAAGTATACAATCCAAGGTATTCAAAATGGGTTATGTCCAGTCTTTTTTTAATAGCCACTTAGTCAAAAACTCTGGCAAAAGTTAGTGGTCATATTTGTGTTTCTTTTTCTTTTTTAAATTTCTTTTTTAATTTTTTTTTTTTTTAGATTTTTCACACAAAAAAACTGCACGGTCACTGATGACAAAATTATTATGATACATTTTACTGTTTTAAAACATTTGTGTTCAGCGAAGCTACAGGATCAATATAGGTATTTCCCATTTCATTCAGACAGATTGGTTTGTTGCTTTTGAGACCATATAGCAGCCCAGGAATGAGGATTATCTCCATCATGGCATACTATTTGCAAAAGTATACAACCCAGTATAGTTTTCAAGCGGGGGATGTCCAGTATGGGAACAGTGGACCAAAAATGCATACCCTATTCATACGTATCTCATATTGTATATTTTGATTCTTATTGTTGGGCATTTTTTCCACCATTTTCTTTCAAAATGTATTATTCACAATATTTATTATGACATTTATTATCTTTACTTAATTGTACATGCACATTGCATTTTAGCTGTTTATTTTGTAAATCTGATGTGATAAAAATCACTAAATTGCTTATCTGTATCTCCTATTTACAGAATTATTTAAGATGGGTGCATGTTGCGTTTTAGCAGCTCACAAATTTCTCCATAAAACCATATTGTTCGCAAATGTGGATGCTTGGTCTTTCACATGCTATATTTCGAGCTTTATTGAGAGGCCTGTTTAACAATTTCATTTCAACGTTTACCCCAACTGTAACCCGAAATATCAAATGTAACCCAAACACTAAAAGTAGTGAGCAACCTTAACTTAGTGTTAAAGCGTTTCCCTCTGCTGATGTCACTCCTAAAATCTTCAGAGGGATTCCATTACACGTTATCATGATATGATTTTAAGCCCCTTAACAATGTAATTACACACACAGTGATCAGCTCTGGGCAGCATGCAGAGCCCGGTGCTCATCACTCTCTGCAGTGGTTAATAGCATTGTAGGGAGACACAATCATGGTATTCTTAGAACCCTTGCTTCTTCCTCTCTCTGCAGGAAACCGTAATGTCACCAGCCCATGACTTAATGTACATGCTCGGCAACGATCCAGTGTCGTTATTTGTGATTCCCTCTGAGAGACTATATTGGAGTCTAGATCATCAATTTTGATAATCTCAGCCATTCCAATGCTTCGCCATAGGAAAGCATTGGGAAACAATTGCACATACACAACAAAATGCCACTGCGCCATTTTAACTTCTCACAGAGATGCATTGAATCAATGCAATCTATAGGGAACATTAACAGTGTGAAGCACTGACCTAGGAAGCACCTCTAAAGGCCGTCTGAGTGACTGTTGCTAGAGGTGTCACCAGGCAGCAATATAAACGGTGCCTTTTGTCAGAAAGGTCAGTGTTTACATTGAAAAGCATTCAGGGAAAGGATATAGACTTCAGAACAACTACATTAAGCTGTAGTGGTTCTGGTGACTATAGTGTCCCTTTAAAGGACCACTATTGGTAACCAGACCACTTCAGCTTAATGAAGTGGTCTGGGTGCCAGGTCCAGCTAGGTTTAACCCTTTTTGCTGTAAACATAGCAGTTTCAGAGAAACTGCTATGTTTACCTTAGGGTTAATCCAGCCTCTAGTGACAGCCGCTAGAGGCGCTTCCGCACTTCTCACTGTGATTAGCACGGTGAGAAGACGCCAGTGTCCATAGGAAAGCATTGAGAATGCTTTCCTATGGACTGGCTGAATGCGTGCACGGTTCTTGCCACGCATGCGCATTCAGCCAGGGACGTCAGAAGAGGGAGGAGAGTCTCCAGCGCCGAGGGAGCCCGGCGCTGGAAAAAAGGTATGGTATTAACCCCTTCAGCTCCACGGGAGTGGGACTCTGAGGGTGGGGGCACCCTCAGGGCACTATAGTGCCAGGAAAACGAGTATGTTTTCCTGGCACTATAGTGGTCCTTTAAGAATTTTATTTTTGGCGTTAATTTCTCTGGCTCCTCACTTTTCTTATTGTGATATTATTCAGCTCCTCTTTATTTATTTATTTTTTTGGTTGTGCACAGATAACCGTCCTGCATTACCCCGAAAGCAGTAGCAATATCTGCAAAATACACCTAGTATAACAGTGTGGCTATAAATATAACGGTACATTTTTTGTTGAAATATGTAGGTGAGAAGAAACACAGTTTGAGATATGTCGGTGTACCTGAATGAATTAACGAGCGAAGGTCTGGTTTTTGTAGCTGACATTAGACAGGAAAATGGTCAGAGGTCGTAGCGATCGACGCCAGTCCATTGTGTCCCTGGACAGGTCGGGATAGGTCAGGGAATGGCACTCAAAATGTAGGTTATATCCCTCCCCTTGTCCGGGGTGTGTGTGTTCAGTCTAGAAAGTGTGTACCAGACATCCAGCGGCATAGCTTTAGCTTGTTTAGAGGTAAATAGTGTGCCAAATAGTCTGCGTAACAGATGTGGTATTTCAGTAGACTCTATATTTTCAGGCAGTCCGCACACTATAACGTTTTTCTAGTGCCTTTTATCTACCAGGGATGCCATGCTTTTCCGGTTTTGTGCTTGGGCCCTCTTGAGGGTCGTGAGTTGTCTGGTCTCATGCGCATCAGTGTTGAGCTCTGTATTTTGCAGACGCGCCTACACTCTGCTGATTTCTTCCCGGAACAAGCCAATGTCAGCTGCAATATTGCGGCGCAGCTCATCAAGCATGTCCCTTTGCTTCTCTTCCGACACCGGAGGTTTCTCCACGCGTTTAGCAGGTGAGTGTGCAGGTCGGGATGGGGCCCTTGTGTCGTAGTCCCCTGCGTCTGAGACAGATGCCTCACTGGATGAGCGGTACAACCTTTCTGTCAGCGACACCATTGCGGCCCTTCTGAGAGTTTGGAATTCCTCCGCAGAAGTTAACTGATCTCGGCTGTAGTTGGGTGTTGATCCACCTTATATTTTTTGCTGTGGCGTCCCCTACCCTCAGGAAGTTAAGCTGTGGAAATTTGCGCTGAAATATTAGATTTTTCTTTGTTTTTAGTTGATTTTTGCCAAGTTCTGCTTGGAGATCCACTGAGATGCGTCCTCTCGGTATGGCTGCTAGCTCCGCCCCCTCAGCTCCTCTTTTTTTTATTTTTATATAGCTATATTTTATTTATCATTAAATAGTATTTTTATGCAACCAGTTTGTAGATATCCTATATTCCTCAAAATACAATCATTGCCTGTGAAGTGGGCAACTAAAGGTGCTTAAGAGTGCCTAATATGGCCTTGGGCCATGTGAGTTGGCTTGATTCATAATTTTTGTTTTACATATTATGTTGGCTTTGTGTAGATACATTCCCCTCTTTTTTGCTTTCTGTAGATAGTTATTAATTGGAAATACCTATATCTACCAGGGATGCCATGCTTTTCCGGTTTCGTGATTGGGCCCAAAGCACAAAACCGGAAAAGCATGGCATATATATATATAATACTGCGGTGTAACTCTTGCGGGAGGTTTGGGGGTGACAATAAACTTGATTGCAAAAAACCTGTTAAATAATTTAAAAAAGAAAAATACAGACTCAAAAACTGGTATGTGGCCTTTAGTTTTAAAAATATATTTATTTTCACTTTTATAATGTGGTGGCTGACCAGCTTCCATAAAATGTAATTCTGAATACAAGCCTAGTTCCCAGCCAATTAAACAGAACAAATCCCAGCACCGTTCACAATTGTCTGGGGACAGGTATGTCTTCATAAAGCTGCCTGCTCCCCCGAAAAACCATGGCTAAGTGATCGGATTCATGAATGAGTTATAAAAGGACTTTGCGCTGCACAGAGCTCATTGGTCAGTCTGGGGGCACTAAAAATCGCTGATTAACAGGAGCCCCAGGTATCTTTGATTGGTTAGTGATGTGAGCAGGAAATTAAAGGATCACTATAGGGTCAGGAACGCAAACATGTATTCCTGACCCTACAGTGAAAACCCACTGTGTCAAAAACACATTAAAATACATAACTTATGTTTCACAGAACTGAACACCACATGTGACATATCCCCAAATAGCTTGGATCTGAGCGCTCAATATATCCGAACAGCGCTCAGATCCCATGAACATAGTCAAATTGCCATGGGGTTCAATTGTCTATGGAGGTCTCTTTTGACCAACCGCAGCATGGCTTTCCTGCCCAAAACAGCTCCATAGAATTTGGCTGTGTGGCCGGTCTATTTCCCATGTTAAAGTCACTTCAAATAGACGAACGGCAACCATTTGTGCAAATGTCAGTGATAAAGTGGCGTTCGAATTGTCGAACGCCGTTAGACACCCGTTAAAGTTTAGAGAAGGCAAAGTTCAGCAGTGTTCCTGCTGTAGCGTGTCCGATTTGAGTTCCATGAACTCTACAGCCAAACACCGCTGAACGTGTTCGACTATACTAACTGCGACAACCCAGCCGTTCGTCAATTAGCGGCGGTCTCTATCTCAGTCTAATATATGGGCCATAGTCCTGGGGCAAGAGGCTGGCAAGCAGGCCCCTTCAAACACCAGTGACGAAGGTGCTTTCGTCACACCCACCATTTAGGTAGTTTGCCAGATGACAGACTGCCCATCAGGATAACTATACACAAAGTGTTGCTGTAGCACTTTCAATCTTGTCCTTACACTACAGTTCTCCTTAGTCGTCCTGGCACCGACTAGGTGATCTGTGACTGTAGCAAAACTGGGTGTCACATATTTTATACATCTATCAAAGAAAGATCACTCATAGGATTTTCATTGGAAAGTATATTACAAAATCATAGATGTCTCAATCTATCATGGTCTTTGTTAAGATATATATATAAATATAGTGAAATAGATCTTTTGGTTAATAAAAAAAAAAAAAAACAAGCACAATGAATGTTACAGAAAGAAAAACCTTTGGCATAACAATATTTTTTTAATATGATTTAAAAGGTGAAATCGATGTGGAGAAGTGTAACTAGATACGCTGTCCCTCGAACACCTATCTTTTATTTCCATAAAACATTCCGTTACATGATAGATATCATTGTCCGATAAAATAAACTTACTTTATTAGTGCAGTGATATTTATGTGCATGATTTATCGTTTTCCATTCTGTTTTAAAACTACTTTAACGAAACATCAAAACTTCTCGCATTTTGCAACTCTGTTATACGTAGTTTTTATGATTTAAAATTAGACCATCTATCTTAACTGCCATACAAAGAAATAATTATTAAAACTGAGACCAGTTTTTCCTGTTTTTTACTTGAAACTATTTTGAGACTAGATACTTTCTACTTCTAGAATTACAGGTTTAGCAGACACAGGAAATGTGGAAAGAAGGTTATGCTGCATTTTATATATGAAGCATGCTATTCATCTTGTGAGTCATCACTGCTGGTTCTGCTCCAAAACCTAAATCTGCTTTCTACATCTTTTATAAGTGTTCTCACCCCACCCCCACCTCACATTTTATGCTACTTTATGTCTTATAATAAGGCAATATTATTTTGTATGAAAGTTATTGAAAACAAATGTACTTCAAGAAATAGTGGGCTTAATTTTCTTGTGTAGTGGATTTGTTTTTCACGACTGCTATTGTCACTTCCCTGGATTTTTAATTATGTATAATTACCTCGATATTTAAAGGAAACTTCCAAGCAACATAACCATCACAGTACAGTTTTTAGAATAGTTGTACTTCTTACCTGGTTTCTGCTGAGCTCCGCTTCCTATCTTCACTACTTCCATCGGAGAGTGATCTAGTCCTAACTCCTGCTTTCATTCCTTGAAAGTTGAGGAGGGGAGATGTGCCTGGTGGGCCTCATATACTTACAATGATGGGTCTCTTGGGCCCTCCTGACACCATAACGAGTATGTTGTGATTATCATATGTAAGATTATTCCTTTAACAAATGTGAATCGGAATGCAGGTTTCTATTCCTAATGCTGTAGTGTTCCTTTAAGAGAAAACAGAGTATCACATGAACCGTTGTAGGTGATCTACTTTTTTTTTTTTTTTATTGTCCAATATCCCGAGAAACAAACCTATTTAAAACCTCTCTGTCTCATTGATATACATTCTGATTATTCATAAAATCACTATCTTTATGAAGTACTCATAAATACTCAGAATACTAACAAAAAAAAAAAAAATCTTTAAGAAGTGGGGATGTGCTAGTAAACACACACACACACCCACCCACCCACCCACCTCTTGTCCACTCTCTAAGCTGCCTTTTGCAATGGGGATGACAAAAATGTAAAATGTTAACACCACTGATATTGATGTAGGCCTCATTTTCCTCTCCACACCACCAATAAGTGTGTTAGGGATAGCTGGGTTATGACTCATATTTGTGTTCCTGGGGTGAACTGACTCTAATTGGAATTGTCTAGCACTGCTAAACAGTTATAAAAGTAGCTTTTAAAAGGAACACTATAGTCAACCAGATCACCTCATCTCATTGAAGTGGCATGGGCACAGTGTCCCTGTCTTATTAACCTTGCAATGTAAAATATTGCCGTTTTTGAGAAACTGCAATGTTTACATTGCAAGGTTAAATCCACCATGAGTGGCTGTTAGTATGACAGTCGCCATATAATCTTACTCTGCAATGACAGAGTAAAACGCAAGTGAAACAGAAGCCCCATAGTAAAGCATTATTTTGGTGCTTCCCTAAGGGGAAGTTGGAATGAAAGGCTCATGCACATTTAGGTCCCCAATGCTTCACTATAAGGAGCATTGGATTGGACATTGGCGGTGGTTGCCATGCTTCCTCCATGACATAGCAGGAGGCAGAGAGTTAAGCAGCACAGAGGGAGCCTCAGCCCTGGAAATGTAAAGTAAAACTTTTTTTTTTAATTTCATTTTTGTTTTATTGCACTGGAGAAGGGGACCTGAAAAAAAAGTAGGGATACTATATCATTAGGAATACAGACATGCATTCTTAATGCTGTACTGTTCATTCTTTAAACTTTAATTGGGAGTATTTCATTTACAGGACCTAGAAACACATTTAGATATTATGATCTTATGTCGAGTTTTGGAAATACTTGGAAAATTAAAAACACCTGGAGAATATCTTGTGGCTTTCATAGATTTTTCCTTGTAGTTAGATCCAAGTTCAAGGAAATCTTGTGTTGAATTTGGCTTTCTAATGCAATTTAAAGATATTGCATCTTTAATACTGGTTATACAATGGAAGCATTGAACGATCTGTGATCTGCATGTTGAGTAATGTTATAATAAAAATTGTTTATTTGGCCTATGACTCAACACATTGATATAACAGTGTATAAAGAACTGTTTTTTTAAGGCATACCTCTTAAAGGACCAGACCACTTCCTCTCAATGCGGTGCTGTGCCCCTTTTAGTTTTAACCTTGCAGTCTTTATTAAAACATTGCCATTGACGGTCTTCCTGACAGCTACTAAAATAACCATGTCAGACTCTGTTATCCAATCAGTGAAGTATTTCATTGGTGCTGCGTGGCGATTTGCTACACTGTGGGGAAGCATTGGGTTGGCTAAGGTGATCAATCTGGGCAGCTGTGGCGAGACCAGCACAGCGAGGAAGTAAAGGTAAGTAAAAAATGATTTGGGACGGTAGACGAATAAATATGTTGGGTAACACTGTTTGTTCCATTAAAGAAGCAGTTCAACCAAAATATAAATAGAACACAAAATGCAAGCTATCTGTGAATACATCCAGGTTTTGTGGATGATTTGAAATTTAAAAAGGAAAAATAATCTACATATTCTGCTATTCTTTTGCATTAATAACTGGATCTGTTCCTTCATTTTAAAGAAAAATCATGTGCTTTAATAAAGTAAGAATGGAAAACTGCTTATATATATGTTTCACTTTATTTACATTTCCAACTGCTTTGTCCTATTAAATCTAGCAGTAAAAATATATGAATACAATGTAAAAAAAAATCTAAAGGTATACCGTATATACTCGAGTATAAGCCGACCCGAATATAAGCCGAGGCCCCTAATTTTACCACAAAAAAACTGTGAAAACTTATTGACTCGAGTATAAGCCTAGGGTGGGAAATGCAGCAGCTACTGGTAAATTTCTAAATAAAATTACCGGTAGATCCCAATAAAATTACATTAATTGAATATTTATATGCAGGGGGCGTGGCCTGAGCTCTGACCGGGATGGACGCCTGAGCTGTGAGCTCCGTACTGCCGGCAACCTAAATAGCCTGCTAATCAGCTTTTACCAGCTCCTATGGGGCGCCACCGACGCACGGATACCCCCCAGACACCGAGGGGCCCCCAAACGGGTCAGCCTCACGGCCCGATGGACGGATTCCTCCAGTCCCAGACGGACGCGAGCGGGGAGGCAAGTGGATCCAATATGGCGCCGACAGCCCTGCCCCCCAGGGAACCGCATGGCGCTGCGTTGGAGAGGATAGGCGAAGAACTCCGTAATATGACTGCAGCCATGGCCACAAAAACGGACCTCCTAGTCCTCACAACCACCATACAGGATGCACTGCGTGCCGAAATGGCGGGAATTAGGGCGGAGGTGACAGCACAGACAGGCCGCATCCAGGACCTGGAACGCTCCCACGAAGCCCATGCCACGAGGCAGCAAGCAACGGATACAGCCCTAACACGCCAAGGTGAGCTGCTCCTGCAAATGAGAAGGTCGGTCGAGGACCTAGATAACAGGGGGCGCAGATGCAATATTAGGGTCCGTGGGGTCCCCGAAAGTGGAGGAGAAGCAGAAAATGCTGAGGATATTTTACTTGGCTTATTCCGCCTGATACTTGGAGAGGCCGCACCCCACACTCTTAAATTTGAACGAGCTCATAGAGCCCTTCGCGCCAGGTCCCTGGACGAAGGCCCACGAGACCTGATATGCTGCCTTCACTCCTTCCGGGACAAGGATGCCATAATGAGAGCAGCCCGCTCACGCCCAACCTGGGATTACAGGGGTGCTGCGGTCTCCCTGTATAATGACCTCTCCCCGATTACACTAGAGGCCAGGAGGGCACTGAAGCCAATCACAGCTGCCCTACAGGAAAGGAACATACCTTATAAATGGGGCTTTCCCTTCGCCCTACTAGCCCGCACTCAGAATGGCTGGACATCAGTCCGCTGGCCCGAGGAGATCCCAAGATTCCTGGAGGAGCTGGACCTGCCTCCAATTACGGTTCAAGACTGGATTCTGAGCCCACTGGGAGGGGGACCACGCCAACAACGGGCACCCCGGAGACGGGGGGACAACCCACCAAGAGGTCCGGCACCCCGCAGACGTAACAACCCGGAGGTGCCGGAGTAACAGATAAGCCCTCGGCCATCTACTCTCTACCCATGACTAATCCCCTCAGAGGAGCACTATGCCCTGCGCGGACACTGGACTTGGAACTGCAACCCCTCAAACCCAAACCACGGAGTGGAATGCTGCGTAGATAACCCTCCTGCTTCACCCTCACTCGGGATCCTCCCAATGCCAACAAGAAGTAACGGAGAGGTTCTCGTTCCCCTACCCCCACGGAGTTTTGGGTGGGAGTGACGGGTGATGTTTCTTCTTTTGACCGGGTGGGAAATTGGGAGGAAGGCTGCCCGCCATTCAAGCCCAGGAGACACATATCACCATGGACTTCAGTTGGGGAGGGGAGGTCGATGCGGGGAACTTTTTGCATTACCTGGGGGGGCCCTACTTCCGACCCTAAGCTGGGAACCTCCATCTGTGACACTGTGGAACTCACCTGTGCATTGCGGAGCACAGGTTGGCGAGACATTGATGCTGCAAACAAGCACCAACTCTCTTGGAGATCTATGCACTGGACTCACGGTATTGTGCAGCACCCACAGTATATATAACAGATCACATATCTCACCCAGTGACCTCACCTCCTCTACCAGATGTCTGTTACACATATTGTATCGTACATATAATACGTATTGCATATAGCTGTTATATATATATTAGGGTGGCATTTGTATGACACAACTGCTGGACATGCCGACCCCCCCAGGCCTGCGGACGGGCTGGTTCACGTGTCCGGAATGCATACACCGGGGACTGGGCGGTCTGGTGGCTGGAGGGGTCGGCATATCGCGCAGAGGGAGGTCGGGACTCCTAACACAATCAACATTGAGGGGTAGACACCCGGGAGGAAATGGGGGAGGGGGGGGGCCCCACCGGAGCAGATAATCAACTGACCTTCTCTTATTTGTGGGAGGGCGGGGAGGGAAATGTAAGTTTTCCACGGTTGCAGACCACTCACGGGGGACACGCTGGGGCCGAGAGGTCAGGGGTGGAGGGAGATGGGGAGAGAATACAGGTTGATAACAAACGCATAATCATCCAGGCTGTTCTATCGCTCGCCTAATTTTGCAATGTTAATCTATTTAAGTTATCCTATACCACATCTGTCGGGTGGCGCCCTATCTATGGTTCAAATGGCACTAGGCTATGGTGCTGGCGGGTGGGACACACGGATATTATTCTGACACCACACTTATTTTCCATATCCATTCTGGTTTGGAGCGGAGCCATTGACTCCATTGACTCGTGCGTTTTTCTGGACGGCGGAGCCCCCAGAGATCCACATCCCGGTCTGGTTACCGGAGTGGCCTCTGGCGACCCCTGCTGTCGCACGACTTACACCTCCTTAAAACTGAGGTGACATTGAGGTGCATTCTCTTTAACTTACCCATCCCCCACTACAGGGCACCTCCATCTGGGGAATATCGCACTTTCCCCATTTTTTTACTCTATTCTTTCCTACTCACTATACTTGACACCACTCATATTTTCCTAGTAGTCCGTCCTGGGCTCTAACACAGGTGCGCAATATAGCCACATCTCGCACCCTCCTCACACCGGCACCACACCTCGCCGACTACACAACCTCACGCACCACACTGGGTATACGGGAACGGTGAGAGGGGCAAAATCTACACACAACGCCACTACCTTAGTGATCTCGCCACTTGACTGGGAAAGCTTCTACTGGCCCTCCGCTCCCGCAGCTACACAGACCACTAACTCCTAGTGGCCACACCAACGGGAGGGGGCTAGCCGGGACTATATAGCCACCCAGGGAGGGGGGGATCGGGCGCCGGGCTCTCCGCGTGCCCTGAGCCGAGTGCCGGGATGTCAGCACCTTATCATAATGCCCCGTTGCAAGTCCTAACCCTTAACTGCAGAGGTCTGAACGTTCCTGAACGCCGCACCCATCTCCTGCGAGAACTGCGGAAATCGCAAGTATCTGTAGCTATGCTTCAAGAAACCCACTTCCTAGAGGGATGTGCACCAAAACTACGGAACCGATATTACCCCAACAATTTCTTTAGCAACCACAACACGGCACGTAGAGCCGGTGTTGCCATCGTCCTGTCCGCTAACCTAGACTTCAGGGAACTGGACAGGATGATTGACACACAGGGGAGGTTTATCTTCCTAAAAGGCACCATTGCCGATAAACTCTACACATTGGTGTCGATCTATGTGCCCAACACAAACCAGGCAAGATTCCTTAGGGGAACATTGAATAAGCTACGAGGATTCTCGGAAGGAGCGCTTATTATAGGAGGCGACTTTAACACCCCACTAGACCCCCAGAAGGATACATCGACAGGCAGTAGCTGTCTACCACACTCTAGTATTCGCTCGATCCGCAAATCAATGAGCGAGATGGGTCTAGTGGACAGCTGGAGAGCGCTTAACCCGGACTCCAAGAACTACACCCACTACTCGGCACTTCATCAACGCTACTCGCGAATCGACTACATACTGCTCCCACAGGAGGGCCTGACACGACTTAGGGCAGCTACTATAGGCCCTGCCACCTGGTCAGACCATGGCCCGATGATGGTTGAACTGGAATCACCGCTATTCAAACCAGCCCGTTGGACCTGGCGACTGAATGAGTCCTTGCTCCAAGACCCAGAGGTTTTAGGGGAAGTAACACAAGCCCTTGAATTATATTTCAGAGAAAATGATGTGGAAGGAATATCGCCTATATCGATCTGGGAAGCACACAAAAGTGTAATTCGTGGAAATCTCATAAGGATAGCCTCCCGCAAGAGGAAAGCGGCGATGCGGGAGATGGCAGAAGTTTATGAGACCATCGCAAAGCTGGAACTCCAACACAAACGGACTCAACACGTTGACACACAAACGGAACTATTAAATGCCCGACGACGACTCCGAGACCTCATCACGCGAAAGTACTACCGCTCCTTACAATATTCGAAGAATTTCTTCTATATACACGCGAACAAAGGCGGCAAATTCCTGGCACGCCTTCTGAAAGGCGACACACCGCGAACAAGGGTACACAAACTCCGCCTCCCCTCTGGGACATCAACCTCCTTCCCAGACGAGATCGCAAACGAATTTCGCCGATACTACCATGCTTTATATAATCTCCCCGCCCTGGATGGGACAACGCCGGGACCTGTAGCCCTCACGCCCACCCAGGCCTTCCTACGGGATAATGTCTGCAAACGAGTGAACCCAGACGCGACAACCATGCTAGATGAACTGATTAGCACCGAGGAACTAACCGCAGCTCTGAAGGCAACGAAGGTGGGTAAAGCACCGGGCCCGGACGGATTCCCCACAGGGTATTACAAACATTTCTCCGCACTACTCCTGCCCTGGCTGACGAAGGCACTCAACGCCATCACGGAAGGAGGACGATTTGGCATGGAATCACTAGCAGCTACAATCGCGGTCCTGCTCAAACCTGGGAAGGAACCCGAGCATTGCGGCAACTACCGACCGATTTCCTTACTGAATGTGGACACAAAACTCCTTACGAAAGTGCTGGCGACCAGGCTACAACGCGCGCTACCGAGTATAATTCACGCAGACCAAACGGGATTTATCCCAGGTAGAGAAGCTCGGGACAGCACACTACGACTTTTCTCCATACAACACCGAGCGCGAACCTCACGGGAACCCCTCTTACTGCTCTCTACAGACGCCGAAAAGGCCTTTGACCGGGTCAACTGGTCGTACATGATGCACACGCTAAGGGCCATGGGATTGGGATGTAAGATGATGTCGTGGATATCCGCCTTATACGATAAACCGCACGCGGCGGTCAGGGTGAATGGAGCACTGACCGCCAACTTTGAAATTAACAACGGGACCAGACAGGGATGCCCCCTATCCCCTCTTTTGTTCGCCATGACCCTGGAACCGCTTCTACAGGCTATAAGACAGAACCCGGACATTCACGGTTTTATTTGGAAGGGGTCAGAACATAAGGTGGCGGCCTATGCGGACGACCTTCTCTTTTTCATATCTAACCCACGAATCACAATGCCCTGTCTACTCCTAGAATTTGAACGCTTTGGACGGATCTCAGGATTCAAGCTTAACCTTACGAAATGTGAGGTCCTTAATGTTACCCTCCCACAGAATGAATATGCCACACTGAGCTCTGCTTTTCCATTCCGATGGTGCGAAGGGAAAATGAAATACCTAGGAATATGGATCACTACCGATCCGCGAGACGTTTATCGACATAATTTTACCACCATGTTACAACAATTAACGTCAGACCTTGATCGCTGGGCATACCCACACATCACCTGGCACGGACGGATCGCGGTCCTCAAGATGAACGTACTACCACGGATCCTATATCTATTTCAAACCATCCCAATATCGCTACCGGCAACCTTCTTCTCAACTCTGAAAACGGTGGTCATCCGATATGTCTGGAGAGGGGAGAGATCCCGACTACGATATGAAACGCTGTGCTTACCCAGATACAGGGGTGGCCTGTCACTCCCGGATTTTAAAAAGTACCACCAAGCTACCACAATGCAGCGTATCCTGGAGTGGCACGCAGCCGAAAACCCGAAACAATGGGTAACCCTGGACAGAGCTGACTCAGGGACCAAACTTAAGGCTGATGTGTGGCGAGAAGGGACGGGTCGCTGTGGGAAAGAAGAGGATGGGAACCCAGTAGCACAGACATTGAAAACGTGGAAGACAACTAGGAGAATGACACAGGTCTCCCCAACCCCTAGCCCTATGCTCCCGGTTACCCATAACCCCGACATCGGAGGAGGACTCCCATATGGGAGCTGGGCGTTTCTGGGGGAAAGGGACTATGTCCCGTTCTGCACAATTTTGGAAGGAGGAACCATACGACCACTCAACTCATTGCTGTCTGACAGACCACAGACGCCCTTACTAACCCTACACTACCTCCAATTGACACATTACTACGACTCCTTACCTCAAAAACAGCTGCTACACAGGGACCTTACGTGGTTCGAGGGACTATGCCGCCGAGGCACCGCACTTGAGAAGGCAGTATCTCTCCTTTACCAACACTTGTTGATAGGAGCCTCCTCGGACAATAATACCTTTCAAAGACGGTGGGAAGCACAACTAGAGATACAAATCACACCAACACAATGGGGAACAGCTCTGCTATGGCAATATAAAAGTTCCTCAAGTTCCTACTACCAGGAGGTCAACTATAAATTGATCTCCATGTGGTACAGGACCCCAGTCGTATTACAGAAGATTTTCCCGGAGGCATCCCCAACCTGCTGGAGATGTCAGGAGGCAAGGGGCACCTTGTTACACCTGTGGTGGGAATGCCGAACTATCTCGCACTACTGGGATCGCATTCACACAGAGATAATGGCAATCCTGGGGAACGACACAGAATGGTCCCGAGAACTGGCCCTACTACATATCACCTCGCAATCCATCCCCGGATACAAGAGATCGATCCTACGCCATTTACTGAACGCAGCCAAATCCTTGATCCCCGTCTATTGGAAGAGATCAGAAGTCCCCACTATGGAAGAGTGGCTCCAAAGGATTGGAGATATACAGGCGGCAGAGGCGTTACGGGCATCCCAGGCGGGACGTTCAGCAAGGCACGCGGAGATGTGGCAATCCTGGTTCTCATACCAAGCGGGTAGATAGCGGGCTTACATCACGCACACGAGGAGTGGAGGGCCGGCGGGCGGACCCCAGATCCTTCATAGCACTGGCTATGACCTCCCCGTGGGACGACTTGCCCCGATGGGAGACAAAACACAAGGACTCACACACTCCCTTGTTAACGCTGACTTTTTACAGGACACACAAGGGCTGAACGAACGTCAACACGGCGATACATAGCCATACTAAATAACCACATGGACGGTTAACACGTACCTGGAATCCCAAGGTACAGTCTGGGACACTGCACACTGACGGGTAACCAAGGAACTGACACAACATACTAGTTCAGACCCCTGACATGCCTATAACGGGTGACAGTACCTGACAGAGACCTACGCTACAGTACCTTACACGCGCAACACGTTCCATCACAAAACGACTAGATAATCCCCGAATACCACGTACCGACCACTCATCTACTCCGAGGTGAGGAGAAAAAGAGGAGCCCAAGGGCGGACTCTTCTAAACCTACTAAACCTTTCTCCCTCTTTCATTTCTCTTTATACTACAATTACCTACCCCCCCACTTAACTGACCCATGGCATAGGAACACGGGATCCACACTGAATGACTAAATGCGGTACATACAATCACACAGGAGGTCGAGATAAGAGCATGAAGTGTAACTAATGGATACATGTTGGGCTCCATCCCAAATCTAACCAGTGGGAAAACACCTACATACCACCTTCTTACATACCGCATATCCACTAGCCATGTCTTAGGCTAATATTTTTATGCATGACCGTAAAGCCGTAAATGCTATATATTACTATAACTTGTTGAACACTCTGGAATGCTGTATAATACATGTTATGTTATTTCACAACGTTATACATGGAGGCCTGCGAGCCTCGCTTTCTACGTCTCCTTTTTCTTTACCGAACTTTCCTCAATAAAAACAGATTTACAATATTTATATGCAGAGTGTGTGTTTGTGTGTGTATATAATGAATGCAGAGTGTGTGTTTGTGTGTGTGTGTGTGTGTGTATATAATGAATATAGAGTGTGTTTGTGTGTGTGTGTATATATAATGAATGCAGTGTGTATATAATGCAGTGTGTGTAAACTGGGTGAGGGGAGGGCATTTTTATTTTAATTTTTTTATTTTAATATTATTTTAATAACATTATTTTATTATTATATTATTTTAATATTTGTATTCTTTTTTGTCCCCCCTCCCTGCTAGTTGCCTGGCCAGGGAGGGGGGACAAAAAAAATAAAAAAATAATGCAAATATTAAAATAATATTAAAATAATATATTTAAAATAATATTATTATTTTATTATTATAGTATTATTATTTTAATATTTGCATAATTTAAAAAATAAAATAAAAAAAAATTAATGCAAATATTAAAATAATATAAAATAATATTTTTTAATATTATATTATTTTATTATTATTAAAATAAAATAATATTAAAATAATAATACTGAATCCCTGGTGGTCCAGTGGCATTGGTTGTTCAGTGGGGGGCTGGCAGCGAGCTATTACTTACCTTCCTGCAGCTCCTGTCAGCTCCCTTCTCCTCCGTGCAGCTCCTCTGTCAGCTCCGTTCTGCTTACAGTGTAAGTCGCGGGTCTTGTAATGAGCCCGGCGGTCCTGGTCTGTATTGTGGCAATGTAAATTGCCATAATACAGATTGACTCGAGTATAAGCCGAATGGGGGTTTTTCAGCACAAAAAATGTGCCGAAAAACTCTGCTTATACTCGCGTATATACGGTATGTTTGCCACCAATTATGCATTGTAGAAGACTAAGAGAAGTGTGCATTGTAGGAAATCTTTCACCATAAGTTGTATTGTTTTATGATTTCTGAAAGTGGTACTGATTAAAAGTCTGAAAATCTGCTCTCTAAGTATCAAGATATCTGTCTTTATAAATCAAATAAGAGGAAGGTGACTTTTGTAAATAACGTAGACTGTAGCACAAGTGTATTCAAAATATTTATGGGAGGATGTAAAAGTAACATACAGCATCAGGTAAGTATATATCGCCTGCATTGCATCCCCAAGCCACCGCACACCAAGCAGGAAAGACACAATGGAAGGTGACAGTGATGCTATAAATTTTTTATTTTTTTTCAAAAGACCATGCAAGAAAGGGAAACTCATTTCCCCCTCCCCTCTGGATCTATAATGTATAAACCAGAGAATCTGTTCAGTCAATCTGTGAGGAGTCATTTGAATAGATTCATAGAGCTATGGATGGCTTTTTGATATGGGCTGTTGACAACTTCAAAACTGGAATATTCAGAGGCATGACGTATGTGGTGCGACGGGGGCAAAAACCCAGCGCCGTGCCTTCAAGGATACTGCTGCGTGCTTTCATGAGTGGGAAGCCCTCACCATCCTTATTCAGCCTTATATTGCAGGAAGATTCTAGCGCCTCCTTTCGTAAGCTCCAGCCATTCAGAGCTGGTTACCTTGGCAACACTGATTCTCAGAGTCCTGGAGCTCGCGAGAGGACTTCTAGCAGTCTATACAGCGCTGTATTTAGAGCGAGGCTGTCAAGGCATTTGCCTTGGCTGGCACTTTCAGGGGGTCGGCAAAAAAAGCCGTCCCAATTGTCCTGGCAAATACCTTGCCAACCTCTTGTCCCGGGGAGTGCAGGAGTTGGCCGGCTGGTCACCTTAGGACCCCCCTGAGGCTGGCATGCTGATGTAGGAGGCAGGGGGCAAGGGAGCACTCTCTAATAACCGTAGAAAAAAATTATAATTATACTTACCATCAGAGGTTTCCTTTTTTTTTTTTTTTTTTTGTCAGACCTATAAAAGGCCAAAATAAGATGCATAACTCCAAGTCATACCTTCCTTATAGCAATATTGCCCCCCCCCCCCATAATCTCCTAAATAACTTATAGTTTTGATGAGAGATTTCCATTAATTTTATCAACAGTGATGAGCGCTATTTAACTATTTGCAGCAACAGCCAGTGGGCTGTAAAGATTAAAAGAACACTATAGTGTTAGGGATATAAACCTGTGTTCCTAATGCTATAGTGTACTTGTCTATAATTAGGTTAGCGCCCCTCACATGAGAAATATAAATAAATATAAATATTTTACTTGCATATTTTAGTGCTGTTTGGACCTCTTGGCACTACCTGTACAGGTGAAGTGAGGTAGGTTTCCGCATTCCATGCATGTTGTGTCACTCTGTTGTAGTCAGCAACTTAGCAGAGTGTGAAGAAAAACTGGAACGTCCAATTAACCCTTCTCTTTAACAATGTTCCTCCTCTTCTCTAGAAAAGGCACGTAACATGTTTAAGGTAGAGACATTATATTGAGGTGGCATGGGAAACGTCATGAAAGAAGGTTAACGTGTTAGACTCAAAGTCAAAGTGAAGTTTATCTCGCATAACTGACAGAATTATCCCATTTGCAAACACTGAAACAGAACATCAATAGCTGAGTGTCCAGCAGGGCCAGGTGCTCTTGGATGGAGATACTGAATACACTTCCTATTTTACTGTAGTAGCTCCCAATCCCCATCACAGATCTGTTCTGGTGCAGTTTGAAGACGAAAGGAAACCTGATTTTTTTATTACATAGAAAAGCAGGTAATATAAAAGACACATAATTGTAAAGAATGCATTAAAGAGGAACTGTCACTTCCAGAGCAGTAATAGTTCCTTGTGTCTTCACCCCAGTAAATGCTATTGTGCGCTCAGGCATAAAATGGAGAAATTATGTATGCACAATCAGCATTTTCCCAGCTGTGCCATACGTGTGCATGTAACACGTGAAGAGCACTGAAGGGTTAACTTATTTACATACTTTGCCTGGGGTTGCTTGGCAAATGTTCTAAATATAATATATCTCTATAAAGAATTAAAATAAAAAGTAACATCACTAATTTCCAGTTAGACATGCTAAAATGTGGGAAGTGGCAGTTGTTTTTTAAAAGACTGCCTTGGTGTTGCTTCCATTTGTCAGTGGTACAATCCAATGCTCCTCATAAAGTTCTACGTGGTCGTTGGAGTCAAAGCGCCTCTAGTAGCTGTCAGTATGAAAAGTGGCCATGTTTTACCTTGAAGAAAACCATAGGACCACTGCATCCAGACCACTTATATGAAATAGTGATCTGGGTGACTTTAGTTGTCATTTTAACGGTTGGCTGACATTCCGTAGACTGAATATTTGAAGAACCAAAAAGAATAAAACTAAAAGAATGACCAAAAAAAATTATTTCTATGCACATCTCCATAAAAAGAAATCTATAACAAAAATAAAAAATAATTTTGTGATAAATCTTGTTATAGTGATAAGATGTCATGTAATATGTGTGTAAATAGTATATTCATTGTGCATAGCTGCAATAAGTAAATATATGAGCACCTTATTAATAATTTCATTTTTATTTTAACATTTTTAGCTATGCCATGGGTTTGATACCGACCAAACAGAGTCTTCAGCTGTGTGAAATGGTTTCCGCCTCTTCTTTTTGCAGGTATGATATTAAGCAAAATATATTGCCGTACTGTAACTTGTAATTCATCTGTGGATTGTTTTTATCAACATTGGGTATATGAAGACATTAATACACACAGCCTGGATCTGTGTTTAAGAAAAATAATCTGACTTGAGGAGCCAATTTAAAGGGACATGCATCACTTTGAGACAACTGGGTCATACAAAAGCTTTAAATGAGATGGTTACTTCACTCTGGGGATGAGTGCTAGCAAGATTGCAAGTTTTACTCTGTGTACATCATGCTGCATGTATGCATGCCTGGATAAATCTGTCCAGGGTCCATACCTCTGATGTGGGTGTGAGCGAGTGGCTTTTCTGGAAGCTTAGATTGGAGATCTGGACAGGCAAATTGCAACACTGAGGGAAATTGACAATCTTGAGAGGAATATGCTGCTCACTGAGCAGAGTTTAGTGGGAGCAGGTAGTGGAGTAGGATGAGTTGAGACAGCTGGGGAACAGGCACATAGCTGAGTAACAGTGGGGCGAGGAAGCAGAGGGGAAGGGAAGAGGAATGGTTTAGCTAGTCCTGATCTTGTGCAGCCTAACAGATTTGCCCGTTTGAGTGAAGATGTTGGGAGCATCAGCTCAGGAGTAGCTGTACTGCAGGAAGCTGTTCCTTCTAACAGCCGTGGGAACACCCCCTCTAGTACGGGTGGGGTTGAGAGGGTAAGGAAGTCTAGACAGGCTGTGGTGGTAGGGGACTCTATTATTAAGAGAGTAGATAGGGTAATCGTCCACTCTGATCGACTCAACCGTACAGTTTCCTGTCACCCGGGTGCTCAGGTCCGGTATGTTGCCGACAGAGTGGAGGGATTATTGGGAGGGGCTGGGGATGACCCAGCTGTCATGGTCCATATATGTACCAATGACAAAGTCAGAGGAAAATGGAAGGTCCTAAAGAATGAGTTCAGGGAACTAGGAAGTAAGCTAAAGAAAAGGACCTCCAAGGTAATATTTTCAGAAATACTACCTGTGCCGCACTCTACAGCAAAAAGGCAGCGGGAGATTAGAGAGGTCAATGCGTGGCTGAAGTCTTGGTGCAGGAAAGAGGGTTTTGGGTTTTTAAAGCACTGGGCCGATTTTGCGCTTGTATAGTCGTGATGGATTGCACCTAAACGGAAGAGGGTCTGCTGTGCTGGGGGATAGGATGGCTAGAAGGCTGGAGGAGATTTTAAACTAGTAGTAGGAGGGAGGGTCAAAGCAATCTAGAAAATGGAGATGGAGATGGACTTTAGCTCAGAACAAAGGGGGTGAAGATAGGGGGGGAGGGGAAAGCTCGGAACAGAGGAGGTATGTAATATTGATAATTCACAAAAAGTACAAGTGACTCATGATATTAAATGGATGCTTACTAATGCAAGGAGCCTATATAACAAAATGGGGGAACTAGAGGCAATAGCATAAACTAAAAAATATGATATAATCGGCATAACTGAAACATGGTGGTATGAGACACATGACTGGGCAGTTAACTTGGGTACATGTTATTTAGGAAGGCTAGGAAGAACAAGAAGGGTGGTGGGGTATGTTTGTATGTCAACCATGAGTTAAAGTCAAATCTTAGGCATGTGGAGTGTGACGAGGAAAATGTGGAAGCTTTATGGGTAGATATCTGCTTGGGGCAAACAAAAGGAAATCAGTTATTGGTTGGAATATGTTATAAACCATCTAATGTAAATATTAATGTGGAAGAACAGCTGTTAAAGAAAATTGGGAAAGCTGCAAATCGGGATAACACGTTAATTATTGGAGATTTTAATTACCTGGACATAAATTGGGATAGAGGGACTAGTACTTCAGCAAGGGGAATCAGGTTTTTAAATGTGTAAAATGACACCTTTATGTCACAACTGGTACAAGCACCAACTAGAAAGGATGCTTGTCTGGATCTCGTTATAACAAACAATGTTGATCTTTTAACCAACATTCAAGTAGGGGAGCATTTGGGAAATATTGATCACAATATGGTAATTTTTTAAAATAAACTCAAAAAAGCAAAAGCACGTGGGGTATACTAAAACGTGTAATTAAAAAAAAAAAAAAAGCCAATTTCAATAAGATTAGGGCAGCTCTACAACATATTGACTGGCATTAACTCCTTAGTGATAAAAACACTGAGGATAAATGGAAACTATTCAAACAAATATTAGAAAGGTACATTTCTCAGTATGTACCACTGGGTAATAAATATAAAAGAAACAAATTAAAACCAATGTGGCTTAGTAGAGAAGTAAAACAAGAGATTAAAAATAAGAAAAGAGCATTTAAAGCATTTAAATCGGACAAATCAGAGGCATCCTATATAAGATAAAAGGAAGCCAATAATGCTTTCAAAAAGGCAATTAAAGTGGCTAAACTAAAAAATGAGAAATTGATAGCCAAAGAAAGCACAACCAATCCCAATTTTTTTTTCAAGTACATCAATTCTAAAAAAACAAAAATTGAAAGTGTAGGTACACTGGAAACAGAGATGGGTTTGTTAGCTAATGAAGACCAGGAAAAAGCAGAAATTTTAATTAACTATCTTTCTTCAGTATATATTAATGAGGATCCTAAGGCAAGAGATATGCAAATGATTGCTGCAAAAAACTTGCAGATAACTTGTGATTGGATAACTCGAGACAAGGTGCTACAGCTATTAAAGAAAATTTATGTAAATAAAGCTCCGGGGCCTGAGGGTATTCACCCATGAGTACTTAAGGAGCTAAGTGGGGAAATAAGTGAACCTCTGTATTTAATTTTTCAAGATTATTTTGTTTCAGGTGTTGTACCGGAGGATTGGAGGAAGGCAGATGTTGTTTCTATATTTAGAAAGGGTTCAAAATCCTTGCCTGGAAATTATAGACCCGTGAGCTTAACTTCTGCGACTGGGAAAATATTTGAAGAGCTATTAAGGGATAATATTCAGGAATTCATTGGGAAGAACTGTGTTATTAGCAATAATCAGCATGGTTTTATGAAACATAGGTCATGTCAAACTAACCTAATTGCATTTTACGAAGAAGTAAGTAGAAGTATAGATCAGGGTGTTGCAGTGGATGTGATCTACTTGGATTTTGCCAAGGCATTTGATATGGTTCCTCACAATAGGTTAGTCTTCAAACTAAAAGAAATTAGTCTGGATGGATATTCTTTTTGTCGGGTAAAACATTGGCTTAAGGATAGAGTACAACGAGTTGTCATGAATGGTAAATTTTCAGGCTGGACAAAAGTGGTAAGTGGTGTCCCTCAGGGTTCTGTTTTGGGACCGCTTTTATTTAACATATTTATAAATGATCTTAAATTAGGCATTGAAAGCCATGTATCAGTGTTTGCAGATGACACAAAACTTTGTAAAGTAATAAAATGTGATCAGGATATTGCTTTGATGCAGAGGGATTTGGATGGATTGGGGGATTTAAAGTACAGAAATGCAAAGTTATGCACTTCGGGGTTAAGAATGCACAAGCAATTTACACCCTAAAGGGTAGTGAATTAGGGATAACCACACACGAGAAGGATTTTGGAATGTGGGGGAGGAGCTAAATGCAGCGTCATACTGCTGCACACAGAGGGGAAGAAGGAAGGAGTCCCTGCTTCCCCAACTACAACACAGCATGGACTGAATCCATTCCTCCTCCAGCCCAAGCTGACTGTAAGTGAGAGAGTGTGTGTAACTGTGATTGTGACTGCCTTTGACTGTGTGTGTGCTGTGTGTAACTGTGATTGTGACTGTCTTTGACTGTGTGTGTGTGTGACTGCCTGTGATTGTCTGTGTGACTGTGTGTGAGATTGTCTGCCTCTGTGTGTGTGTGTGACTGCCTGTGATTGTGTGTGTATGTGACTGCCTCTGATTGTGTGTCTGCGTGTGACTGCCTGCCTGTGATTGTGTGTGTGACTGTCTGTGACTGTCTGTGACTGTGTTGTGTGTATGTGTGACTGTCTGTGAATCTGTGTGTGTATGTGTGATTGCCTGCGTGTTTGACTGTCTGCCTGTAACTGTGTGTGGGACTGTGTGCATCTGACTGTGTCTCATGGTCTTCGCTCTGCAGTGAGCCGGCAGCCAGGATATGATGTCATCGCGGCCTCTGCGTCATTACAGGGCGTGCGATGGACCTGTGCAGAAAGAGCACAAAAATCCCAGCAGCAACCACTGAGCACCAGGGACTGAGGCTCCACTCCAGCCCTTCTAGAGCAAGGTAGGGAGGCTGGGTGGACCTCTTAATTATTAAATGTGTGTATGTATGTAATGTTTGTGTGTGTATGTGATTGTGTGTCTGTGATTGTATGTGTATGGGTCAGTGTTTGTGTATATCTGTGATTGTGTGTATCTCTGCGTATGTGTTTAGTAGATAGCTCTCTTATTTCCTGTCCTTAAATATTGCAATCCCACATAAGGATAACAAATAAGGGATTTATCTACTAAACAACTGAAAATAAGAAAAGGGCGTTTTTTTAAAATCCTTTAGCTGTTTAGTAGATCATTCCCTGAATTGGTGACCGTATGTGAGATTTCCATATTTAAAGATACCAAATGAGGGTGCTGTTTAGCAGATAGCACCTTATTTGGTGTCCTTAAATATAGCAATCCCACAAAGGATAGCAAAAAGAGAAGTTATCTGCTAAACAAAGATTGAAATTAAAGGACCACTCTAGGCACCCAGACTACTTCAGCTTAATGAAGTGGTCTGGGTGCCAGGTCCAGCTAGGGTTAACCCATTTCTTAATAAATATATTTATGAATGGGTTAAGCCTTCCCCTATTTCCTCTAGTGCCTGTCTCATTGACAGCCACTAGAGGCGCTTGCGTGCTTCTCACTGTGATTTTCACAGTGAGAGCACGCCAGCGTCCATAGGAAAGCATTATGAGTGCTTTCCTATGTGACCGGCTGAATGCGCGCGCAGCTCTTGCCGCGCGTGCGCATTCAGCCGACTGGGAGGAGAAGAGGAGGATCGGAGGAGGAGAGCTCCCCGCCCAGCGCTGGAAAAAGGTAAGTTTTAACCCCTTTCCCCCTTCCAGAACCTGGCGGGAGGGGGACCCTGAGGGTGGGGGCACCCTCAGGGCACTATAGTGCAAGGAAAACGAGTATGTTTTCCTGGCACTATAGTGGTCCTTTAAGAGGTGTCAGCCAGCCCACAACAAGAAATCTGGGTGGCTAATGTGAATTATATGCAAATGTATAGTCAGATGCCAGCATGCAGAACACAGCATGCTTGCATCAGACAGCCAATGGCTGCATATTACCCCATCCCCTAGTGAGAAGTTTTACTGCTCCCCATCCCCCTCCTGTTTTGACTGTGGTATCTTATGTGCCCCCCCGCCCCCCTGTATATATTGTTCCTAGAGTCGCCACAATGTCTGCATGTGTGTCAATGTGCATCTGTGTGTGACTGTGTTTGTGTGTGTATATGTATCTGGATGTATGTATGTGTATATGTGCAGACATCTAAAAATATCGCCAACACTACACACAAATACACTCATGCATTTCAACGTCAACACTACATACAAACCCCACCATTATATATAACCATACCACTGCATTTAAATACCACACAACACACAAATGCATGCTTGCATTCAAACGCCAACACTACATGCAAACACACCGACCGCTACATTCACTCACATATACTCCATACAAAAACATGCATACATTCAAACACACAAACACTGCTAAGTGCTAAATACATAAAAACATTTTTTGGTTGTTTTTAAATTTAAAGTTGAGGGTGGGGGGGGGCAAGGGGGAGTGCCAAAAATAGGACCCGCCCCGGGTGCCAAATGCTCTAGGTATGCCCCTGCAATGTAGATATTAGATTTTTTTTATTTTTTTTACAGTTCTCTATCAAATCTGAACCTGTATTCAGCCAGACTTAGAAGAGACATCCAGGGAGATGGTAAATAGTCAGGAGTGTTACAGGACCACTATAGTGCCAGGAAAACAAACTCGTTTTCCTGGCTCTATAGGGTCTTTAGGTCTCCTCCCACCCTCAGGGTCCCACTCCCGCCGGGCTGAAGGGGGAGGAAGGGGTTAATCACTTACCTTTCTCCAGCGCCGGGCTCCCTTGGCGCTAAGGAAATCTTCTTCCTCTTCCGACGTCAGTGCTGAATGCGCATGTGCGGCTCTCATTCAATCAGTCCATAGGAAAGAATTTCTCAATGCTTTCCTATGGACGGCAGCGTCTTCTCACTGTGATTTTCACAGACAACTACTAGAGGCTGGATTAACTCTGTTTCTCTGAAACTGCTATGTTTACAGCTGCAGGGTTAAACCTAGATGGACCTTGCACCCAGACCACTTAATTGAGCTGAAGTGGTCTGGGTGCCTATAGGGGTCCTTTAACCACTTAACTAACCAACGTTTTTGATTGGGGAAATAAATAATGTTATTTCTACTACTGAATATATATCTGTTGAGCATCTGGTTACTCCCCAAGTCTGTGCTGGCAATATTTTTTGTTGTACATCCTTACTTCATTTGATATGAATAGTACTAAAACTTAAGTTTAGCATACTGAAAACAACAGAAGTCACCAAAACTAGGCCTTTGTTTTGGAATATACACTGCTCAAAAAAAATTAAGGGAACACTTAAACAACACAATGTAACTCCAAGTCAATCACACTTCTGTGAAATCAAACTGTCCAGGAAACAACACTGAGTGACAATCAATTTCACATGTAATTGTGCAAATGGAATAGACAACAGGTGGTTATTATAGGCAATTAGCAAGACACCCCCAATAAAGGAGTGGTTCTGCAGGTGGTGACCACAGACCACTTCTCAGTTCCTATGCTTCCTGGCTGATGTTTTGGTCACTTTTGAATGCTGGCAGTGCTTTCACTCTAGTGGTAGCATGAGACGGAGTCTACAACCCACACAAGTGGCTCAGGTAGTGCAGCTCATCCAGGATGGCACATCAATGCGAGCTGTGGCAAGAAGGTTTGCTGTGTCTGTCAGCGTAGTGTCCAGAGCATTGAGGCACTACCAGGAGACAGGCCAGTACATCAGGAGACGTGGAGGAGGCCGTAGGAGGGCAATAACCCAGCAGCAGGACCGCTACCTCTGCTTTTGTGCAAGGAGGAAGAAGAGGAGCACTGCCAGAGTCCTGCAAAATGACCTCCAGCAGGCCACAAATGTGCATGTGTCTGCTCAAACAGTCAGAAACAGACTCCATGAGGGTGGTATGAGGGCCCGACGTCCACAGGTGGGGGTTTTGCTTACAGCCCAACACCGTGCAGGACGTTTGGCATTTGCCAGAAAACTAAGATTGGCAAATTCGCCACTGGCGCCCTGTGCTCTTCACAGATGAAAGCAGGTTCACACTGAGCACATGTGACTGACGTGACAGAGTCTGGAGATGCCGTGGAGAACGTTCTGCTGCCTGCAACATCCTCCTTCATGACCGGTTTGGCAGTGGGTCAGTAATGGTGTGGGGTGGCATTTCTTTGGGGGGCCGCACAGCCCTCCATGTGCTTGCCAGAGGTAGCCTGACTGCCATTAGGTACCGAGATGAGATCCTCAGACCCCTTGTAAGGCCATTTGCTGGTGCGGTTGGCCCTGGGTTCCTCCTAATGCAAGACAATGCTAGACCTCGTGTGGCTGGAGTGTCTCAGCAGTTCCTGCAAGACAAAGGCATTGATACCATGGACTGGCCCACCCGTTCACCAGGCCTGAATCCAATTAAGCACATCTGGTACATCATGTCTCGCTCCATCCACCAACGTCACGTTGCACCACAGACTGTCCAGGAGTTGGCAGATGCTTTAGTCTAGGTCTGGGAGGAGATCCCTCAGGAGACCATCCGCCACCTCATCAAGAGCATGCACAAACGTTGTAGGGAGGTCATACAGGCACCTGGAGGCCACACACACTACTGAGCCTCATTTTGACTTGTTTTAAGGACATTACATCAAATTTGGATCAGCCTGTAGTGTGTTTTTCCACTTTAATTTTGAGTGTGACTCCAAATCCAGACCTCCATGGGCTGAAAAATGTGATTTCCATTTTTTTCATTTTTGTGTGATTTTGTTGTCCGCACATTCAACTATGTAAAGAACAAAGTATTTCAGAAGAATAGGATGTAAATGTTATTTTTGTGTTCCCTTTATTTTTTTGAGCAGTGTATTAACCCCTTAAGGACTGGACTGTTTTTGCGATGTTGTACATTTGCGACCAGGAATATTTTTACACTTTTGTGGTGTTTGTGTTTGGCTGTAATTTTCCGCTTTCTCATTTACTGTTCCCATACAAATTATATATTGTTTTTTTCAGGACAAAATGGGCTTTCTTTACATACCATTATTTATATAATCTCATGTATTTTAATTTAAAAAAAATACAAAAATCTGATGAAAAATTGAAAAAATACATGTTTTTTGACTTTTACTTGAAAAATCTTTTACTCATCTACAAAAGCGAATGAAAAAAACTGCTAAATAGATTCAAAATTTTGTCCTGAGTTTAAAAATACCTAGTGTTTACGTGCTTTTTTGCTTTTTTTTGCATGTTATAGGGCTATAGGTACAAGTAGGATATTGCGGTTTCAAAACATACATTTTTAAAATTTATCAATAGTGACATTGTAACACTATTATCTGTCATAAATCTCTGAATAACACCCCACATGTACATATTTTTTTTAAAGTAGACAACCCAGGGTATTCAATATGGGGTATGTCCAGTCTTTTTTAGTAGCCACTTAGTCGAAAACACTGGCCAAAGTAAGCATTCATATTTGTTTGTGTGTGAAAAAAGTAAAAAAACTAAATTGAACGCTAATTTTGGCCAGTGTTTGTGACCAAGTGGTTACTAAAAAAGACTGGACATACCCCATTTGCAATACCTTGGGTTGTCTTCTTTTGCAAATGGTATGCCATCATGGGGTAATTCTCATTCCTGGGCTACCATACGCTCTCAAAGGCAACGTAACCAACCTGGCCATTTTCAATGTAAAAATATTTGACCCATATATTTGACCTTGTAACTTTCAAAAATGCTATAAAACCTGTACATGGGGGGTACTGTTTTACTCGGGAGACATCGCTGAACACAAATATTAGTGTTTAAAAACTGGAAAACGTATCACAACAATTATATCATCAGTAAAAGTGCTGTTTGTGTGTGAAAAATGCAAAAAAAGTAACTTTCACTGACAATATCATCGCTGTGATATGTTTTACTGTTGTGAATCACTAATATTTGTGTTCAGCGAAGTCTCCCGAGTAAAACAGTACCCCCCATGTACAGGTTTTAGGGTGTCGTAGAACGTTACAGGGTAAAATACAGTGCTAACAAATTAAATTCTCTGGAATTTCGGCCTGGGTTGGCAGGCAGGTCCCTCAAATTGCAATCAATAAAATTACTGAATTATGTAAAAATATTACATAAATACGCACGTAGAATTTAAATATATATGCATATTTATATATTTGAAGTCTACGTGTATATTTATATAATTATTTATGTAATTTTGTATATGGGCATATGTATATTTCTTATTATTTTTATTTATTTTTATATACATAGATATATATACAAATTCATTCTAAGTGTATTTTGATATAAATATATATATATTAATTTTAAAATACAGTTAGAATAAAATTTCATATAGCTATATAATTTTTTTTAAATTTTTTATTATTATTTAAAAAAAATTTATTTAATTTAAATTACTTATTATTTATATTTTATAATAATATATATATACAATATATATAGTTATTATATATATTATATATATACGTGTGTAATTTAATTATAAGTGTATTTTTATATTAATATAAGTACATATTAATATAAAAATACACTTAGTATGGCATTATATATATGATATATAGACATATATTATATAGATATAATATATGTCTATATATCATATTTATACATATATAATTATTATTATTTTTTTTATTACCATTAACTTTAATTTTTTTTCTGATTTTACAGTTGCAGGGAGACTGCCTGTCAGCACAGGCAGTCCCCCTGCAGGCAGCACTATGGACACCTATGTGACCATGTGATCACTGTGTTAAGCGATCACATGGCCACAGGGGTCCTAATCTGCCGTGGGGAGACTGTCTGGGCTGCAGGCAGTCTCCCCACAACCGGAGGAACACTGATCGCCGCCGGGGGAACGACGGCGATCAGGTAAGTACCCCCAGACCGTTTGGACGGTTCAGGACCGTCATCGGTCGGCAAGGGAAAAATGCCGATGACGGTCCTGAACCGTCCTCGGTCCTTAAGGGGTTAATGAATGTATTAATTTTCTTTACTTAAGTTCAAAGTGAACAAGTGATAATATTCAATATAAATACAGCACTCTTTATAATTGAGGTTTAGATTGTTTTTGCGGCAGATTTAAGTAAAAATCTGCTGTGATTTAACCCATTAACGCCGTTACGGCGTTCTATGCAGTCCCGCATTAAGTGGGCTCTAAAGCCGTTGCGGCATAGAACGCAGTAACGGCTTTGAGCCCCTGGAGGTCCGCAGGTACTCTCCTCCGCCGCGATCCTCTTCTGGAGGGCTGCCTGAAAGCCCAGGCAGCCCTCCCCTGGCAAATCAGGCCCCCTATAGCTGGCTGTAGATCTGCCAGCAGGGGGACTGTCTGAAATGTCAGACAGTCCCCCTGCTGGTGGGAAAGTAAAAAAAATCATTAAACGTGTTCTAAAATAAAATAGAAATGTGTATGTGTGTGTGTGTGTGTGTATGTATGTATATATATATATATATGTATATATATATATATATAGTCATGCAAAGTGTATTTTAATAATATAAGTACATATATTAGTATTAAAATACACTTAGAATGATGTTACATATATAATATATATATATTCTATATATAATATATACACATATTATATATATATACTTATTACAATAATAAATGAAATAAAATATTGAAACTAAATTTAATATAAATTATATATCCATATGTAATTTCATTTTAACTGTATTTGTTAACTTTGTTAATATATATATATATATGTAAAAAACAGATAAAATTCTTATCTTGTAATATCTGTTTTTTATATATATATATATATATGTAACAAATACACTTAGAATGACTCTCTCTCTCTCTCTCTCTCTCTCTCTCTCTCTCTCTCTCTCTCTCTCTCTCTCTCTCTCATATAATTACATTAGTATACATGTAGAATTTAAATACCTATAAATACATATATATTAAAATTCTACATGTATATTTAAGTAATCTTTTAACATAATTATGTGATTTGATTAATTAAAATTTGATTGGCATGCCTGACAACACAGGGAGAAAGTGCAGAGAATTTAATTCGCAAGCACTATATTTGACCCTGTAACTCTCCAAGACACCATAAAACCTGTACATAGGGGGTACTGTTTTATTCAGGAGACTTCGCTGAACTAAAATATTAGTGTTTCAAACTGGTAAATTGTATTACAAACGATGATATTTTAAGTAAAAGTTACGTTTTTTGAATTTTTTTTACAAACGAACGGCACCTTTATGGACTATATTGTTGTAATATGTTTTACTGTTTTAAAACACTAATATTTGTGTTTATTGAAGTCTCCCGAGAATAACAGTACCCCCCATGTACAGGTTTTATGGAGTTTTGGAAAGTTAGAGAGTCACATATAAGGCTTGCATTTCATTTTTTTTTACATTGAAATTTGCCAGATTGGTTATGTTGTCTTTGAGAGCGTATGGTAGCCCAGGAATGAGAATTACCCCCATGATGGCATACCATTTGCAAAAGTAGACAACCCAAGGTATTGTAAGTGGGGTATGTCCAGTCTTTCTTAGTAGCCACTTAGTCACAAACACTGGCCAAATATTAGTTTTTTGCTTTTTTCACACAAAAACAAATATGAACGCTAACTTTGGCCAGTGTTTGTGACTAAGTGGCTACTAAAAAAAGACTAAACATACCCCACTTTCAATACCTTGGGTTGTCTACTTTTTCAAATGGTATGCCATTATGGGGGTAATTCTCATTCCTGGGCTACCACACCGTCTCAAAGGTAATATTACTAATCTGGCAAATTTCAATTTGAAAATGGAACGTTCTATATTTGACCCTGTAACTTTCCAAACATCATAAAATCTGTTAATGGGTGGTACTGTTGTACTCGTGAGACATCGCTGATTACAAATATGTGCATTTTTTTGCAGTAAAACCGTATTATGACATTCACAGCTAAAATGTCAGACGGAAATACAAATTTAAAAATAAATCTTATTTTCTCACTTTTTTTTAAAATTTTATTCATAATAAATTATGTTCCATATATGAATAGTTAATGATAAATTAAACCCTTGTTTCTCCTGAACAAAATTATATATAGGTAATAGGAGTAGGTGATGTGTAGAGTCTCACAAGGGGAAACCAACGTCAGGAGAGCTGTCCCTACTGATTTATTTATAACTTTAGTAGGGACAGTTGGTTCAGGTAGACACTAGTGGTTAGACCACGGTGTAGAGGTAACTTTTAGGGTGAATTGAGAGATTTATTTAATTATTTTTTGTGAGAGGCTTTTCATCTGCGTTTAGACCTGATTACCCGGTCCCTTGTTCTCCGGGGACCCTGTGCTTCTTCTCTCTCCCTAACCTCGTTTCCACTATCTTCCTGTCAGTCAGACACTAGGGGAACTGGAACTTAGATGCTAGCTAGTACTCCAGACAATTGATCCCCTGGGCACCGTTTAGTAGATCTCCCTTTTTTTCAAGTTATACTTTGTTTGCAGATCCTTTTTATCCTTAGATTGATTAAAGGTAGGGCCTCCCTTCCTCATTTCTTATACTATGGAGGTCTCCTGATGTTGGTTTCCCCTTGTGGGACTCTACACATCACCTACTCCTATTACCTACATATTTTGGAGGGTTACCCCCTCATCCGAGCTCCCTATTAGGTGGTTACAGTGGTGCAGCTCATGAGCCCTTGACTTGTATCCGTACTCCTGACCTGCACTCTGTTTACTTTATTTCTCCATTTTGTGTTTCAAAATGATATATAATAAGTGTGGGTGCACTTAATGTGACACCGGTGAATTACGGTTGAACAGACATATAGCGCAAATTCCAGTTTTTGTTTAAGTTTTGAACGTGCACTATTGACTCCGTCCTGAAGGGGTTAAAATACTTCAAATTTTGTTGTGTTTAATACACACCATGGGAAAGACTATACCTAACAAATGTCTTTTTATTCTTACAGGAGACGTCTCCCCACCATTGTAGTCAAGCTAAGAATGGCACAAAACCTAAAGACTGCTATCACATTTATTGAACAAGGACGTATCCTTTTTATTTTTTGTTTTCCAACGTGCTATTCAAAAGTTATTGCTGAACAATGTTTCTCTTTAGTTCCCCTGCTTTGGTATAGTTATTACGGTTTAGTTATAATTGTGGTTCTGATATAGACAAAGTACACACCCCGATAGTGAATTAGGGATCTCCGGGGTGACTAGGACTGGATGAGTGTGATAGGGCAAGGAAATGAATGAGACAGGGTTAGGGGGGTGAGTGTGGCAGAATGAGGAAGGGCAAGCGTAACACAGTTGGATGAGGGAGTGTTACAGGGTGAGGGGAGGTAAGTGTGACAGCATTAGGGGGTAAATGTGACAGGGTGAATGTGGTATGGTTGGAGGCCACAAGGCCTTAGGCGGCCGCCTAAATTGCCTAATTAGACAGCCACCTCTGGGCTGGGCCGCCAAAACATTCATTGTGGGCTGCAAGTTTGACATGCTTGTTATAGACTGTTGCTAAGGTTCGTAAGGTTAATGTTGTGCATAAAAAGGGTTATTCATTATTGGGATAAAAATGTAATTTTGCCTCTTTATAAATCAATGGTAAGACCACACCTTGAATATGTGGTGCTATTTTTGGCACCTTATCTTAGGAAGGGTATTATGGCACTAGAAAAAGTGGGCCTAAAAATTAATAAAATTGTAGTAATGGGGAAAAAAAATCATTGCTTACTTTATACAATCTGCAGAGGGGATATAATATTTTACAAATATTTTTGGGGCCAATACAAACCATTGTTTGGAAGTTTACTCATAAGCAGGACTATACATAAGACACAAGGTCACGCATTTAGAAAGGAGATGTAGTCCAAAGCAAATAGACTAAAGGACTTCTTGTCCGCTAATGGATGCTGGACCAACTCATGCTCTGCATGATGACATCCAGCGTTTGCTATTTTCCCCATTGGAAAGCATTGATTCAGTGCTTTCATATGGGGAGGCCTAATGCGCTTGCTGAGGCAGAGCGGCGACCCAGTGCTGCGGGACATCAGCGCAGGGGTAAGGTAAGTAAAGTGTTTTTAACCCCTTGTTCACGTTATAGGTGGGAGGGGTGGGTGGGCGGAGGCCGAGGGAGCTATAGTGCCAGGAATACAGCTTTGTATTCCTGGTACTTCTAGTATGCCTTTAACCTGTCCTTTGATTGTCTCACAGCCATGTCCTTATGTGCCAACAGTAATCAAGTCCAGGAGAAATTTGCTCACAGTTAGTATAATCAGGAGACTGGCCCAGTGAACTTGAACCTACTGTGGCCGGTGCCCTCGCTGTACAATGGACATTTTATATTTACTCTGCTGTATCCCAGCTAGGGAAATATGTTTTACCCTGACCAATCAAAGAGTGAAAGTCACAAGTACTCTGCACCGCCATGGGCTCTTATTATTACCATAAGTGCAGCACTTATTAAATAAACTTTAGTATAGGCTACGTTTTAATATCATATGCTACCCAGCACTTAGAATTAGGTACACCTTTCCTGTTAAAACCTCATATACATTTGTTCTCATTCCAGATGACTGCTGGAAAAATAGGAGGAAAAAAACATGGAGTCAAAATATTAGAGATGAAATATTAATCTATATGAAAGTGCCAGAAAATTGTGCCAGAGTTATTAATACTTCTTGTTAAGCTTCTTGGTTACCTTTAATATCTTGAAATGTAATTTAAATAGTGAGGAAAGCAACCTTCATGCATAACTGATATTTGATGAAAGAAGAAATCTGAACCTAGATTAGACCATGCCATTGCTGTGATGAATGAATCCTTTCAGTGCCAATCTGTTATTTCACAGTAAGCTTTTATGAAAGGCTAACATTTTCTTTTCATAATAACTTTAACTCTCTTTTACACAAAAAAAAATATTTCTGTGGTATTTAGTTTGTGAACAAAAAGAGAAAAATCTCCCTCAATCACTTTAGGAGCAAGGCCTAACTTAAAACCAGTTGTCCAATATACTCTCTTATACGTTGAGTGGTAAAGGACTCTTTCACAAATAGCCATCTCACCTAGACCTCAGTACCCTCCTAAAAATCCTGCTCCCTACCTTCAGTAAAGTATATTCCACATTCCTCTCATAAAATTCTCCGTTTGCCTATAGTCATCCTTAATTACAGTCAAGCCATCGAACTCCTCAAAGTGGTACTGTCAAGGTACTACAACTGCGTCATAACATTTAAGCGGTTTCAGTGCGTGGAGTCTGCTGGTGATGTCCTTCTATACAGTGTTAAACCATTTTTAATGGTTTTATTCTAAACGAGAGTATAAACCAAAACCCACTGTGCTGCTTGAGGAAGCATTAGCAGTGGTGATTGGTTGAGTGTCAGCTGACTGTTGGGCCTAACACAGCTGGTTTTGAATTGGCATGACTAAGGGAGCATGTATTCTCTGTCTTAACCCTACCTTCATTGGGAACAAGGCTGTGGGTAACAAGGGGACCCATATTTAGTATTAAACTTCTCAAAAATAGTTTATTACTGAATGGAGGGACTGCACCAGTGGACTCTAGGCAGCATAACCAATTTAATTATATGAATTGGTTATAGTGCCTATGGTATCCTTTTCATAAACTGTAACCCTGAGGTACTCTACCACTTTATTGTCCAATTTTCTATCCTATACAAGAAGAATATTTTCATCTAAACCAACTGCTTTCAGTTTGCTAATGCAACATTGTGATTTATGTTTCAACTAAATTCTTTATAGAAAGCTGCGCCAATCAGCATCTCCTCATAGAGATGCATTGAATCAGTGCATCTCCATGCAGAGCATCGGGAGACACTGAACGTCAGTGCTGCACACTGTGCAGCACGAACACAGGAAGCACCTCTAGTGGCTGAGTTCTCTGGCAGTGTTTACATTGACTCTTGCAGGGACATGATGTAGGCACCAGAACAACTACATTAAGCTGGTGACTATAGTGACCCTTTAAAAAAAGGTTCAAAATCTTAAACTTAAAGACAGGTGCCACAACTGCTTGATTACTAAAAGATTAAAACCTGTGGTTTGAATATTTCTACTCTTAGCTCCCTAAGTTCTCATGGGAATACCATCTTGCTCACAAGCTTTGCTTACATTAACAAGACCCTGTAGTCGCCAAAACAACTTTAGCTTAAAGGACCACTATAGTGCCAGGAAAACATACTTGTTTTCCTGGCACTATAGTGCCCTGAGGGTGCCCCCACCCTCAGGGTCCCCCTCCCGCCCGGCTCTGGAAAGGGGTTAAAACTTACCTTTTTCCAGTGCTGGGCGGGGAGCTCTCCTCCTCCGTTGCTCCTCCTGGGCTGAATGCGCACGCGCGGCAAGAGCTGCATGCGCATTCAGCCGGTCACATAGGAAAGCATTCATAATGCTTTCCTATGGACGCTGGCGTGCTCTCACTGTGAAAATCACAGTGAGAAGCACGCAAGCGCCTCTAGTGGCTGTCAATGAGACAGCCACTAGAGGAAATAGGGGGAAGGCTTAACCCATTCATAAACATAGCAGTTTCTCTGAAACTGCTATGTTTATGAAAAAATGGGTTAAACCTAGCTGGACCTGGCACCCAGACCACTTCATTAAGCTGAAGTGGTCTGGGTGCCTAGAGTGGTCCTTTAATGAAGCATTTTCTGTGTATAGAGCATGCCCCTGAAGTCCCACTGCTCAATGCTATGCCATTTAAGAGTTAAATTACTTCTGTTTCTGTTTATGCAGCCCTAGCCACATAGCCTGTATTAAAAAAATATATATATTTTTTGATATTCACTTACTTTAGTTTTTTTCTCCTGCTCTGTAAATTGAACTTTAATCACACACAGGAGGATCCTGCAAGGTCTAGCAAGCTATTAACCGTGCACAAAATAAGAAATTCTAAATAAAACTGAATTTGCAATATTGGAAGAGTAAATATTAGATCTCCATTTACAGGAAGTGTTTAAGAAGACTGTACAAGTCATATATAAAAAATGACTTGGGAGTGTGGACTCCCAAGTGTATTTGTAAACTGCTCAAACTGGCGATTTTTGGGATTTTTTCTGAGTGATTTATCTCTATTAGTGTTATTTAGAGTATAACTAGAGTAAGATGTGTGAGGGTTATATAATGTTGCTTCCTTATAAGATAGTATCCTTGACTCTCTCTATAAAATATGTAACCAATAGCAAGTTGGAAGGAAAGCGCAAACATTCTTTATATATATATATATATATATATATATAGTTCTTACACATAAATATGAAAAAAATAACACATGTATTCTTGTTGTATCACAAAATGTCTATACACAAACTAGAGGGTAATTGATAAAACATATTTTTAAAAGAAAATAAATTAATTGCTGGTACCGTTGTAATAAAGTTCAGAGTGTGCACACTTATGTTATAAAAAATAAAAGTCCGACTTATGAAGAAAGAGAATATGAAGAAAGGGGCTATGTGCCCAGTGGTTTTGTTGTTCTCTGGTACTTATGTAGGTTTGTAGGTAGATAGCCCGGTATGTATGCAAGTCTTCTATGGCTGGAACAATAAAATGTGGACTAGATGTCCACTAAGTCCGTTGGCGTGTAAACGTACAGATAGTCTGGGTGTGGAATAAAGATTTCTCTATATAGGATGGTATAGTTACTGTGGAGATGCTGGTATACAGGTACATGAGCTACTAGGGAGCACCTCCCTTTGTCTAAACGTCACCTTGATCGGGCACGCTCGGGCAGCTAGAGCAAATACGGTGGCTTTCTGGATATCCCTATTTTGGTATGTAGTTCGGTATTCATTCAAATCCTATACGTTTCTGAATTCTGAGCTTACTTTCTCAGGGAATATTGATGAATAGCGAGTAGTGAGAAGCATTTCTTATATATGTCTCCGGTCTTGATTTTCATTTGTTGCATCTGTGGAGGTGAACTAGATTCCAAGTATACAGCAATCATATTGTGTATTACAAAAAGTATCACTAACTTTGTGTATAACCATTTTTTGATACAATAAGACCAATAAATGTTATTTGTTAAAATTTATGTGTAAGGACTAAGTATATCTATATATATTACGTTTGCGCTTTCTTTCCAGCTTGCTATTGTGCAAGTCATATGCAGGAAGTTGCAGCTAGATTTGTATAAACAAAGGGATTTAACTTGAGCTGTGAGACTGCAGTGGCACTATCTCTACTCAAACTTAAAAACTGCTTCTTTAACCCCATGTCATAATTCCCTTTTATTCCAGAAGTTTGCTCCTTAAGGGGTTAAGTTAGTTATTTTGGTGACTATAGTGTCCTTTTAATTTTATTTATTTGATGTAGCACTTTGTCCTGTATCAACCTACCTCCTGTCATGTTTAATACAGCATGGAAGAACATAAAATAAGAGATTGGGCAGTTTAATGGCATATGTGGTTGCGCAAAGAATATTGCTAATTACATTTTTGAGGAAGTACAATAAACATTGTATCTGCTAGATAATTTTAGGAGTGGAAGCATACTAAAGCACACCAGGCACACATTTTTTGGCTGATTAGTTAGGGACTGCCTCAGTAAAGTACTCTTATCGTACATTTCATGTGACTTATAACCATTACAGTTGTTTACTATGTATTGATATCCATATTCTCCCTAAAGTTATCTGAAATAGTCCAGTGGGAGTGATGTTTTTTTTATGTGTTTATAATGATTTACTACATCTAAAAAATACAATTAAAGGGACTCTATAGTCACCAGAACAACTACAGCTTAATGTAGTTGTTCTGGTGAGTATAATGGCTCCCTTCAGCCATTTTCATGTAAACATTGCCCCTAGGGACACCTCCAGTGGCCACTCTTTAGATGGCTCAGGGCTGCTGAATTTTCCCTCATAGAGATGCATTGATTTAATGCATCTCTATGAGGAGGTGCTGATTGGCCAAAACGGTGTTTGGCCCCCACCCCCTTGCTGATTTTAGCCAATCCAATGCTTCCCCATGGGAAAGCATTGGATTGGCAAAAAATCTGCAATTTTGATGTCACGAAGGGGGTGGAGCCAGCAGCAGCAGACCCGTGGAGAGCTGTAAATAAGGTGAGTTTAAACCGGGCTGAGGGGGAGGGGGCAAGCCACCTAAATGGTGGGTTTTCACTATAGGGTCAGGAATACATGTTTGTGTTCCTGACCCTATAGTGATTCTTTAAAGGGACACTATAGTCACCAGAACAAGTACAGTTCAATGTAGTTGTGCTGGTGAGCATAACCTGTCCCTGCAGGCTTTAAGTAAACACTGCCTTTTCAGTATTTACATTGCTGCCTAGGATCACCTCTAGTGAAAGTCACTCAGATAGCCACTAGAGGGACTTCCTGGGGCAGTGCTGCACAGTGTGCAGCACTGACGTTCAACGTCTCCACGCTCTGCATAGAGGAGCTGAACACTCTCTTGATACAATGCATCTCTAAGAGGAGATGTTGATTGGCGCAGTGCTGTGTTTTGCTGCGCATGTGCAATAGCCTCCATATGCTTTCCTATGGGAAAGCATTGAATTGGCTGAGATTGTCAAATTTGATGATCTCAGCCAAGGAGAAGGGGCTAACTGCGAAAAGACTGTCACGGCGCTGGGAAAAAAAGGAAAGTAAAAATCACCTTTTTACAGGGGCAAGGGAGATGGATACCTAAATAGCGCATTTAAAACTATTGTATCACTGACACTATAGTGTTCCTTTAATAAGCCTGAATCCGCATTTGATATGTGCCACATATGACCATGTGCCATAAACTCTGGCAAGCAGAGATTTGAAATATTTGCTTCAGCAACATTGTATGAATTAAATCTGATGAGTAGAGCTGTCAAATAAGCACACATGTGATTGCTTTCTTGTATCATATCCTACAAAATGAGCATAGGTTTAGGTGCAAGATTGGAAATTAGACCAAAATAGATTATGTGGGAAAAAGTACTCAGCTGAAACATAGTTACAGCTTATTTTAGCCAGAAAGCCTTGGGTATTCACTTGACCATAATTTACAGTAAAGTGAAAAAACTCTACTGAATTATTGAAAAAATTGTTAACTATCTGGACTTCAATGGAAAATTGCAGGTTTTATGCTTACTAGTTGATTTCTGTCTGTTATATTTGTGTTTAAGCTAGTTTGCCCCCCCCCCTTTTTTTTTTTTTTTTTACAATTACAAAGTAAAATCACAAGAATTCACAATTCAGTGAAAAACCCTCATAGCCATTCACAAATTACAGTCATACCTTTTAAACATTACATGCAGGTGCTAAGATAGAACTGCTACTATGCCACCTATTAATAACTCCAGGGCCTATAACCTGCCTGTGTACCTCCGTGACACTGCAAAAAATGCTAAGTTTTCACAAGTGACAAAGACTCCCCCAGGTGACATGTCATCATGCATGTTTTCATTTAAAAGAAGAGTAAAAAAAGGGAGATCAACATTTCTTCCTTCCTTTTTTTTTTGCTTGTGGGCTTGTTATTTAGCTCCTGGTAGATGCATTTTCTTTGTATTCTTGCATATAAGCAATAATACGAAACACAACATATAGGTTTTCATTTAAAATAAATAAATAAATAAATAAAGGAGGCACTGCTCCTTCAGTATTGGGGAGACAAAGGCGTGATTTCTTTATTTTTAATACACCTTCCAACCCTACATGGAATGTGGCTATTAAGACTGATGGATAGTAACGCCTTCATGACTAGCAATGTACAGGGTATGTCATGGTGAATAAGTGATCAATAACGTACACTGCACGTAGGAGGTTAAAGGTGAGACATAGCAGAAAGATCTCTCTGGAGATGCCCTCAAGCAAGCCTTTTGTTGGCAGTCAAACTGTTGGGTTTTCAATTTAAGCAATTGTGACATGTACTGTTTCTGGAAGTCTTAGTACTTAGGCTGTCAAGTAAAAGTATCTGGTTTTCACAGTTAACCTATGCCAGTTTCAATCACAGCATTCTATGTCATGATTGAAGGCTTAGGCTTTATATGTGCATCCCTGGGTCAATTGTCAAAGGACTGTCAGCTAAAGCTATATGATGACTGGTAAATGTGTAAATATGGTTTAAAATAAAATACAACCAAACAAATGTATCCAATAAAACACTAATAACACATACTATAAATGAAAATACACAAACTAAACCCACCAGTCAAAGCAAGTGTGTATATAATGCAATGAACATTGATACCAGGAGAACAAATGTGCCTGCAATAACACTCTGAACTAAATTCCAAATTGTGTACATTTCAGATACGTTTAGTAATATTTTTCGGTTAAAGTCCTTTAAACACAAACTTTTCCTTCAGGTTCTCCTTGCTATCCTCCTTCAAAATGTAGCAAAAAGCATTTGAACATTTAACACACAATAGATACAATTATAAACGCACGTTTTTACACTTTGCTTCACCGGAATCTCAGGGAGTTGTTCTCAGACAGCTAGTGATATTCTGCTGTGCCAATGAAATTACCCATCCACTTAGGCTTTTAGGCAGTCATGAAGAAACTGTACCATTAAAAAACTAAACAAGTTTTTTTTGCCATTTCTATAAAAAAAAAGAAAATAGTACGCAATAAAAAAACATAAATTAGGGAATATTCTTCTTGATATTTTAGAATGGCTTTTATGATTTATTATCCTATTAGATAATGTTTTTTTGTCCATGTAGTACATCTTGAAAATCCAGCATATATAGACATTTTCCAGTTGTATAAAATCTTTATTTCTATCTCTTAGTGACATATGTTCTTCAACACTTTCTTTACAGATGGTTACTTTTTGTTATCTGCATTGTGGAGAACAGTCATACACCTAATTTACTTTTCTGTAAAGCATTACAAGGAAGGATCAGATTATAGGATCTCTAACATTTGATGTCACACACAGTGAGGAAGTTTGCCGAGAGGCACTGGCGCTAATTCATTGTTAAATGCAAACATGTCTTCACGTAATTTGTGAGGGTAACTTGCTGAAAAATACCGTATATACTCGAATAAAAGACGAGTTTTTCGGCACATTTTTTGTGCTGAAAACCCCCCACTCGTCTTATACTCGAGTCAATGTCTGTATTATGGCAACTTACTTTGCCATAATACAGACCAGGACCGCCGGCCGTCCTGTTGGGGGCTGGCAGCGAGCTGTAACTTACCTTTCCTGCAGATCCTGTCAGCTCCCTTCTCTCTCCTCTGGTCCGGTCAGCTCCCCTGCAAGTCTCGCAAGAGCCGCGGGGTCAGAGCGTTGCCACGCGTTACCGTGGCAACGCTCCGCGCGGCATTGGAGCTGACCGGACCGGAGGAGAGAGAAGGGAGCTGCAGGTAAACACTTCCTGCCAGCCCCCATCCTACACAGCCCATCCTCTGGAACACCAGGGAATGAGAGCCCCACCACCCTGGCCAGGTATTAAGCAGGGAGGGGGGGACAAAAAAATTACATAATAATTTAAATAATACAAAATAACATAAAAATATTAATAATATTTTAAAAAAAAATTAAATATTAAAAAAAAAATTAAAATAATAATAAAAATGCCCACCCCCCACCAAGGCTCTGTATCACATACACATACACACACTGCACTCATACACACACACACACACACACACTGCATTCATTATATACATACACTGTAAATAAATATTAAATTAATATAATTTTTTGTGGATCTAATTTTATTTAGAAATTTACCAGAAGCTGCTGCATTTCCCACCCTAGTCAAAAAGTTTTCCCAGTTTTTTGTGTGTAAAATTAGGGGTCTCGACTTATATTTGGGTCGACTTATACTCGGGTATATACGGTACATTTATATGCAATCAGTACAAAAGCATATATGTGCAGGTGTGAAACAACCTAGTACCTAAGCAATTCCTATAGTTTCTATTGGTTACCTTAACTTCTCTTACCAGATATTCGTGTAGGCCCAGAAGTAATAACAGATCCAGCATTCCTGGTGACAAGGTAAGGGTAATTTATGTGCATGTATAAATGAATCACTGTCTAATGAATTAATCTAATAACAGTACAAAAAGGAAAGTGTGTGTGTTTTGTTATACATTATCTATCCATCCATCCATCCATCCATCCAATGTCGTCTTCTTCAAACATCTTTTTGTACTAGATTAGTTGTTACCCCCTCAGTATTATCATTAGGAAGCGGGGCTGACCAGAGACTTGAGGACACCTAGCCACCTGTGGGGAAGTGGGCATACTTTTTTGGGAAGGTGGATAGTGGCATGTAAATGGCTCTGTCACATCACTTACCTTCTATTGTTTCCTTTTTTTTTTTTCTTCATTTATGATCGAATTCTCTTTAAAAGCTAAGACAAAATAAGGACTACTTACTGTTGTATGCATTTTTTTCTACACTTGATAATCTTCACATAGGGTAGAGCTTAAGGGAAGTTCCACACCCCTGGTCAATATGTGTCTGTAGTAGGAAAAATTAATACGACAAAGTAGTCCTTACTTTGTGTTTTATTTTAAAGAGAAACAGATGAGACATGTATGCTTTGCTCTGTCCTTCTTTTCCATCAGCCCTGCAATCTTCTGATGCAGAGAGGCAGCGCAGGGGAGGTGAGGCTGCAGTATGTCTCACAACTTTGAGAGGGTAGAGCCCAGGCCGACCTTCATGCCTGAAGCCACCATGTAGAAAGGGAGGTAGTTACTAAATGTGTGTGTTTACAGACCCACTCTCCACATAAAGCTATATATAGGCACTTCCACATGCATATCTTTAGAAAGAAGCAACACACCACACACATTTACATATGACTTGGCACAAACAAAGACATGAAATTTAAAAAAAAAGCTGCTCTCCTCTCACCCCACACAACACTGAACCCCTATCCTAACCCACAACTCTCACACACACACACACTTCTTATATCCCTTAAACACAGGGCCAGACTGGGAACTAAAAGCAGCCCTGGAAAAAAATTATTTACTAGCCCAATAATGCATCACATCAGCATAGTGTGCTGATACAGAGTTAGCAAAGATAATTTTTTAATTTTAAGTTATTACTCCAATGTGAAAAAAAGCACTCGTGGGCTTCAAAATGAACAAAAGTGCAGATTTATTTTAAGCAGATGTGCCTTTGCATGTAATCAATGTTTCAGTCCAACTACCTTGACGTATTAAGGAAAGTTTGGTAATGGGATTGAAATGGTGAATGTGTGTAGTGCACAACTGTAAAAAAAAATTACGTTATCTTGTTTATTTGTCCTGTGGGTGCACTCTTCATTTTAAATATGTTATTGTGCTGGAGTATGCACCTAGCAACAAGACTGGGCCAATGTCTGCTCATTACAGTTGCAAGAAAAAGTATGAGAACCCTTTGGAATGATATGGATTTCTGCACAAATTGGTCATAAAATGTGATCATCATCTAAGTCACAACAATAGACAATCACAGTCTACTTAAACTAATAACACATAAAGAATGAAATGTTGCCATGTTTTTATTGAACACACCATGTAAACATTCACAGTGCAGGTGGAAAAAGTATGTGAACCCCTAGACTAATGACATCTCCAAGAGCTAATTGGAGTGAGATGTTAGCCAACTGGAGTCCAATCAATGAGATGAGATTGGAGGTGTTGGTTACAGCTGCCCTGCCCTATAAAAAACACACACCGGTTCTGGGTTTGCTTTTCACAAGAAGCATTGCCTGATGTGAATGATGCCTCGCACAAAAGAGCTCTCAGAAGACCTACGATTAAGAATTGTTGACTTGCATAAAGCTGGAAAGGGTTATAAAAGTATCTCCAAAAGCCTTGCTGTTCATCAGTCCACGGTAAGACAAATGGTCTATAAATGGAGAAAGTTCAGCACTGCTGCTACTCTCCCTAGGAGTGGCCATCCTGTAAAGATGACTGCAAGAGCTCAGCGCAGACTGCTCAATGAGGTGAAGAAGAATCCTAGAGCGTCAGCTAAAGACTTACAAAAGTCACTGGCTAATGCTAACATCCCTGTTAGCAAATCTACAATACGTAAAACACTAAACAAGAATGGATTTCATGGGAGGATACCACAGAGGAAGCCACTGCTGTCCAAACAAAACATTGCTGCATGTTTACAGTTTGCACAAGAGCACCTGGATGTTCCACAGCAGTACCAGCAGTACTGGCAAAATATTCTGTGGACAGATGAAACCAAAGTTGAGTTGTTTGGAAGAAACACACAACACTATGTGTGGCGAAAAAAAGGCACAGCACACCAACATCAAAACCTCATCCCAGCTGTGAAGTATGGTGGTGGGGGCATCATAGTTTGGGGCTGCTTTGCTGCTTCAGGGCCTGGATGGATTGCTATCATCGAAGGAAAAATTAATTCTCAAGTTTATCAAGACATTTTGCAGGAGAACTTAAGGCCATCTGTCTACCAGCTGAAGCTCAACAGAAGATGGGTGTTGCAACAGGACAATGGCCCAAAGCATAGAAGTAAATCAACAGAATGGCTTAAACAGAAGAAAATACTTCTTCTGAAGTGCCCCAGTCAGAGTCCTGACCTCAACCCGATTGAGATGCTGTGGCATGACCTCAAGAAAGCGATTCACACCAGACATCCCAAGAATATTGCTTAACTGAAACAGTTCTGTATAGAGGAATTGTCAAGAATTACTCCTGACCGTTGTGCACGTCTGATCTGCAACTACAGGAAACGTTTGGTTGAAGTTAATGCTGCCAAAGGAGGTTCAACCAGTTATTAAATCCAAGAGTTCACATACTTTTTCCACCTGCACTGTGAATGTTTACATGGTGTGTTCAATAAAAACATGGCAACATTTCATTCTTTGTGTGTTATTAGTTTAAGTAGACTGTGATTGTCTATTGTTGTGACTTAGATGATCAGATCACATTTTATGACCAATTTGTGCAGAAATCCATATCATTCCAAAGGGTTCACATACTTTTTCTTGCAACTGCACATATGTTGCATATTAATGACATTACCCTGTGTATTATGCATATATAAATGTACATTGATATGTGTAAATATACGCATAATTATATATATATATATATATATATATATATATATATATATATCCCATATGTGTCTCCTTCTACCCCCAGCCCCTCTGTGTGCCTCTTTGTCTCTCCCCAGTCCCTCTGTATGTTTTTCTCACCCTCACTGCTCCTCTGTGTCCATGTCTCTCCTCTCCTTCCCAGTCTCTCTCTTTTTCCCTTCCCCCCTGTTTTTCCCCCCCTCTGCCTCTCTCCTGTCTTCCCCTCCTCTGTCTGTCTCTTTCCCTCTGTCTTTCTCCCTCCTTTCCCTGTTTCTCTTCCCCTCTGACTTTCTCCTCCCACCACCTTCTCTCTATTCCACCTCTTTCTCCCCGTGTCTCACTCTTCCCCCTCTGTCTCTTTCTCCCTCCTTTCCTTGTCACCCTCTCTCCCCCTTCTGTCTCTTTCCTTCATCTCTGTCTCTCTCTATTCTCCCACTGTCTTTCTTCCCTCTTCCCCGTGTGTCTCTATTCCCTCTCTCTGTCTTTCTCCCCCTTCCCTTGTGTCTCTCTATTGCCTTTCTGTCTCTTTCTTCCCCTTCACCAAAAGAAGTCAGAGGGGCCGGCCGCAATCCACGCTGGTGCCTCCGGGCAGGTGGTCGGTCGCCTTGCCGGTCCGGCGGCACACTAATGCTGACAACAGCGAGCTGTCCGCATAGGAGAACTGAAGGAGGGAGCATGTCTCTCTATCATGCTCACTCGCGGTTCCCACAACTCCCAGCACAGTAAGATGTGGCTGTGCTGGGAATTGTGGGAACCGCAAGGCAGGGGCAGATCCAGAGCCAGATGTCAGGAGGGGACATAATCCAGGCACAATAACCACTATAGCTCAACTGCAAGCTGAGCTCCCGGGTACTCGCTCCCTCCCCTGCCAGCAACAAAAAAGAACAAGGTTAAGATTTTATTTCTACGTTGGCTTCATTGTAAAAAATTTACAGAAAAAGATATAGCAGATGCAACTGTGTAGCTGCCACATATTGCATATCAACTTTAACTTTGAGAAAGTTTCAAGAAGAGTTGCTAAAATTATAGATCTGCATATGGGAGTTCAGAGTTTGTGTATGTGTGTATAAATATTAGGCTGACCAAGGAGGCATTCGTGGGGTATGTTTCACAACTTTGAAACAAGGTAGCCTTCATACCTCCTAGCTTTAAGGGGTTATGTAAGCAAAATGGGAAACCATTTTTAAAAACATTTTAACACCAGTGGCTTCACCAGCAATGCCCATAATGGGGTTCTACCCGGAAAAGGGTATCCACTGAAGTTGCATGACAACTTGTGTGGCTGGCCCCTTATCAAATGGACCATGTAAAGTGCTGCTGAAACACACTCTACATGTTCCTGGCACACTTCACAACGCGTCTAATGATGCACTCATACTGTGCTGCCCAAGGACAATATCCAGTTGGAAATCTGGACTGTTGGATGGCATAAAGTGCCATTTTGTTGTGATAAGTGGTTAGTAAGAACATAAAGAATAAAATATTAAAGCAAGGTTAGTTTATGGCTATATTATTTTATATATTTATTATTTTTATATTTACAAACTTTCGTTCTATTCTCCTTTTTCTTTTAATCACTCACTGCTTGTTGTTATTGAGGTGATCTATATCTATATATATATATATATATATATATATATATATATATATATCTTGTTAGATGATTTGAAGGGTTTTGAATTTTTAACCAATTTAATAAAACTAAAACTTTAACTTGGAGACATTGCTATATCCCCCAAACAAACCCCATACTCCAATTTTTCTTTTTGTGTTAGTTTATGGCAAAGTTCGGACCCGAACACTGACATATCACTGTATGTTCGGGTTGGAGTTCGGTGTTCGGCGATTTAACGCACGTTTTCAAAGGCTGCAGGGCAGCCAATCAACAAGCGTTTGACTCGTGTGCCCTTAGAAGACACCACAGCCATGCGTACTAATGGCATGGCTGTGATTGGCCAGTGCAGCATGTGACCCAGGCTCTATATATAAGATGGAGTCGTGTAGTGCACATGAGCTCCTATTAGTGTAGGGAGAGGATGCTGCAGCTGTTAGGAACAGATTAGGAAAGAATTCTGCAAACTAGTAGATTTGGGGCGTGCTCTTCATATCTGAGAGTCAAATAAAAGCGTCAGTGCAGTTACAGCACAATTGTAAACATTCTTATTTTCTGGGTGCTAATCTGCTAAATAGTAAATTTGGGGCATGCTCTTCATATCTGAAAGTCAAATAGAAGCGTCAAATACTGTGTTTACAGCGCACTTTGACAAATTCCCATTTTTTTGCTCCTAAGAAGTTCATTTGGGGCATGCTCTTCATATCTGAGAGTCATAGAACCGTCAAATAGTGCTGTGACATAGCAGTTTTAAACATTCTTATTTTCTCGGTGCTAAACTGCTAAATAGTAAATTTAGGGCGTGCTCTTTATATCTGAGAGTCAAATAGTGCAGTTGTAAACATTCTTATTTTCTGGGTGCTAATCTGCTAAATAGTACATTAGTGGGGTGCACTTCATATCTGAGAGTCAAATACTGCGGTTACAGCGCAGTTGTAAAAATTTATTGTTTTGGTGCTAAACTGCTAAATAGTAAATTTGGGGCATGTTCTTCATATCTAAGAATCAAATAGAACCATCAAATAGTGCTGTGACATAGCATTTTTAAACATTCACATTTTTTGGCTGCTAAATAGTACATTTGTGGCCTGCGGTGCACTTCATATCTGAAAGTCAAATAGAACCGTCAAATATTGTGCTTACATTGCAGTTGTAAAAATTCTAATTCTTCAGGTGCTAAAAAGTCAATTTGGTGCCTGCACTTCATATCTGAGAGTGAAATAGAAGCGTCAAATACTGTGTTTACAGCGCACTTTGACAAATTCCCATTTTTTTTGGCTCCTAAGAAGTACATTTGGGGCGTGCTCTAAATATCTGAGAGTCAAATAGTGCTGTAAAAATTCTAATTTTTTAGGTGCTAAAAAGTTTGATGCCTGCACTTCATATCTGACAGTCAAAAAGAACTGTCAAATACTGTGGTTACAGTGCAGTTTGACCAATTCGAATTTTTGTTGGGTGCTAAATAGAACATTTGCGGCCTGCACTTAATATCGGACAGTCAAATAGAACCGTCAAATACCAATATAACAATATTGTAATTCGGGGGCAATACCCTCACAAGTCAAACTGAGAGGTCAGTTTATAGGGAAAACTGTTGCCTGTATACAATTCTAAAACAATTTCCATATGTCCTTTGCAGACTTTACATGCTGGCAAAACACAGGTGCCAACTTCTGTGGCTTTCTGCAGTGTGCAGACCGGCAAGGAGGGCAGGGTTGAGGAGTGGGTGGAAGATGATGTGGAGGATGATGAGGTCCTAGACCCCACATGGAATCAAGGTCATGCGAGTGACGTGTGAAGTTTGGAGGAAGAGGCACTGGTCGCACAGAGGCACCAGCACAGCATAAGAGGGAGCAGGGTGCAAAAGCGGAGCGGCCGTCCCCTAGCGCTCGTTGGCATGTATTAGCTCTAGAATTCACACAGTTATCCAAGTTATTCGGCGTTCTCACCCTGCTGCTGCTCGCCTGTCTGCGCTGCAGTGTAACTTTGGCCTTTTTGTATTGCTCGGGGGTGACCGCATACCGGGCCAGGAGGATTTGGGTAATAAAGGGATAGTCTCTGATCTGCTCTTCTGGTACAGCCGGTAAATATCCGCTGCCTTCCCCACTAGTTTTCTGGCCAGGATGGTGACCCAGTCGCTGGGGTCCACGTCTTGGAGTAGGCACTGGCGCTCAAAGTCTTGTAAATAGTCATCGATGTCTTCTTCTGCTTCCTTGAAGTCTTTGAAGGCATTGTATGGTAGCTTGTGGGCCAGGGTGGTGGTGCTTCCTGGCGCACTCTGCTCCCTTCTTTCTTCATCTGGGTTCATGGAGGTCGCCCTCTGTCTATTGGCAAGGACATAGGCTTGCACCTCCAAAAAGGTCCTGCTAACAATCTCCTCTAAGGGTGGCTCTCAGTAATATGCCCGACGCCGTTACACCTCCTTGCGCACTTCCTCCTCATCTCCGGCCCCTTGCTGGGGTTCGTTGCCTCACTGCATGCCTGGTCGTCCTCCATGAGCGCAGCAGTCCTTCGGCCTTGTTACGCCCACCAGGCTTTATTCCTCTGGCTCCACACAAGTCCTGCAGTGTAGGTCGCTTTAGAGCACTGTAGTCCATGGGTTTGTTGGCAGGGACATGGAATCCCGCCGATTGCCACCAATTGAAGCGGGACCTGGGTAACCAATGGTTATCCCCTTTGATTAGAATAGAATAGGTCAGACCCATTTCCCCAGTAACCAGATGGTTTCCCCAACGTTTGACAATCTTTATTTGGGTACACAGCTTTGCCTCCTGTTGCCTCCTCCTACTCCACTTCCTCCTCGTCTACCACCTCCTCATCCGGTCAGCGTAACACCTTCATCACCAACTTCAGCACAGCCAGGGGGAAACGACAGCAGGCTGTTTTCAAACTCATGTGTTTGGGGGGAAAATCCCACACCGCGCAGGAGCTGTGGACGGGCATGGAACAACAGACCGATGAGTGGTTGTTGCCGCTGAGCCTCAAACCCGGCCTGGTGGTGTGTGATTATAGGCGAAATCTCGTAGCAGCGCTGGGCCTAGCCGGTTTGCCGCACATCCCTTGCATGGCGCATGTGCTGAATTTGGTGGTGCAGAAATTCCTGAAAAACTACCCAGATATATCAGAGCTGCTGCAGAAAGTGCGGGCCGTCTGTTTGCGCGCTTTTGGCGTTCTCACCCTGCTGCTGCTAGTCTGTCTGCGCTGCAGCGTAACTTCGGCCTTCCCTCTCACCGCCTCATGAGACTGTGTGAGCAGCAGCAGGCAATAGTGGAGTTTCAGCTGCAGCACGCACAGGTCAGTCGCTCTACGGAACAGAGTTTTCTTTTTTTTTTATATGTTCCAATATTTTGGGGGCTACCCCAATTTAAAAAAAAACAAAAAAAAACAAACAAATAAAAAACAGTGTTGGCTACCTCCTCCTCCTCCACTGCTGCTTCTTTCTACACCGCCACGGTCATCGCCTCCTCAACCTATGGGTCACTTAGTATAAACTGTACACAATAGCAGAGGCTTGTGAAGGCCTTTTCTCCATGCATCAGGAGTTGATCTCAGTTTGAATAATAAAAGAGAATACCCTGCACTTCAACCCTCTCTCAAATGGATAATTCTGGTGATCCTCCTGACGGCCATGCTTTAGATTTTGATTTATGTCCTTCCAAAGCCATAAAATAGCACTAGATTCCATCTAGTGCTATTTTATGGCTCAGCTGTATTTTTAATTTTTATGTTATTTTAAGTGATTTCCCTATCTACATTTGTTTGTAGGGCACTTGTCCTACTCTTATCCCCATTTTACTTCCTTTTGCAGCCCTCTAGCCCTTTCCAGGAGTTTTTTTAGAGGCATTTTTGTGCCCAAAAGTTTGGGTCCCCATTGACTTCAATGGGGTTCGGGGTCAATTTCGATCCCGAACCCGGACTTTTTTTTAAAAGTTCGGCCGAACCCGCCGGACCCGAACATCCAGGTGTCCGCTCAACTCTATTTATGGCTAACGTCCGTAAAATTCTTGTTTTATTGTACCTTTTTAAGAAATGTAAACATCTACAATAACCTATCAGTAAAGATGGTAAATACGTACGCAGTGTAAAATGAAAGATGTCACAATGTTCTTCTAAGCAGGGACCTTAATCAAATTAAAAACTTTTACTTGATTGACTCGGCAGACATGATTGCTGAGTTTATTTACAACTGGTGTTAAAATGTTTTCACAGGTGTTGTATAGCAAATATTTCTAATGAGGGGTGTATGTATATTCTCACTTTGAGTGTAATGTTTTTAGAATGTTGTCATACAAGTTTTTAAGATGTTTTATAAGATATTACACAATTTTTCAACGGCTTTGGAACACGTTTCGAAAAGCTGTTTGACTACATTTCCTATAATTCTCTGCAGAGCTGTAGCTGGCTCATATTGCACCACAAGCAAGAACAGAAAGTTGTGCCTCTCCCCCCTAATTTTAAGAGGTTATTTTGAAGAAAGTAATAATTTCTATAATTATATATTTTGATCCAGGCACAGGTGTTGTACAGTATAACTCTTATCTAATATTGATTGATCTAGACACTGAGGGTGTAGCATTTCTCTTATCATTATACATTGATCCAGAAACTGAATGGGAGAATTTCGAACTCGACTACTTTGGCTTTCAGTTTGAAATTACCATCTGAATTCACTCTTTGAGTAGACCCTCTTATTCATGGGTCGTAAACAGATTCCAGGTGGGCAGTAGTGGGTTCTACGGCACAAGCAGAATCCTCCCTCCATCCTCTATTCATCTCTTGCGCACGAGTTTAAAACACCGGTCGAGGAAGGGAAGGACAACCCCCTTTCCCACCCGCTAGTGTACAACAGAAGCCTCGACCCACTAGCTCGGTACAGTGCCACCATTGCCAACGCTGGGGACATTATAAGAGGGAATGCCCGCAGCTAAAAGATCGCTCCACCTTGATCAGACCCGGACTACCCCCACCACCTCGACAGACAGCCCACTACTACCAAGCAGAGGCAACAAGTCCCTATGGCACCGCAATTCCCATAAACGCAGTGGAACAATGGGAAGTATTGCATGAAGCGGATCCTGTGCAGGTGAATGCTGACAACCGCCAGCATCATAGACAGTCTGTGTACTTGGAGGGGAAAGCAGTCCAGGGGCTCTGTGATTCAGGAGCCACCATCACACTGGTTAAAAGTCACCTGGTACCTGACCAAGCCAAGACCAACAGAACAGTAGCAGTCAGGGTAGCCGGGGGAGCAGTATACTGGCTACCCACAACACGGGTATATTTACATTGGGGAGCGGGGTTTGGGAATGTGGAGGTGGGGTTGATGCCCCAGCTGCCAGCAGAGGTTTTGTCGGGGAACAATTTGGGCAAATTGACGTCTGCATTTGAACCTCAGGCCCCAACAACCGGAGAAGCACACCCAGTGGTTACACGACAACAGCCCCGCAACCAGGACTACAACACACTCCCGGAGGTCCAAGTAAGAGATCCTTCCCCTACCTTAGAATGTACCCCTTGGGCTCCCCCTACTGAATTTGCAGCTGAGGTAGCCACCGACCCCACCTTACAGGTCTATAGGGACAAAGTCACCTCAGACCAGCCGGGAGGGCGAAAGATTTGTATGGGATAACCAGTTGCTATACAGGGAGTTTGACAAGCAGGTAGCTGGGTCAGACCCCATTGTAATGAGGCAGTTAGTGGTACCCCAACGGTATCGCGCAGATTTACTCCGGATAGCGCATGATATTCCGCTATCCGGATATTTAGGGGTCAGTCGCACCCGGCACCGACTGACCCAAAGTTTCTTTTGGCCGGGGGTTAGTCAGGAAGTCCGCAGGTACTGCAACACGTGTGACACGTGCCAAAGGGTAGGGAAGAGAGGGGACCGGCGGAAGGCAAAATTGCACCCACTACTCATAATCGAGGAGCCCTTCAGCAGAGTGGCAGTAGATACAATAGGACCCCTGAAAACACCCAGCCCCTCTGGAAAAAGGTATATATTAACTGTAGTGGATTATGCCACCCGATATCCAGAGGCAATTGGCCTGACTAACATACACGCAGAAACCGTGGCTGAGGCCCTGATGTGGATTTTCACTCGGATGGGGTTACCCAGAGAGATAATCTCGGATCAGGGTACCCAGTTCACTGCGGAAGTCACCCAGAGCCTCTGGAAATTTTGTGACATCAAATCGATTATTAGCGCCCCATACCACCCCCAGACCAATGGGCTATGCGAAAGGTTCAATGGGACCTTGAAGCAAATGCTGCGCACTTTTGCAGACACCCATAGGGACTGGGAACGGTTTCTGCCGCATCTCCTGTTTGCCTATAGGGAGGTGCCACAGGAATCGACAGGATTCTCCCTGTTTGAGCTACTATTTGGGCGGAGAGTAAGGGGACTCTTGGATCTTATCCGGGAACACTGGGAGGGAGACCGGAGTACCGACGGTACCCCTGTCATACCATATGTGCTGGCGTTTCGAGAGCGTTTGGAAGCGTTGACCAAGTCAGTCCGAGAGAACCTCCAGGCAGCTCAAAAGCGCCATGCACCTGGTATGATAGGGGCGCCAGGGACCGCAGCTTCCAGGTTGGGCAGAAAGTTCTAGTTTTGAAACCCGTCCAACATGACAACAACTCCTGAGCTGATGCTCCCAACATCTTCCCTCAAACAGGCAAATCTGCTAGGTTGCACCAAATCAGGACTAGCTAGCCCTTTCCTCTTTCCTCCCCCCCTGCTTCCTCGCCCCACTGTCACCCAGCTACATGGCTGTTCCCAATCTGTATTATCTCCTCCCTCTCCACTACCTGTCCCCACTAAACTCTGCTCAGTGAGCAGCAGACTCCTCTCAAGATTGTCAATCTCCCTCAAAGTTGCGATTTGCTTCTCGAGATCTCCAATCTGAGCTTCCAGAGAAGCCACTCGCACACAGCCATCACATAGGTATGGACCCTGGACGTGTACATCCAGGCATCCATACTTTATGGGGATATAAATCCCACACAGGTGCAATTAATGAACACCCCCCCCAATTAATCAAGCAACAGCACAAAAGAGGGGGAAAAACCAGAACACAGAAATTTTTTATTTTTTTTTAAACACACGCCTAATGCAATTTTCCGAGTGAGGCAACTGTCTCAGTCAAAGCTAAAGCTCTTGAATGAGACAGTTGCCACAAAGTAATGCATGCCCCTTTTAAGAAAATAACGGTCATTGCTCAGCTATAAACATTTTGTTTTATTCTTATAAAACAATTCTAAATTGTTTGTTTAACATGGTAGTTCTTAAAGGAACACTCTAGATTTCAACACAAAGTTCAATGCATTTTATATTGTGTGTCGTCGTCCCCCCCTCCATAAATCATTGGCATAGTTGCAACAGTTGTTTTTTGTTTTTTTAATATAATTCTTTATTTTTCAGTGCAATGCATGAATCATACTTAAATAGTAGATAGGTAGAAGGATAACAAGGCAGGGGGTGTGTAACATTGGTAATCTGCACCATTTTTATATATGTACATAACATGTTAACAGAGGCCTAGGTGCATCTGTAGGTGAGACAAGGAAAGGTTGAGCAAAAGATAAAAAGTATATATACAGATAATATCAATAGTAGAGATAGTCCTAGTAAGAGATCCTCTTGTATAGGTGACTATAAGATTCAAAGATGAGTCAATATAAAGTACTTGATAGAAAAATTAAAGATCCTCCGTTCAAACGATGAGTCAATTAATCCGAGCGTTCCGTATGCAGATATAAAAGACAAAAAACTAAGGACAGCAGATAGTGCAATAAATGTGATTAGAGATATGATATACGTAGAAATAATGGTAGTACACTCACATTTATGCGTAATTGGCGTACAGCAGTATAATCCCCAATTTCTAGGATATGCAGCAAGTGTCCACCTCAGGAGCGATATCCAAAACTCTGGAAAGGGATAGAAAGACAACTAATAGTGCTCTCAATATAAAAATATAAATAGATGAAATGAGTAAAAACTGCTCTATGGTATCGGCATTGGTGGTATGATCCCCACCTAGGATTGCTTGGAGTACAAGAAAAGTTAAATCTGTGTAAAAGAAAAGTGATAATTGGCACAGGGTAGTGACCAAAAAACCTTTAGTACGCAATATTAAAATATCCAAACGCGTTTCGCCTAAGGCTTCTTCAAATGGATAGAGTAGTATACAACCTGGCAGTTGGAGTTTATATAGGGCTAAATGGTTAAAATTGGCGCCAAAATTATGTTTGCCAATTAAAAATTAACATATACATAGTTGCCATAAAAGATGAAAGAAAGACATATTTTTAAATTTAGTACTTGAATTAAATGCTTTTTGTAATAAAACAAATGAAGGGTTGAAAGGCTAGTATAAGTGAAATAAGTAAAGTTGCGTGACATTAACTTCTCTGGCAGCATGGGTAATATATTACACGGCAGCCATATATGCCGGCGGGCATTGTGGGAGTGGCGTTGGGAACTTCTTTGGCTGCATGGGTTATATACTAGATGGCCATATTGTGGTTGGCAGCCGTGTATGCCGGCAGCCATATTGGGAGTGGAGTTGGGAGCTTGAGTTGCAACTTTGGCTGGCCATTAGAGGGGGCATTGCGGTGTATAAATAAATTATGATTTGGTTAGTTTTTCTTTACATAATAAATTATGATTTAGTTAGTATTTATTTACATGTTTGTTTTTTTTGGGGGGGGGGGCTGAATGAGGGTCTGGGATTTTAATTGCTTTCAGGAGATTAGTATATGCAGGGTCGTATATAGTAGTGATCGACTGATATAGATTTTTTTTTTTTTTTTGAGCTGATACCTATAATCTGTGAACTTTTCAGGCCGATGTTTTACCGATATTCTGTACATTTACCTTTTTTTTTGCAAATCATTTTTGTATTAAGTGGTTAAAGGGAAACTCCAGTGCCAGGAAAACAATCCGTTTTCCTGGCACTGCAGATTCCCTCTCCCTCCCACCCCCCAATCCCCGGTTGCTGAAGTGGTGAAAACCCCTTCAGTAACTTACCTGAGGCAGCGACGATGTCCCACGTCACTGCTTCTCCCTCCGCATCGCTCCCCCTCCTGATTGCGTCGGTCGGTGGGCGAGACTGATCCCGCCCACCGGCCAGGGAGACCTAATGCGCATGCCAACCAGGAAGTGCCCTCTAGTGGCTGTCTAGTAGAGTTAACCCTGCAATGTAATTATTGCAGTTTATAAAAAAAACTACAATAATTACAGTTGTAGGGTTAAGAGTAGTGGGAGTTGGCACCCAGACCACTCCAATGGGCAGAAGTGGTCTGGGTGCCTGGAGTGTTCCTTTAATGCACAAAATATACATGCCAGTCAGATTTTTTTTTTTTAATGTTTTCAAGAATATTTATAAATGTGTGTGTATGTAGTGGATGCAGTGTGTTTGTTTGTGTAGTGGATGCAGTGTGTTTGTGTGTAAATATGTGTGGTAGAAACTCCCCACCCCTTACCTGTTGCATGCCCCCCCCCTTACCTGTCTCTTAGTGCCCCCCAATTCCCCTCCCTTTTCTTTTAGTGGTCCACCCTACCCCAGTGTTCCTTTTCACTTCCCTCCCCTGTACCTTAGTGCCCTCCCTTAATGTTCCCCTCTCCCCCCAGTGTTCTTCTCTCCCCCTTCCCTGTCCCATAGTGTTCTTCACCCCCTTCTGTCCATAGTGTTCTTTCACCTCCCTTCCTGTCCCATAGTGCTCTCTCCTTGTCCCATAGTGTTCTTTCACCCCCTTCCCCTGTCCCATAGTGTTCTTCACCCCTTCCCTGTCCCATAGTGTTCTTTCACCCCCTTCCCTGTCCCAGGTGTTCTTTCACCCCCTTCCTCTGTCCCACCCCCTTCCCTGTCCCATAGTGTTCTTCACCCCTCTTCCTGTCCCATTGTGTTCTTCTTCTCCCCTTCCCTGTCCCATAGTGTTCTTTCACCCCCTTCCCTGTCCCATAGTGTTCTTCACCCCTTCCCTGTCCCATAGTGTTCTTCACCCCCTTCCCTGTCCCATAGTGTTCTTCACCCCCTCCCTTCCCTGTCCCATAGTGTTTCACCCCCTTCCTGTCCCATTGTGTTCTTCCCCCTTCCCTGTCCCATAGTGTTCTTCACTCCCTTCCCCTGTCCCATAGTGTTCTTCATCCCCTTCTCTCTGTCCATAGTGTTCTTTCTCCCCCTTCCCTGTCCCATAGTGCTCTTCACCCCCTTCCTGTCCCATAGTGTTCCCCCTTCCCTGTAACCCTTCCTGTCCTATAGTGTTCTTCACCCCCTTCCCTGTCCCATAGTGTTCTTCACCCCCCCGCCTTCCCTGTCCCATAGTGTTCTTCACCCCCCCGCCTTCCCTGTCCATAGTGTTCCTTAACTCCCCCCCACATCCTATAGTGTGTGTCCCCGTCCCTTAGTGCCCCTCCCTCTCCCCTCCTTGGTCCCCGCTCCCCGGTGTGTCTCCTGGTAGCGTGACTGAGCGGAGCTGTGTGCACCGTGGTACAGGAGATTGTCACTAGAGATTCAGCCTCCTGTACATAAGTTCCTGTACCGCGGTGCGCACTGCTCCGCTCGGCCGCACTACACACATGGACTTATGGACGCGGCGGGCCATTCATTTATTATCGGTATCAGCCGATGCCAATAATCGGTCGATCCCTAGTATATAGAGTGAGGTTCCTACAGTATAACCTGTTTCACCATAGTGACGTATCCTCTTAAAGGAACACTATACTAAATTACTTAAGCTAAATAAAACCGTTTTAGTGTATAGATCATTCCCCTGCAATTTCACTGCTCAATTCACTGTCATTTAGGAGTTAAATGACTTTGTTTCTGTTTATGCAGCCCTAGCCACATCTCCCCTTGCTATGATTGACAGAGCCTGCATGAAAAAAAAAAAACTGGTTTCACTTTCAAACAGATGTAATTTACCTTAAATAATTGTATCTCAATCTCTAAATTGAACTTTAATCACATACAGGAGGCTCTTGCAGGGTCTAGCAAGCTATTAACATAGCAGGGGATAAGAAAATCTTAATTAAACAGAACTTGCAATAAAGAAAGCCTAAATAGGGCTCTCTTTACAGGAAGTGTTTATGGAAGGCTGTGCAAGTCACATGCAGGGAGGTGTGACTAGGGTTCATAAACAAAGGGATTTAACTCCTAAATGGCAGAGGATTGAGCAGTGAGGCTGCAGGGGCATGTTCTATACACCAAAACTGCTTCATTAAGCTAAAGTTGTTCAGGTGACTATAGTGTCCCTTTAAGCTGAAGTTATTTAGGTGACCATAGTGTCCCTCTAATCACTTTCTCCAGATAACTGACACAAAGCTTGAAAGGCTACTCTACTTTGCTACTCTATAACAGAAAGTGTAATTTTACCAAGAGCTTTAATATGGCCTTATAACACAATGTTATAATGGCCCAATTATAAAATCATTGTGTGTACACTTTATACAGATATAAAGCTCACTACTGCCATCTGGAGTGCTAGGTTTGTGAAATAGCACATATGTGTAAGCATTATTGAATTGGAATAGTGAGATTCCAGCAAATGTACTTTTTTATATGCCATTTCGTCGTTTTGGTTTTATATTCATATTTTCTTTTTATTAAACATTCTAAAAGTTGTGGTGAGATCAAAAAGTGATACAATCTTCCCACAGAACTGTAAATTTAAAAACGTGTACATTTAAACGCACAAATCTTTGGTTTTTGGTTTTTGGATGCAGCTAGCTGGTGGGCAGCAGACCCAAGCAACTACTACACCAGGTATAGGCAACCTTCGGCACGCCAGATGTTTTGGACTACACCTCCCATGATGCTTTGCCAGCATTATGAGTTTAAGAGCATTATGGGGGATGTAGTCCAGAACATCTGGAGTGCCGAAGGTTGCCTATACCTGTACTACACCATAGTGCCAACATCACAATGTTTCCACTTATAGGAAGGGGCCCTGCATTTGACAAGATGCATCAATGACCCCTCAGGGCCACTGTATTATGAGTGCAATCCTTGCCGCTGGAGAAAACACTGTGTTGCAATTGCCGAAGGTACACTCCACAATACTCTGGGGCTTTGTATACAGCTTACAGCTTGGTCGAAGCCAAAGATTAAGAAACATAGAATGTGATGGCAGATAAGAACCATGCGGCCCATCTAGTCTGCCCAATTTCCTAAATACTTGCATTAGTCCCTAGCCTTATCTTATAGTTAGGATAGCCTTATGCCTATCCCACGCATGCTTAAACTCCTTTACTGTGTTAACCTCTACCACTTCAGCTGGAAGGCTATTCCATGCATCCACTACCCTCTCAGTAAAGTAATACTTCCTGATATTATTTTTAAACCTTTGTCCCTCTAATTTAAGACTATGTCCTCTTGTTGTGGTAGTTTTCTTCTTTTAAATATAGTCTCCTCCTTTACTGTGTTGATTCCCTTTATGTATTTAAATGTTTCTATCATATCCCCCCTGTCTCGTCTTTCCTCCAATCTATACATGTTAAGATCCTTTAACCTTTCCTGGTAAGTTTTATCCTGCAATCCATGAACCAGTTTAGTAGCCCTTCTCTGAACTCTCTAAGGTATCAATATCCTTCTGAAGATACGGTCTCCAGTACTGTGTACAATACTCCCTCTTTCTACTGCTAATACTGCTAATCCCTATACAACCAAGCATTCTGCTAGAATTTCCTGCTGCTCTATTACATTGTCTGCCTACCTTTAAGTCATCAGAAATAATCACCCCTAAATCCCTTTCCTCAGATGTTGAGGTTAGGACTCTATCAAATATTCAGTACTCTGCCCTTGGGTTTTTATGTCCAAGATGCATTATCTTGCACTTGGAAGGCGAGCTTGCTGGTGCATGAGCCGAGCAATGTCAGGCTTAATTCAGTGTTATGGGACTGTGCCATGCCAGTGTGGGGGTGAGATGAACTCTGAGGCCTTTAGCATACTATATGCTTCAAAGCCGCTAATTGTGAGGTTACCCATATATTATCAACTCTTCTAATTTTGTTATGGGGTCCAGGGGTCTTTCTTCTGTGCTTACTGTTGCATGTTATAATTACTAAGTTTATTGTGTAAACATTTATTTTCAACATGCTACAATTAAGGGCTGTCATACATAATATAAATGAGGCCTTGTTCATCTGTGTACACATTATTTTACTATGCGTTACCTGTGGCATGCTACTCTATTGTACACATGCTCTCATCAGAATGTATTACTTTTATGCCTCAAAAATAAACCCAAAAAACCCACAATTTAGAATCACAACTATTGTCTCCTGTAGAGTGTTGTTTAGAGATACAATAAATCACCAGTGACAAGTCCTACATTCAGGTATTTAATTTTGGACTCCGTCAAAATGATTGATTAAAATCATCTTTTTTTTGTTTTTTGTTTTTTTAATAATGAAAATTGAAAATTAAAAAATAAATGAAATTGTATATGGACATAATGTGCAGGAGACACAAAGAAGGAAAGATGCTAATGCATTTTGTACCATGCAAGGCACACCGTTACAGATTAAATACATACACAGGCATGATAAAAACCAGCCTATAAATCAAAACATCCAGTTAGGGTGTAGAATCAATTAAAACTGGGAGATCCACAAATAAATTGTCTGCAAAGTTGGGACTCTCGAAGGAGTGAAAACAAATAATGTACTTTCTCAAAAAATATACTGATAGAACCACTGCATGCACACAGTGTTTTGTAATTTAAACCAGGCATTGTAACAATGTAAGTGGTCATTTGAAAAGTCGTTAAACCACATTGTTGTAATGGAATAAATGGCATGGAAGTTCTTGTTCTGTACGCCCTTTCAACAAGGCAGTCATGTCCTGCCTTCTACTCCTGTGGTTTTGACAACTTTGGAGAAGCATGAAAATTAAATTTGTATCATTAGCTTCTCTTTGTGCCCAGATAGATGAGAAAAATATTTTTTCAGTACAAGTATTCGGCATCCCTGGGAAGAAATTTATGTGCTTTAGGATTAAGTGGTGGAATTTGACTAACATAATGATTTCTTTTCATTTACACAGAATAAATCCTCACCTCATTACTCTAGGTTCATGCCTGCCTGCGCACAGTCATTCTGCATTAATGCTTCTTTACCTCAACGTTGCTTTAACCACTTTAATGCTGTCAAATCTTTATAGCTAGACTTTGGCAACATCTTTGTGTCATTTTAGAGGCGTATCTGATAATGTGCTAATTTTGCTGAATATTTTGAACTGGTGTCTTGCCGTATTCGAAGATCAGCAGAAGAAATTTGTAATGACAAGAACTTAACTTCCCGTAAAGGTTATGGCACAAATGTCATCAAAAATAATTTTATAAATTAGTGTATTAAGAAAAAATTCTAATTAGTAAGCTATATTTTAATTTAAACCTGGAAGTATATATATATATTGGTCCCCTACTGTTCTCCATTTATACTGCCTCCCTTGGTAAACCCATTATCTCCTTTAGCTTCCAATATCATTTCTATGCAGATGACACGCAAATCTACCAGTCCTCTCCTGATCTCTCCTTGTCCCTCTTGACTAGTGTCTCTGACTGTATTTCTAACTGGATGGCTACCCACTTCCTTAAACTAAACTTGACCAGCGAGGCTCATCTTGTCCGCCTGCACCTCCCATGCCTCACCCTTCTGTTTGTCCCTACATTGGCTTCCTATAAAATATAGAGCTCAATTTAAAATTCGGGTTCCTGCTTTCAAATTGCTACATAATGCTGCTCCCACCTATCTATCCTCCCTTATACACAAGTATGTCCGTCTAGGCCCTTACGATCTGCTGAAGACTCACGTCTATTTTCGGTCCGTACTCCCACCTCTGATGCTCGCCTTCAAGAATTCTTGAGGGCTGCACCGTTCCTGTGGAACTTGCTTCCCTTCTCCGTTAGATGCTCACCCAGTCTCCACTCCTTCAAAAAATCATTAAAAACCCACTTCTTCATAAAAGCGGATCAATTAAACTGTGAATTGCTCCTGACTGATTCCTTTTCTGCAACTGTCATTAGTCTAATACTGTCCTTACCTTTTTGTGTAATTTTACCCCACTCCCTCTAGCATGTAAGCTCATTGAGCAGGGCCCTTAACCCCTCTGTTCCTTTGTGTCCAACTTGTCTGGTTACACCTACATGTCTGTTCGTCCACCCATTGTATAGTGCTGTGGAATTTGATGGCGCTATATAAATAACATATATATATATTTTTTTATTTATTTATTTATTTATTTTTCTTCAAAAGTTCCTTTCACACAGACTTAAAACAAAAAGCTGCCATGTGCTTCAAACCAAGGGTTAGTTATGTAGAAAGATATGCAGAAAGGTGAGCACTCATGGTCTTCAGAAGAATGTTTTTTGGTCTTAAAGAAAGTCCAGTACATGCACTGAAACGTTGATTAATTAATCTTCAATAAACCTATCAGTTTTAATCCTTCTGAAGCCTGTGAGTGCTCACCTTCCTGCATATCTTATATATATATATATATATATATATATATATATATAATTTTTTTTTTAGGACAGATGGATATCTTCATACAGATGTCTTCTGATACCCTATATCCCTATATTGTAACCATCGGCATGGAAGATGGCATGGACTACAAATCTAATGCTTTAATAGCCTTATGGCTGTAAGAGCATTATGGAAAATGTTGTCAACACAGGGTCAGATATACATGTCCGGTATCTGTAGGCACAACGTTCTAAAGGCAATTTCTACTGGAGGACCCGATTGGTTTTTGAGTGTCATAGCAAGAGAATGTAATGATTTTTTATTTTGATGATTGTTACTGTTAAGCCATCGTGCCTGAACTGTCAAGGATTCAATAGAAAATTCCCCGGGTCGAAGAAAAACCTTTTGTATTTTGTTTAACTTTCAAATGGATATTTATCTGGTAATTCAGAGTAGGCATGTCAATAGGTACTCGTTTAATATTCGTTGGGTGGTCTTATGCGTTGGATACATTTTTAGAATATTTTGTTGTATGGGGTAAGTAGGCATGAAAGGTCTCTTATTAGGGAATTAAGTTAATAAGTGTTTTATACCAGCAATGTATAGTTTAATTGTGGTGTGCTTCCTTTAAATTAAGGGGACAAGAGGCATATAGTCACACACAGGGCTCAAACCATGAGACTTATGGGAGGGAAAGTGTTTTGTTGTTAATGCAACTTATTAGCAAGCCAGAAGCCAACCTCTATAGTTGCATTAACAATAAAACAGCTGTCCATGGGTGTTTATCTGGCTTTGCACCTCTTCTTGAGTGGTTTTAAATCTGTTGTATAGAGTAGACATAAACTCAATAAAATCCATGTATAGAGTATGAGGAAAAAATGTGATTCTTTGTTAAACTCATTTGCATGCACTGCAAATGTCAAATTTCTGTGGGAAATGAGTCTTATGGCTTGACTGGTGTGCAGATCTGTGTTTAACAATGTATTGACTGACTATATCTATTTATATGCAGGGGCGGACTGAGCACTCGGGCAAATCGGTCATGGACCGAGGGCCCGAGGCTCTGGGGGGCCCGCCCCTGCTGCAGTGCAGTAATGGCTGAGCTGGGGAGTTAAACAATCTCCCCAGCCAGCCTGCACTCAGTAAGGGGCCCGCACAGCCTTCCGCGGGCCCCTGCTGCTAAAAATATAATCCCCCGTGCAGGGCACACTGAGGGACAGCTAAAGGGCCTTCCAAAGACCCCACTAGGCTGCCCTTCAGTGTGCCTGTCTCCAAACACAGCCTCACTGAGCTGCCTGTAACACTGTTCAGGGCAGCTCCGTGCGGCTTGTTCTGCAGGAAGTGACATCAGCAGTCACAGTGCAGAGTGAGGAGCTGCCCTGAGCAGAGTTACAGGCAGCATGTCAGCATTGTGTGCCCTCCTTCAGAAGGTTTGGGAGGGGGGCTTTATTTTTTTTAATTAAAATGTTTTATTATATAATTTCCCCCACTACTGCCCCATCAGAGCCCATACCCCCCCTTGCCCCCACTGCATCTCCTACCCCCCCTGCTCCCAATGCATCCCCTACCCCCCTTGCTCCCACTGCATCCCCTACCTCCCTGCTCCTACTCGTATCCCCTACCCTGCTCCCACCACGCCCTACCCCCTGCATCCCCACCCCTCCCACTGCCTCCCCTATCCCCCACTACATCCCCTATCCCACTGCATCCCCACCCCCCTGCTCCCACAGTGCATCCCTGCTCCCACCTCCTGCATCCCCACTCTCCCAGTGCATGCCTCCTACTCCCCCTGTATTCCCTACCCCTCCCACTGCATTCCTCCCCCTGCTCCCACTGCATCCCCTACCTCCCTGTTCTCAGTGCACTCTCTACCCCCACTGCACCCCCTACCCCCTTGCTCCCAGTGCATGCTCCTACTCGCTCTGCCTCAGTGTGTCCCTCTCTGCTCCCAGTGCATCCCCTACCCCTGCTCCCAGTGCATGCCCTACCCCCCCTGCTCCCAGTGCATCCCCTACCCCCTGCTCCCAGTGCATCCCCTACCTCCCTGCTCCCACTGCATCCCGTACCCCTCTGCTCCCACTGCAGCTCCTGCCCCCTGCACTGTGCGCAATAGTAGGGTTTCGCTTTTGGTAGTGGCTAGTGGGCTACCCAACTGCTACCACTGCATCTCCTATTACCCTTTGCACCCACTACAGTCTGTCCCTCCTCTGCACCTACTACAGCCTCTAATCCACCCTATTCCCCCGTACCCTCTACAGTCCCTCCCCTGCAGCCCCTTCCACTCGCACCCTTTACAGCCCCTTCCTTTCGGCACCCTCTGCAGTCCCTACCCCTTTGCACGCACAAACATAAAGGGACACTATAGTTACCAGAACAACTACAGCTTAATTTATATTATACAGCTTAATGTATAGTAACAGCTTAATGTTTATTATATAGCTTAATGTAGTTGTTCTGGTGAGTATAGTATACTACTGCAGGGTTTTTGCTGTAAAGACTGCCTTTTCAGAGAAAATGCAGTGTTTATATCGCTTCCTAGGAACACCTAGGCGCTTCCTGTGTCAGTGTTGCAAAATGTGCAGCACTGACATTCAGCATCTCCATGCTCTGCATGTCGACGCTGAACGCTTGTCATAGAGAAGCACTGATTCAATGCATCTCTATGATGGTGATTGGCACAGCATTTTGCTGCGCGTGCACAATAGCCTTCTAGTGCTCTCCTATGGTAGAGTATTGGATTGGCTGAGATCATCTAAATTGATGAACTCTGCCAAGGAGTTTGGTCGGTGCTGGGAAACAGGTGAGTAAATCGCATTTTTAAGGGGGGAATACACATTTGTATTCCTGACACTATAGTGTTCATTTAAAGGGACACTCCAGGCACCCAGACCACTTCTGCCCATTGGAGTGGTCTGGGTGCCAACTCCCACTACCCTTAACCCTGCAAGTGTAGTCATTGCAGTTTTTATAAACTGCAATAATTACCTTGCAGGGTTAACTCCTCCTCTAGTGGCTGTCTACTAGACAGCCACTAGAGGGCACTTCCTGGTCTATAGCACAGGATTTCTGTGCTATAGTGTCGCTGGACGTCCTCACGCTGTGTGAGGACCTCCATCGTCGCTAAAATTCCCATAGGAAAGCATTGAAAAGCATTTTCAATGCTTTCCTATGCAGAGGTCTAATGCGCCTGCGCGGCATTGCCGCGCATGCGTATTAGGTCTCCCCCGACAGCTGACGTGATGAAGGGGAGGAGCATGAGTGGAGGAAGAAGCAGCGACGTGGGACATGTCGCTGCCTCTGGTAAGTCACTGAAGGGGTTTTCACCCCTTCAGCAACCGGGGATGGAAGGTGGGAGGGAGAGGGGACCTGCAGTGCCAGGAAAACGGATTGTTTTCCTGGCACTGGAGAGTCCCTTTAAGGTGGCTCGTAACATTTAACACTTGGTTTCACAAATACCCCCTTTTACATACTGCCATGCTACACAAACACACACAAAAAAATACTACCCTATTCACAAAACCAAAAACATGTATTCAAATATACTAATAATCCACATATCCTGACACTACACACAAAGACATACATATATTCACTTACACTAGCGCTCACAGTGAATATACACACAGAAACATGCATTCACTTTACATGTACATACAATCAAATATACGGTACACCTATACCAGCATATATATAGGTCTGCTGGGGGGCCCACGTGCTAATTTTGCCCGAGGGCCCAGGCCACTGTCAGTCCGTCCCTGTTTATATGTTATATATATTTAGTGTATGTTTGTATTTGAGTATAGTCTTTGTATGCAGCTGTGAAATTAAGGGTTAAAATGCTAGAAGTGTGTAGGTTAATACGGTGCTTAAGATTTGAGAGGGATTAAGGTCAGAGTTAGATTGCATAGGGTGTTTATTTTTAAAACGATTAAAAGCTTGAGGAGTCATAGTTTTAGTATTATTTAACTAATTATCCAGCCTCCCATATGATCTCAAATGCGACATAGGCCCAGAAATATAACATTGTCAAATTTCCAAGTTTTAAATGGGAATCTAATGTAATTTGTTCTTTGACTTACCACAAATAACTGGAAAACCAGTACATGGGGCTGTTATATTTACAAGACAATGTTAATTGTGTTAATTAAAAATATTGAGTCGTTATTGCACCAATATGCCAGGATTTAGAAATGTAATGTAAAACTGGGATTTGTGTGTTAAAAAAATTCAAATAAAAGTATAACCACTAAATGTGATGTGCATTTTGATTAAGAGTACTTGTGAGACATACCTGAACACAAATGAGTGTTTTACAACAGTAAGCCATATAAGGATATCATTGGTGAAAGTGCAATTTTGTGTGAAAAATGCAAAAATAAAAATATGAAAGTATTCATATTTGTGTTTTTTTGCATTTTTCACACAAAATGGTCAGGGTTTGTGACTAAGTAGCTGTTTAAAAAAAACAAAACCTTAAAATAGCTCATTTTGAATACCCTGGGTTTGTCTTCTTTTGCAAATGGTATGCGATGGGGTAATTTTCTTTCTTGGGCTTCCATACAGTCTCAAAGGCAACATAGGCCCATAAAATAATGTTATTCAGATTTCTATGAATGAAGGCTGCTGATCTTATTTGGCCCTTTAACTTCCAAAAACCCTAGCATGCCAGTACATAGGTCAGCATCCTTGTACTTGTGGGACACCACAATACAAATGTGTGTTTGTTTTTATTGCAGTAAAACAGTTTTATGACATTTACAGTTAAAATGACATACATAACTTGGAAAATAACATTATTTCTTAATTTCTATCACTTATTTAGATTTTTTTATAATAAATACAATTTCACATAAAAAATATTTGATGTGAAATGAAATCCCTATTTGTCATCAGCATGATATATAATAAGAGTGGGTGCAGTTAACCCCTTAAGATCGGAGGGCATATTATTACGCCCTATTTTAGGCGGCTCTAAACCCTGCCGGGCATAATAGTACGCCCTCCGTTTTTTTTTTTTACTTACCCAGTCGCCGGCGATGGCGGTTGGGGGGACTCCCAGGGAGCCCCCCGCGGCACATCCGACCTCCTGCAGCCCCCACACCCCCCTGGCCATGTGAGAGTGAGGTCCTTGCTAGGACCTCACAATCACATGGCAGGGTTAGCTGCCTGCCTGTAATGACAATTAAGTCCCCCTGCTGGCTGTAAATAAAATAAATTAATGTTAATAAGTGTAAAAAAAAAAATATATATATATATACATAGATCATATATATATATATATATATATATATATATATATATATATATATATATATATATATATATATATATTATATATATATATATTTTTTTTTATATATATATATATATATATATATATATATAAAGTAGAAAAAAACGGCACTCAAAGAATTTCAACAGCTTTTTACTGTGTAAAGATAAATCGACGTTTCAGCTCCTCTAGGGAGCTTTCATCAGGACATACCTGGAGGAGCTGAAACGTTGATTTATCTTTACACAGTAAAAAGCTGTTAAAATTCCTTGAGTGCCGGTTTTTTCTACTTTCTACAATTGAGCCACCAGAGCACCAGGTAAAATATACTTTTTTGGAGTGCAGGGGTTTGACATATCTTTTGTGTATATATATATACATACACCTACACTGTCTAGGTGTATTTTACTATTAATATATATAATTATATCAAATTACACGTATACTGATTAAATATATATAATTATTGTTATATATATTTATATATAATGTAAAAAAAATGTAAATATGTTAAAAAATAAAATTAAAAAAATAATTAAAAATAAATAATTAAAAAATATATAGAGGTGTTATTTCGTTCTAACTGTATTGTGATAATATATATATATATTTATATCAACATACACGTAGAACGAAATAATATATAAATCTATATACATAAATATATACGTATATATCTATATATATATATATATTTTTTTTTAATTTATATATATATATATATATATATATATATATACACACACATACGTATATATATACATATATATTTATGTAATATTTTTACATAATTAGGTATCTTAATTAATTACAATTAGTGGGACCTGCCTGACAACCCATGCTGAAAGTAAAGGGAATTTAATTTGCTAGCACTATATTTAACCCTATAACTTTCCAAGACACCATAAAACCATGTTTACTTTTCTACTCGGGAGACGTCGCTGAACACAAATATTAGTGTTTCAAAACAGTAAAATGTATTACAACGATGATATCGCCAGTAGAAGACTTTTTTTGCATTTTTCACGCACAAACAGCACTTACACGGACGATATTATTGCTGCGATACTTTTTACTGTTTTGAAACACAAATATTTGTGTTCAGCGAAGTCTCTCGAGTACAACAGTACCCCTCATGTACAGGTTTTATGGTGCTTTCAAAAGTTACAGCATCAAATATAAGGCTTGTGTTTCATTTTTTTCACATTAAAATTCGCCAGATTGGTTACGTTGCCTTTGAGACCCTATGGTAGCCCATGAATGAAAATTACCCCTATGATGTAATACCATTTGCAATAGTAGACAACCCAAGGTATTGCAAACAGGGTATGTCCAGTCTTTTTTAGTAGCCACTTAGTCACAAACACTGGCCAAAATTGGCATTTTTTTGCATTTTTTACACACAAACAAATACTAACGCTAACTTTGGCCAGTGTTTGTGACCAAAGGGCTACTAAAAAAGACTGGACATACCCCATTTGCAATACCTTGGGTTGTCTACTATTGCAAATGGTATGCCATTATGGGTGTAAATTTCATTCCTGGGCTACTATACAGTCTCAAAGGCAACGTAACCTATCTGGCGAATTTCAATTTCAAATGTAACGTGCTATATTTGACCCTGTAACTTTCCAAAACGCCATAAAACCTGTACATAGTGGGTACTGTCTTACACGTGAGACTTTGCTGAATAAAATGTGTATTTTATTGCAGTAAAAGTAAACAGTATTATGACATTGACAGTTAAAATGTCATGTAGAACTAAAAAAATAAAAATATATATTTTCTCCCATTTTTTTAATATTAAATTATGTTTCATAGCTAAATATTTGATATTAAATGAAAGCCCTGTTTCCCTGAATAAAATAAAAAATAAGGGTGGGTGCATTCACTATGAAAGAGGTGAATTACTGTTGGACAGACATGTCTCGCAAATGCCAGGTTTTGTTTACATTTTGTTTTGTTCACAACGTGTACATTTGGCTCCGTCCTTAAGGGGTTAATGTGAAAGAGGTAAATTGTGATTGAACTAACCTATAACTCAAATTCTAGGTTTTGCTTTGGTTATGAACGTTTGCCAAAAGGATAAGGATTCAATGGAAAACAAAATACTTAAATGAACGTGGGTAGAATAGCAACCTAAAATGGTCTTACGGACTGGTTGTAGGTCACGGTAGCTGAACCAGTAACAGATTCTTTGTTGATAACACTTAGCAGATAAGTGGTTTATCCAACGAATGAGCTCTAAAGATGACCACCTCTACAAAACAATGATATTCCAATAGATACACTGAAGGGTTATTAGACTTTATTCATTAGAAAATAATGCATCGAAAGGCTTTAACACTATCTTATTTTCAATAATAACATTTTCAGATTTCCTTAAAATTATGTATTTTCTTTAGTTTAGTCTGTGTTTAAAGTTCTCCAATATTTGGATGCTTGAGAATGTTGCAGCAGCTATTATACAATACCACAGGCTATAATGACGTTTTGTAACAGATGAGCAAAATGTACAATTTAGCACAGCAATAGTCCAGGTGAGTGCTATCCTGGACAGCTTTGAAAATCTGTGGTTCTCAGGAGTAATTTGGCCTGATTAGATTTGTGCTTCAGCATATCTGCCATTTAATATTATAGCTTAATCCAGAATATGCATACATAATTCCACACTTGCTACACTGTGGCAGTTATTTATCTGACAGCTTGACATTTTACTTGAACAGGGAAAATATATTGAAGTATGTTGCTGAACAATTTATTTTCTTTTTGTCACATTAGGAACATGGAAGATTTTGTGACATGGGTGGACTCCTCAAAGATTAAAAAGCATGTTATGGAATATAATGAAGAGGTAAGTGTAAAAAAAAAAAAAAAAAAATTGCAAATGCAACATAAAAATAAATAATAATTAGCCTGTGTTGGTCCATGGAGTCTTTAGGGACCACTAAACTAAAAGGCCACTCCACACACAATGAGTTGCTGAAATACTTTGCGTGTCAGGAGCATCTTGTGTTAATTTAATTTTATAAGAGTTCAGATTTCTCTTTAAAATTGGCACATTTATAAATAATTGCAGAAAAGCCTGGGAGGTTATCCTCCAAATTCCGTTAGCTGCACAGAGCCAAAGTTGTATTTCCTCCTGCCTACAGGGCTTATTTTACCTGTGTGTCTCTGAGTGGTCCCTGTAAGCAGCTCAAAATCAGTGTCTTCTGATTCTGATCAGAGGCCTGTTATAGGTAATTTTCTTGGTACATACTGAAAGTCTTTGTCAATGTAAAAAGGGAGACAAAAGATCTGAACTTTTTCCAAGCTGTTTTTACATATACCCCCAATGAAAAACTGCTTACAAGCAATTTCCCCTTCATTGTCTCCTTACCTCAGAGGTCAATACCTCCATCAATATATTACAAGAACAGCTCCCACATTAGAGCAGTTGTCTACCATAATTTTTTTATGGAATCCATTTTAGTTCATCTTAAACATAACAGAATTATTTTCTGCTGGTCATTGATGTCATTTCATATGCTAAAAGAACTAAACTGGTTGTCGCTGTAATCCAGACGCACCTCTCATCTTTCCAACCTTGTGTTTAAGAGCTTTTCTGGGAAACTCCCACCCTACCTGAGCCAAATGCTCTCCCCGGCTGTTCCCGCCTCCTATAATTTCCAATCAAATACCAGCACTTTCTTTAGTCTACCTCAATACAAAAAGAAAGCAGCCTGATCCTCCTCTTCCTTGAGAGCATCACAATTATGGAACAACTTTCCGCACACTTTGAAATCTTCCTCAAGCTTAAAGTCCTTTAAGAGATCCCTCTCTAGATACCTCAAAACAGAATGCACATGTCATGGTAGATTATAGATTTCCTACTTGTTCTATGTTAAATTTTGTATATATTGTGTATTAATATTGTTTTTATATTTTATTGTACCCTATTGTATCAATGCAATGTTTTGTGGACCCAGGACAGACTTGAAAACAAGAGAAATATCAATGTATCTTTCCTGGTAAAATATTTAATAAATATAAAATATTTTATAAATATATTTTAGAAGCCAACAAGTCATATTCTCAGAGGCTGAGAAGAGTCTCTCCTTTAATTTCTGTCCTCCTGAATTTAGACATGTATTTATTACTGGCTTTTATAAACCGCCAACATATTCCGCAGTGATATAGGGAAGAACGTACAATATACAGGTCCCTTCCTGTGAGCTGGGATGTAGCCATTACACTTTTTTTATACAGAGTGCTTAGTTAGAAAGCCGTCGAGCTTACAACCTAAAAGTTATAATGGGGACGAGGTGGGGAACAGGGGTGGGCTGGGACGGGGCCGCCCTTAATTATTTTAAAAATGTCCGCAGACGGCTCTCTGTGGTTTAGGCGGCTGCCTAAGGCCTCGCGGCCGCCTTAACCACCTTAGGGCAGACAGTGTCGGGTCCTCTGTCAGTGACCAAGGACCCAACACCGGGAGGGGGCCCGGAGGCTTGTTCAGTATGCCGCCTATGGCCGCTGGTCTGCAGCTCCGCAGTGTGCAGAGCTGCAGACAATGTGTCTCGCGAGATCTGGCCAATCAGAGCATTGCTGCGGGTTACCACAGCAACGCTCTGACCGGGTCACGTGAGACATATGGTCTGCAGCTCTGCCCACTGTGGAGCTGCAGACCGGATATCACCACCGGACCACCAGGGAGCCCACACTGGACCACCAGGGAATGAGAGAAGGTATGTAGTCCCCCTCCCTCTCGCCATCACACCCCCTCCCTCTCGCCATCACACCCCCTCCCTCTCGCCATCACACCACCTCCCTCTCGCCATCACACCCCTTCCCTCTCGCCATCACACCCCTTCCCTCTCGCCATCACACCCCTTCCCTCTCGCCATCACACCCTCCTCTCGCCATCACACCCCTCCTCCTCTCATCACACCCTCCCTCCCTCGCCTCTCTCTCTTCTATCACACCCTCCCTCTCTCGCCACACCCTCCTCGCCATCACACCCTCCCTCTCGCGTCACCCCCCCTCCCTCTCGCGTCACCCCACCACCCTCTCGGAAAGCTTCTATTGCACATTAAAAACCAAAACATAAAAACAAATTTATTTATTTTTAAGTTTTTTTGCATGTTTTATATTCAAATATATGCCATTCCTTAATACTGGTTGTTTGTCTTCATGATTTAATCAATAAGAAAAAAAAAACTAAAAAAAAAACATGTATTTTTCATCTTTTTAGTAAAGATCTTCTGTTCTGATATCATGCTGACATTTTGTCATGAGGTACAACAAAAGTCTGCATTCTGATTTAAATGAGACCTTTAAACTAAAAAATAAATAAAGGTAATCGCTCGTGTAGTGGTTCTTGTCCAGATGCTTCGAAATGGTGCTTTTCAGTGGTTTCATGCCCTAATCACATTTATCTAATCATTGCGGCCCAGGTTGGGCTTATCAGTGCGGCCAGGTAGGAGAGTGGTCTCCAGAATAAACTCTGGTAGTATGAAGTATTCTTGTTGCAAAAAGTGGCTGCTCTAGTCACTTTAAATTTAGTATAGATATGGACTGTGGATTGTTAGAAAATAGATGAATAACTGAACATGTGTAGATATTATTTAAATTGTGTCCTTTTTTTTCTTCCCCAGAGAGATGATTTTGACCTTGGCTTATAGAAGTGGAGAGATTTTGATCTTCCGTCAGACTCACCAGTATTCTTTTTCGAAGGCCAGTTGTGACCCCATTGCATCAATAATTAAAACATACAAGTATAAGTTTCTGCAGCCTCTTCTTTTGTATTGACACAATAAATACCAAACTGAAATAAATCTGGAAAAGTTTAAATTAAATATTGTATTTTGAAAATCAAAATCGAAATTTTTAAAGGGTTACACCAGCCAAAAAATAGTGTTTTCATAAAACACTGTTTTTGGTTATAGTAACTACTTCTGTGGATTTCCCCAGCTCCACCCTCCTCAACCTCCCCAAACAAATCTATACATTTTTACCAACTCCAAGTCCAGTTTTTCCCAAAGCCTGATCTTCTTCCAGCTGATAGGACATTGGCAGTACGGAGGGGATGTGCCATTCGCCAGTCTGGAACTTTGTTCCGGGCTGGCTAATCATGCTGCCGGCAGCTAAGGGGGTTAATCTAAGTATGCACAGCATTTCAAAACCCAACGCTGCACATACAGACATAAGGCACCATGACCACTTCAAATCAATGAAGTGGTCATGGTGCTTGGAGTAAATCTTTAATATGCTTTTGGTCAAAATCTCGGCACAATATTTGTATCTTTAAAAGATTTAAAAATCTGTGAAATACTCAAATATTGGACATAAACAGTCCTCCTTTCATAAACTGTAAATTGTTAAATTGTCTTTTGTAGGAAAATAATGGGACATTTAACTAAAAATGTTGCCCCCTTTTAACACTTCTCTTGTTTATATAAAAACAATAAAAAATACTTTTTTTAAGATACAGCCTGTATTTTCTGTTTTAGATGTCTGGTCCTATTATTTCCCATTTTACAATAACCGCTTTTCTCAGTGAACTGATGGAATGCCTAACTGACAATTTGTTCAGCATTGTAAGCAGTTAAAGAGAAACGCAATCCTCCCAGGAATTTTTTATATTAGGTTTACTTTTACATATATTTCACAAATATATATTTGAATGAAAAAAATTAAACTAGAGTTTAGAAATCCACACCTCTTTATTCACTGGGCATCTTCATGGTGCTGATATCTATCAATTTTGGACCAAGATCTAGTTTTTCCTCTTTATAAATCTTGGGTAAGACCACACCTTGAATATTTTGGGCACCTGTTCTAAAGAAGTATATCATAGCACTAGAAAAAGTGCAAAGACAAGCTACAAAATTGATAAAAGGAATGGAGCATTTTAGTTATGAAGAAAGGTTAAAAAATTTAAATCTCTTTAGTTTAGAAGAACCGTGCCTCAGAGGGGACATGATAACTTTATACAAATATATTCGGGGCTAGTACAACCCATTATCTGGAAATCTATTCATAAACAAGGTTATACATAGGACACAAGGTCACACATTTAGGCTGGAAGAAAGGAGATTTCATTTAAGACAAAGAAAATGTTTTTTTTTTACAGTAAGATTAATAAGGATATGGAATTCTCTACCTTAAGAGGTGGTTTTGTCAGAGTCCATACAGATGTTTAAACTACAATTGGTTAAATACTTAAATACTTGCAAAAACATAACACACAGGGATACAATTTCTAATTAGTGGGGTAATAGCTGCTTTTTTATTTCTGTGCATATTCATATAACAATATCATGTGAGGTACCCCAATGGCAATCCTCCCAACGCATTATAGTCATTTGTAACATTGAGGTACATGATAAAGCTTGCACAATTTTATGTTTAAAAGGAGTTTGAACAATAACATCTCAAGACCTGCTTCGTAACAGTGAGTTAGAACATAGCTAACTTTTGATTTGGAAGGTCAAGAATATAGTGATGATAACGGTAAGCTTAGTACTGCAGTGTGTAGGCCAGTGGTAGTCAACCTTTTTCTACCTACCGCCCACTAATGCATCTTTCTTGATAGAAAAATTTCCTTACCGCCCACCAGTTTTCGCGCAAGTGCAGAATATTTTTTAGTACATTTATCTTTTTATTTCTACTTAATGCATGTTTATAATGTTTTTAACTTTATAAAGTTTAATGAGAAAACAATAAAGTAAATTGAAATTACCTTTACTAGTGATTAATGAGATCCTTGAGGTTGATGCTGCGAGACTAAATATTTGATATCTGGTTCGATTTTCGTAAGGAACAAACAAAGGTCTCCTCTTTCCGTGATATTCAGACGACTTCTCTGTTTGCGCATAATATGATTTCTCATCTGTGCGTCAGCTCCCCTCCTCAGGCTAGATACTATTTTAAAAGGTAAACAGTCTGCTCTGCCACCAGGCGTTGTTACTGATTAGATTATGGCTGACTGACAACTATAGACACAGGCTGATTTAGAAAAAAATAAATAGAAAGCATAAAAAAAGTTAATGTCCACTGGAATGCCTGTCATGACATGAGTGTCCACTTATCATATTGGTACCGTAAGCCTTGCATGTGTATCGTGGGTGTTTCTGTGGGCAGTTTAGCCGATGCTGAGAGGTGGGCGGCTGCAGATGCATAATAGGCAGGTTCCCTTAAGCCTGGTATGGGGACCCAGCCAATCTTGGGTCATGGTGCACTCCTGTATTTTTCTGGCCGGGCTCCTGAGCAGACCATCACCCGGCTCGCGGCTTTTGGGTCCTTTCGGTGTGCGCAGCAGACTCTTCTGAGCATGAATCCTCCGATGGCGTGACTTGCTTGCGTAGATGCGGCTGTGACCAGAGTGCTGTGAAGCTGTCGTGGAGTGGCATGTTGGGCTGTATGGTTGTAAGCCCAGAATGCTTTCTTTTGTCTTTGCTTCTAGAGGGTCTCGGGGGTCGTGAGAAGCCCGCTGGGTGGTCGGTCCTGTGCCTCTTGCCTGACTTTGGGCGAGTCCGGTAGTGCCGTCTGTGTTGCAGGTGAGTGGTCGGCAGTTTGTATTGCCTCCGTTTCCTGTATCCTCTGCTCTGGGCTGTGTTGGGAGCCAGTGCACCCAGTCCGCGGATCCGGTTGCTCTGGGCCGCAGGCCCCAGGGTCTGCCAGTCTGCGGTCCACCCTGTGGGTAGTTGGACTGTGCTGTGGAGGAATCTCTGTTGTGCTCCCACCCCAGAAGGGGGGCAGATAACAGACACTGCTTTGCCCGTCTGCTGAGACCCAGGAGGGGTAGATGGTTTTCGTCGCTTGGCAAGGCGTCCCCAGAAGGCCTGGCAGATTGCCTCAAATCGAGTTTCGAAGTCTTCTCTCCAGTTCTGGCCTGTCTGGCTCAAGCAGGTTACATAGCTTAAAAGAGACTTGCGTCCATCAAGTTCAGCCTTCCTCACATTTGTTTTTTGCTGTTGATCCAAAAGAAGGCAAAACACCCAGTTTGAAGCACAATTTTGCAACAAGCTAGGAAAAAAAAATCTTTCTTGACCCCAGAATGGCAGTCAGATTTATCCTTGGATCAAGCAGTGATTACCCTACATTGAAAGATTATATCCTTGAATATTCGGTTTTTGCAGGTATGCATCTAGTAGCTGTTTGAACATCTGTATGGACTCTGATAAAACCACTTCTTCAGGCAGAGAATTCCACATCCTGATTGTTCTTACAGTAAAAAAACCTTTCCTTTGCCTTAGACGAAATCTTCTTTCTTCCAGTCTAAACACATGGCCTCGTGTCCTATGTAAAGTCCGGTTTGTGAATAGATTTCCACACATGGTTTGTATTGTCCCCGAATATATTTGTATAATGTTATCATATCCCCTCTCAGGCGATGTTTTTCTAAACTAAATAGGTTTAAATTTGTTAACCTTTCTTCATAGCTGATATGTTCCATTCCTTTTATAAATTTTGTAGCCCGCCTCTGCACTTTTTCTAGTGCCATAATATCCTTCTTTAGAACAGGTGCCCAAAATTGCACAGCATATTCAATATGGGGTCTTACCAGTGATTTATAAAGAGGCAAAATGATATTCTCGTCCCGAGAATGAATGCTCTTGGCCACTGCTGATTGACATTGCACATTGTTGCATAGTTTGTTGTCTATAACAATTCCCAAGTCCTTTTCGTTTGTTGTTATCCCTAATTCGCTTCCATTAAGGGTATACTTTGCTTGTGTATTCTTTACGCCAAAGTGCATAACTTTGCATTTTTTTAAGATTAAATTTCAAAAAAATGCAAAGTTATGCACTTTGGTTAGTTAGTCGAAGTGTAAGTCGCCGGGTTCTCTGTTCCCTCTTGGACTCACCACCACTTCGCACCCAGATGGTGCCGGGATATCCCTCACTGGCAGGGGGGGAGAGAGCGAGGGCAAGACTTCAGACTTCGTGCTCTGCTGCGGGTTGAGGGGTTGGCCGTGTCCCCCGCCCGTGCTTTGAGTGGGTCTAGGCCGCAAGTCTGCCCTGGCTGTAGCCGCCGATCTCGGTCCGGTGCTTCAATTAATCTGATGCTGTAGGGTCCTGTCGCATTCAGGATGCTTCAGCTGTATGATTTCTGCATAATTTTCTCGTTTTTTTTTTTTTTATTAATCTCCGCCCCCGGTAATAGCTGCTTGATCCAAGGATACATCTGACTGCTATTTTGGGGTCAAGAAGGAATTTTTTCCTAGTTTGTTGCAAAATTGGAAGCGCTTCAGACTAGGTTTTTTGCTTTGTTTTGGATCAACAGCAAAAACATATGTGAGGAAGGCTGAACTTGATGGACGCAAGTCTCTCTTCATCTACGTAACTGTAACTATGAAGTGGAACACACTCAAATTTGTTAAAAAAGGTGTGGTTGTATTGATGCATGCTGCAGTGTTTTATATCGCCTGTTGGCAGGATGTCCTTAATGCCTTCCTCGCAGAATACTGACTTAAGAATTATGGGCTAGGCAATAAATTGTGGTTTCATAGCAGAAGTAGAAGAGCAAGTTCAAAGCAGGGAAATGGTAACTTTCAACAACATGATGTATGTGATGGTGAAGAAACCTGAGAACTGGGTGTGAATATGTTAAAAGTTTGGCAAGAGGAGTATGTCTTAAATAATTGAATAACCTAAATATATTTTATTTCCAGTGTTTTGGAACTTCGTTGATCATATTTTGGATGGACTGCAGGAGTTAAGCTGTACCTACTTAGATGATATAATTATCTTTAGTCATACTAAGACTTGCCACTTTGAAGAGGTGCTAAAAATCAGCAGCTGGAATTCCTATCTGACCCAACAATCAGCTTTCTAGTAACTAGGCAAATGGTTGGAGGTTGACCTGAAAAAGCCCCAAAAACCCATCAAGATAGACTTATTCTGTTAGTTTTCAGGATAATCCTAACTTTCAGAAAATAGGCCAGAAAAATATATTGAGAGAGATTCTAGCAAAACCGACTCTAGAGAGTCTAAATACAGTCAAGAAAATATATGTAGCCACGCCAAAGTCAAGGAGTATAGAGTTTCAAAATAATGGCAAAACAAGCTTAGTGTCACAACAATTGAAGATTCTCCACAAGATACAAGGCAGCAACCTACCAAAGGCAAACCAAATAGAAAATAGACAGGTGTGTTACTTGACATTAGAGTGGCTGTATTTAATGCTTAGATAGCATTAGTAGGTATCAGAACTACACCCTGTTCCAAATTATTATGCAAATTCTATTTAAGTGTCACAAAGATTAAATATTTTGTTTTTCAGTTTAACTCATGGATGGCATTGTGTCTCAGGGCTCTTTTGATTGAAAACAATCTTGGACACCTATGATAATTAGATTGCCAGGTGAGCCCAATTTAAGGAAAAACTACTAAAGGAGGGTGTTCCACATTATTAAGTAGAGCACCATTTTCATGCACTATGGGGAAAAAAAAGGATCTCTCTGTTGCCGAAAAGAGTGAAATAGTTCAATCCCTTGGACGAGGTATGAAAACATTAGATATTTCATGAAAACTTAAGCGTGATGCGCACTATTAAGAGATTTGTGGCTGATTCAGAGCAGACATTGGTTAGTGGTGCTATGCTATGGGGATAAAAGGAGAGAAAGTCATGGTGTGGCCTCCATCCTCCCCTGACCTCAATCCTATTGAGAACCTTTGGAGCATCTTCAAGCAAAAGATCTATGAGGGTGGGAGGCAGTTTACATCCAAACAGCAGCTCTGGGAGGATATTCTGACATCTTGCAAACAAATTCATGCAGAAACTGTCCAAAAACTCACAAGTTCAATGGATGCAAGATTTGTGAAGCTGCTATCAAATAAGGGATCCTATGTTAAAATGTAACGTGACCTGTTAAAATGTTTAAAAAGTTTAAATGTTGTTATAAGTTAATTGAAATAGATTTTGTTTTCCGTAAATATGTTGCAAACACAACAAATAACAATTTTCAGTTCTTTACAACCTGTAAAGTGTTTT